GGGGGGGCGCCAGCAGGGTAAAAGGGGAGGGGGGGCGCCAGCGGGGTAAAGAGGGAGGGGGGGGGGGCGCCATTGGAACTGCTTGCCCTGGGCGCCAACATCCCCAGAAACGGCCCTGCATTTGGGCGCTCAGTTTAGGTATCGTTTGATCACCAATATGTTTTGAAAGACATTAGTTGAACGTTAAAGCGACTTTTCCTTCAAGCATATCTACGCTGGCCATCTGACAGTGGCTCAAACAAAGGTTCGCGCAACCGAAGCCAGATAACGCCCAAGCATAGCGATTTAATACCTGATACAGATGGAACTAACCTCCAATACTTTCCACACGGTGCCCGATCTTTCTCCACATAGACCACAAGAGAAGACATAAATTCTTTAACAAATTGGTCCAAGGAGGCAATCAGAAAACTTCGGCTCAGAGTATGGAGGGAAGATGGTTCAACTTCCAAGTTTTCTCCATACAAATCCGATTAACTGAGTGCATAACATTGCATGTTATTGCTGTTACAGGGAGAAATATTCAAATATGAGGGTAGTTTCCACATTCCGATTCGATTCCGACACGCAATTTGGAAGCATGAAAGGAACTGCTGAGCTGATAGAAATATCAGAAAGAGTTCCTCTCATGTAAATGAGTTTCAAAGAAAACAAACCCTGATTAGGAGTTCTACCTTCCTCCACGGGGGAAGGTAGTACTCCCAATCAGCCAAAAGAAGCTCGTCTGCGTGATTTTTATTTGGCCCCTGCCTCAGGAGCAGCGCTGTATTTGGGCGTAATACAATTTAAATTATGAATAGAAAGTTTCCTAGATGTTAATTGCTTGTTGCATTAATCCTGAAATAGGAATTTCTTTGAACATTTTGGTGCTGTTTGGAAACATTTTAGTCACCTCCGTGATGAATGTTCAAGAAATGCATACTTGAGATGATTTTGATCGTTCTAAGTTTTGGACATTTAAACAGTCTAGATAACGTTCCCAAGGGCGTTCATGGCTCGTTAGTACTTCAAACGATAAATACGATGTATGTACCAAAAGTTCATACCGAAGCCCTTTTTCAGTCAGACTCGATATTGCAGCTGTACGTGTGCCAATATCATCCTTGGTCATCAACCTGTCAGCTGTAAACTTAGTGTCATTAAGGACTTTTTTTGTGGACGTTGCATACATTTTTGTGTCTCATTTCGGGTGGGATTTTGACACAAAAAATGAACTTCACTCATGACGAGCAAAGAGCAGTCATGAAATTTATATCAGCATATGGAGAAAAAGCTATAAAACTCACCAACAGCTATTCTGGCACAGCTGGTCCCAAAAGGAGAAGCAAATGGCCAATCCTGCTGTAATCAAACACCTCCCACAGCGCGAAAGACAAATTCATTCTCCACCAGGACAACGCACCACCTCACACCGTCTGTGTCATGACACAATTTTTGATGGAAGCGGGGATTGAGACCTTGCCTCACCTACCGAATTCACCTGATCTGACTCCCAGCGACTTCTGGCTCTTCAGCAGGCTAATGTACACTTTGGAGTACAAGTACACTTTGGAGCAACTGTTTCTCATCAAGAGCTGAACTTGAACGTACTAGTAGTTTGAACGTACCAGTGAAGGTTCGTTCGTTCAATGCTACAAAGACTGGATAAAAAGGTGGAGACTGTGTCTCAAGAAGGGAGAATATGTTGAAAAGTAAAACGTGAGGCAACGCCGTCCCTCCACTTGTATGTGATCCACACTGAAACTGTACGGACTTCTGGAACGCACCTCGTACATTGAACATCCATCAATTGCTCCGGTGCTACTAGCTCTGTATCCTTGACTATCATTTAAAAATTCATTTGGAAATGTGATCAGTCCAATTTGCCAGCAAACATTTGAAACCCAACCAACCTTGTGGATCTTCGACTTTCTTCACATGGTTCACGAACTCCTTCCAATTTTTCTATTAGCTAAGCAATTCTTTTCCTTTCTCGGTGTTACGCGTCCCAAAGAGATTCTTTCGGGGATGTCTTTTTATTTTTTTCCCACCCGGATCTACTCCCTCATATGAGGGAGAGGGAGAGGAAGAGGGAAGTTAAACATGCCCCCCTTAGATTCCTGGCTCTTGAATGGGGTAGTAATGGATTGCAGTTCAGGAGTTTATCTTTGTGGTGAATGAATATACGCATATGATAATGTCCCAACCTGCATAATTATCACTAGCGCATGCGTTGAGTGGCTCTCCGCTTTCCTTGGTCTAACACCCTTCTCTCTTCCGCGTACTCCTCTTTTATGGGGGCACAGAACGCGACTGCAGCATTTTCTTTTCGTTTGAATTTCCATTCGGTAACAGTAATCCTGGAAGAAGTTCAGCACATATCCATAACGAAATTTTGCTTGCATCAATTGTTGTCTCAGAACATCCTGAACACCATGGCAGACAGCCACCTTTGCAGATGTTCTTTGTCATTCCAGACGATTCAGAAAAACGAATACCATTCGTGCATTACCATATCAGAATTTATTTGAAGTTAGACAAAGTCCTATCTGATCACTGTCGCAATAAGCCTATATTGCTCCATATGAAATCTCCTTTGGCGCCATATTAGGAATACATGGTCGGTGACGTCACAGAGTGGTGCCTGCGCCGCAGCAACATGAAGGAGGCAGAATTAAATGTGGATGAAACAGGCCCCTGAGGGGATATGGGGCTGCCCAGCTTCCACGTGACGTCATGTTACCGTAGGAAGACAGAGTTGGGCTGGGCTCAGTCCATGCGGATGCTAGGCCTACGCAGACACCTGTTCGCTACGTCTCCGTTGCGAGACAAGTGTACGTGACGATCTCGCCCAAACTGCTAGCACCTAGATGGAGGCGAACTGAGTGCTGTATGTTCATGGGCTCTTGGCATAACTGTAAGGCCATAAGTCCCGGGACAGAACCTCTGGAATCAGACTCTCGTAGCCTAACCTAAAATAGAGTGGGTTCCGAATTCACGCGTCCATGAGCTAATTTAGGCTGGACCTCAAGTTTAGGCCGATAGTAGACTTGTGATAAGTTCGATAATATTTGTTAATGTTGGCTGGCAAACTAGCAAAAGAATACATCTCCTGGCATGTATGCTCAGGGTGATGGCAATACCCAGATTAATAAAACCAGCAATACCTTTATATGGACAAATGAAGCATTAGACTGATGGTATGTTTGCCATTTTAGAACCTGATGGTTGATGGTCTCAGTAGAGTGAAAAGATAAGAGTAAAAGCAAAGTGATAGCAGTGTTGTACATATGGGGAGAGGGGAGTGAAGTAAGTGGGAGGGAAGTCTGAACATGAACATAGGAGGGAGCTGGAAGGAATCTGCCACATTGTCATGTAGTACACTTAACTGACTTTTTTCCAGAAGGTACTGAAGGTGGCTTTTTCAAAGGTATAAGCTATTTGAATATAAAATGACATATGGGTTATGACAGAATTCGATGTGGCAGATGCTTGGCATGTGAATGAATGCTGGTAGAGCTGCACACCTGATGAGGGAATTTCAAATTTGCCTCTGGGAGAAGTACATTTGACCCTGTCCTTTAATTGTGCCAGGTAGCAGTATTGAGAGATGTTTGGTGAGGTCTTGAAGATATTAAGAGGCTTCTCTTTGGAGGCATTTGCACATTAATTTTGTTATATCAAAGGTAATGTTATTTTTTATGGTTAACCCCCTTGACTTTTGGACAAGTGAAGCAGAAGGAGAGCATGTTTGTCTTGTAGGATATTTTTAAAAAGATTTTTTAAAAGTAGAATATTCAAATTTTTTAATAAGGTTAGATTTTTAATAGTTGGAATTAAGGGTTTGCTAGCTACTACATTACTGCTTATACTGTAACTTATCTTGGATGTGTCTCTAGGCCTAGGCTAGGTGTCATGAAAGGTAGAGTTGAATGCTTGCCATCATGATGAAATTTTGTGAAGTGAACATCTTGATAGTGAAGGGGTTAAAATATATCAGGCTAAGTCCATAGTTGTTTTCATCCCTATATGCCTTATTTGATTTCAGATTTCAGCCTATGCCTTGCTTGTGTGGAGGTGTTATGTCTGGGAAGTTGAGAATCTTTTCAAGCTGTCATGCTGCATATGTTGTGATAACATTTGTAGGCCTAAGCCTACTCAGTGCCCTGCCTTTTTGTGCCACACAGGGGTAAGCAAGGATCTTGTATTCTTTTGGGGCCCATAGAATAAGAGAAGCAGGAATTTATTGTAAAAGCTTAAAGGGAAGCCACATCTAAAGGAAAATGAGGACATTGTTTATATCCAGGCTCCCTTGGATCTATTTTATATCCAGGCCACAGTAGCTAGTGCTCCCTTTATATTTCTAACATGGGTGCCTCCTTTGAGAATGAGAGCTGTTAGCTCAATCATTTCCAAAGTAGTTGTCAGTGCCGAGAATTCTAGGTTTGATTCCTGTCCCCACCTTTGTTTTCTTTTTCCAATTCATTTTGACTATCTTTGAAGCAGCGAGGAAGCCCAACTGTTGGGTGTTGCATGAACAAGGGCTCTGTGGCATGCCATGAAGAAAGCTAGAGGCCTGAAAAGACTTTGGCTTCAGGAGTTTGGCCTGCATATTAGAAAGGAATAGGGTGTTCAGGGGTGTTCAGGGTGTTCACTAGAATCCAAGGTGACCCCAGGCATAGCCAGTGCTACTTGTAATGGGCCTGAAGATGGGTTATTAACCGGTCAATATGCAGGTGGTGTTTCTCAAAACTTTTGGATTGTACATATATATGAAAGATATATTCCATCTTGATATTTCTTATGCATGAATATGCCTCAAATGAATCATGTTCTTTAACCTAGATAGTTTCTTTATACAGGATGACCCAAAAGAAATGCAACAAATATAAACGAGGATATTTTTCCTTCTACTAATCCAATTGAAATAAAACTTTACCCAAACATCTAGTAGAATATAAACTTTGTAGAAAACCAAAAATGTTTCATGTATCCTCATTTTGCTTTGATACAAGACTTAAAGAGCTTTGAAAAAATTGTTTTCCCCAATGTTTTGCAGCATATCATTGTCTATTTCAGTCCAGACAGCCTGATAGGATCTCTTGAGCAATTCCATGTTTTTGTTTCGTTTAGTAAAGGCCTTTGCCTCAAGAATACTCTGAACAGAAAAATCCAATGGATTTAGATCTGGTGAATAGGGCAGCCTTTCAAATCCAGGCAGGTTTGCTCAGCACCAATTTTGAATGATTTTTGCCTTGTGGGATGATGCAGAGTCCTGCTGGAAAGCTCAATCTTCTTGAGCAAAATGCCTGTTGGCCCATGGAAGAACCACATTCTCAAGAATGACCAATGGGCATTTGTCTCAGGAAGATTGAGCTTTCCAGCAGGACTCTGCACTGTCCCACAAGGCAAAAACCACTCAAAATAGGTGTTGAGCAAACCTGCCTGGATTTGAAAGACTGCCCTATTCACTGGGTCTAAATCTGATGGATTTTTCTGTTCATATTATTCTTGAGGCAAATGCCTTTACTTCACAACACAAAAATTCGGAAATCCTCAATTGGATACCAAGGGATAAGAAGAGACCTAAACGATTCCCCCACACAAGATGCATTGATGAAATAAAGAAATTTGCTGGACCAACATGGAAATGAACAGCTGAGGACTGGGAAGTTTCTTGGGGAGGCCTTCATCCTGCAGTGGATTAAGATGGACTGATGGTGATGATGTTGCAAAACATTGTGGAAATTTTTTTAAAGCTCCTTAAGTCTTGTATCAAAGCAAAATGAGGATACATAGAACATTTTTGGTTTTTTTTTACAGAGTTTATGTTCTACTAGATGTTTGTGTAAAGTTTTGTTTCAATTGCATTAATAGAAGGAAGAATATCCTTGTCTATATTTGTTGTATTTCTTTTGGGTCATCCTTTATAACAGGCATTGAAAAAATATTTAAAATACCTGGAAAACATAACTGTAAGTAACTGCCATATAGGCCTATGATTGTTCTGCATCAGTCTTTTGCTTTGTCTATTATAATTAGAAAATGGGGTCATCTTTAACTTTTGTTCTTTCCTTGCAGTGCTGAGTACTCTGTCATTGCTTCAAAAATCCTTCGACCTAATCTGGGATACCATGTTGCTGTTAGTATACACAATGTATCTGCCCCTGTGGACATCACAGTAGAGGTTGGTGGTTCTCAGGATTCTGGTGGGACTGTCATCAGTCGGAAGACAAATCAAATTGACCCCTTCTCCACCCAAGTTCTTAAATTTCAGGTATTTGGTGCATTGCTCTTTTCTTTTTTAAGTGTCATTGGTATTTTGGAGGGTAGATGATTTGGTGTACTTAACATTAGTTTGTGCTGAAAATTCTCAACAGATAGGGGAATGGGGACCAGGACAGTACAACTTGACTGTCACTGGCTCAGGAGGACTGCGTTTCACAAATACTACTGCTCTTCAGTATGTTCAAAAGAGCCTGTCAGTATTTATCCAAACTGACAAGGCCATTTATAAGCCTGGTGAAACAGTGAGGTTTAGAGTTGTCGTCGTGGATCCCCAGTTACGACCCAGCGTCACAGGAGCCATTCGTCTGCAAGTAACAGTGAGTTCAGATGTGGATATTTAAATATCCTGGTCATTGCAATAATGAAACAGCTGGAGGAAGGGCCACATGATATGTTCATAATAATTGAAAAATTGTGATTTTGAGAACTGGCTGTGTCCAGTTTCTGAACTCCATCTATGGGAACTTCCCTTTGAATCTGAATCATCTGAATGAATATGGACTGCAGATTTTTTATTATTCAGATGTTAGTCTCCCCTTAGGAAGAATAGACACTCAGAAGCATATTGGCTGCCTAAAAAATGTAAAATGAGCTGGATGTGCTAAATTGAGAATGAGGACAAAACAGCTCAAATGTCATTGTACTCACCAATGTTCTCAGCATTATTGACATTCAAATGAAACACATGTATGTTCAAGTTGTTGATAATTAATATTGGCCATTTGGATATGGCCTTCTATGCAAGAAGGGAACACTGATTGTTGGGAACCAAATTTGCAATTGGTATCAATGGAGCTACACCATCATTGTCTCCATTGCAGTAGGAATATTTTCTTTCCTCTTTGCAGACAGTGTAAAGAGAAACTTCCTGTCTTGTCAGGAAATCTAGGAAATAATTTCTCCTCATGTGTCAAGATAGATTATCTCATGATGCAAAAGTATTCACTTTGCTTATAAAATGCACAAATTGAAACTTGCACACCATGTAATTGAAGGTATCATTTGGTTTATTTCTATTCAACTGCTCCCTTGAGGTATACAAACAATATCCTAGCCACACCCTACTTAACATATTCACTACTGGACCTTTAAAGTGAGATCATTGCTAGATTGCCAGGGTTTTTCTGGATCTTCAAAAATGTGTGCAACATTTTAGAAAAAATTACAAGAACAAATCTATTAGAGCTAAAATCTTAAATACTCAATATTTACTCAAGAGAATTTAAGGGTGTGATAGAGTATTAAAGTCATTTGTATTCTATGACATTCCACACAATGTTCAAAAATCAGGTTTTACTTGTGCCACATGCACTTGGGAGCACATTGAAGGTGTTTTGCATGCATGCATATATGTATTCTCCCCCTAGCTGCAGTTCTTCCCCAACTAGTTCTAAATAGAGAAAGAGATTTCATTTTTTAACTGTATTGCTGAGTGAATTTGTTTCCTACTGTCCTTTCCCAGGGTATGTTCCATTGTCAAGAACCACTATATCAATGGTGAAAGTGGCAATATTTATCTCTATTTTTTTCTTAGGATGGAGAAGGTAATCGTGTGAAGCAGGTAAAGAGAGCATTCACCATCAAAGGTGTCTACACAGATGAACTGGATTTGGCACTACAGCCAGTTCTAGGCCAGTGGAATATTTCTGTTGAAGTTCTGGGCCAAGAATTCACAAAGGCTTTCACTGTGGCTGAATATGTGTTGCCTAAATTTGAGGTGGACATCATATTGCCTCCATATGCAACATTCTTGGAGCGCAATCTTGTGGCAACAGTAGCATCCAAGTGAGTTTAATGATTTCTTGGCAGAAGCATTCATTTGTCTTTTTTTTTCCCTGACAGAAATATAAAAAATCTGTGAAAGTAGAGGCATTTCTGGTGGTTGGGTGCAACACAAGCATAATACAATGAAGTCATGTGAAATTAAACATTAAAAAAGTAATGATATTAATATTCCCATTGATCCTAACATGAATAAGAAGGAGGTCTCCATTTTGTTGCTAATTGCTACTTCATGGTACTAGGCTTTCATCGCTTCATGGAAACAGGGAACATCTTGGTGGGGTTTATGTTGAAAGCCTCCTGAAATTTTTTCCCCATTCATTAATAAGTAGTCATTATTTCTTGAGCTCACCTTGTAACATGAAGATGGGAGATGTGAAACACCTCACTGCACAGTTTCTCAAGCATTAGATAAAATTATAAAGGGATCTTTCTGTGAAGCATTTATTCAGCTTCTCTGAATGGATTTGAGATCCATGCCATAGTTTTCATGCAGTCACAGAAATTTCGTCAGAGGTAGAATTTGAAAAGAAGGTGCTATGCTGCAATATTGGCTCATGACATGCAAGAGGTCACTAGCTTGTCTTGAATGGATTGAATTAATGCACTGAGTGTACAGGGTGGCACAAAAGTCACACACCATAGGGTAACTTAGAGTAAATTTTATAATCGTTTGCCATTAACTTGAAAACACTTCGATTCATTGTACACATAATATTTGAACATATCTTAACTCCACCCTCTTGTCTTTTCTTAATTTTGCTGCTATCAGTTACTTGCGAAATCCTCTATGGTGCATGACTATTCTGCTACCCTTTACAATACACCTCAAATATTAGGGAAAGTTTAAAGCACAGAGTATTATTGTTGGCAACATGCCTTGAGTGATGAAGAAAGAGGGAGTTTTTGCAGTTGAATGGGCTTTTAGGAAAGGTGAACGGCTATAGCTTGGCCACTTTGTGAAATATCTGCTGCAGTGCTTCTGTGATGCGTTTGACAAAAAACTGCCATGGGATCAGACCAATACAGATATGCTGGAGGTATTCTGGAAGAATGCTGAGGTTCAGATGTTTGGTCTTCCAGAATTTCCTGAATTCAAGTCTGTTGTGACAGACTTAACCCTTTATGCCCTGTCGGGACTTGAAAGTCCTGCCTATATAGAATACCTATATTCCTCCCATTTAAGCTTGTAACTTGATGGGACCTACAAGTCCCCATGCATTATAGTGTATCTGATCACCACCAGGTGACAGAAGCTTCTTGAATATGTTTCCTTGAAGATATGTAGAAATATTGTGACTTGTACATCCGAAAGTATCATTACTAGTGAGAAAATAAGCAGTGAATAGGTTTTTATGATATTTTGTTAGAAGCACCTGTGGTAAATGGGTTTCAATTTTTATATAGTATTATAAAAACATGTTCATTCATGATAAATTATAATGCACTGAAAATGTGGTGTGATGTGAGTTTTATGATGAAAATTGTAACTCTGGACTGCAAAGTCCAAACACCAATAAATATTGTTATACAAGAATGAAAATTATTTTGGCTCATTTTTCAGTTAAAAGAAATCTTCAAGAATATTACTAATTACAATGAATAAATTATTATTATTAATAATAATTCAGGGCATATAGGGTTAAGCACTAAGTATACCATGTTTCACAGGCTTCATGCTACTTGGCAACTTGCATATCATACCAGAATGTCCAGCATGTCCTGCTGATGAGTTATGCATGAACAACTGCAGCTGTTCCCTTACAACAGCAGTTTGCATTTTTGCATCACATCCCCCCCTCATTGACTCTGGCCTGGCATTGCATTTCCCCCTTCCTTTTGAGAGGAGTACCAGGAAATGGAGACTGCCCCACAGGTGTTTTCTTCATGCAATGATTAAAAAATAAGGAAAAGATGAAGGATTGCAACAGTTCAAGGACTGGGTCACAGCCTATGAGTTGATCAGTTGCCAAATTTAATGAAAATGAGGCCCACATGTTTCTGGGCCCATAAATGATCAAATCAGGACTGGAAGGTAGCAATAATGGCATAAAGCTCATTTTCATCATCCACATGGCACTGAATTTTCACACTAGTAAGTTGAGATAAATGGGAGAATAATTTTCAAAGACCTGACTGTGATCTACTTATTTTGAGAAAAGCAGTGCATCAACAATACACTGAGCATTCACATTAAAAGCCAAAGAGATGCATAATCCATTTGTTATCTTACTTCAGATCATGGGAAGTCACAAATGTGAGTGAACATCCATTGGAAAAATGGAATTGCGAAGGCTGCCCTTGGGGATTGCTTTCATTCAGTTTTGTACTCTAGGAGATAGAGCCAGAAAGACCTTGGTCTTGTATTTCAAGGAAATAAGGTGCTTTTGTGTCTCACTACTCTGCTTAAATCTGTTTTCCTTGAACATCTTCATAAGACTGAGAAGAAACATAGACATTTTTCAGTATAAAAAAAATCCATACAAGATGTAGTTTTTGAAATTGCACATTTTAATTAATAAATATTTTTAAAATACTAAAATCCCATGACCTGTTGTGCCCCCCCCCCCCCCCTCCCTCCCCTTAGGGGTTACATCCCCCATTTTCAGAACCACTGCCTTACAGTGTCTCCACATGTCAGAAACTAATCAAAGTCAATCAGCAGCAAGTTCTCATATTAGAAACATCATCAAACAAAGTTCTAGAATATTGAGTTTTTTAATCCTTTCACAGTTTGGCACTGAAATATCAGTCTTCCTCCAGGGAGGTTTTGGAAAAACTGGACCTTGCAAAGGTTAATATCTCATGGTCAAGTAAATGTCACTTGCTGCATTCTTCTCTCTGGATCTGTTTGAAAGACTCTTCTGGAGCAAGAATTACTAGAATTGAAGCTTAGGAATTTACTTAGGAAGGCATGGGACAAATTTAGACCAACACAGCCCCATGGATATTTATTTCACGGCAAGCTGTATGATTCTATATGATGGTATTTGGACATTAATTTGCCATACAATCCATTTATCTTTCTATATGCCAATATGGATGTATTCATACTGACTGCCAAGGAAAAAAAGTTGTCTTATTGCTTATGACTGAAAGTTGGTCATTGATATGGGTGTTAATGTTCCAACATGCATGGCATCTATGTTTCATCTCTAGTGTGCTTTCTTTGCATAATTTTCCCTTGGCTGGTTTAGCCACACAAACACTTTGGCCTTTGTGAGTAAAATACTGGGAATTCCTCTTGAGTTCCAGGAGACTCACCTCTCTGGCATTTGAAGCATAATGAGCCCTCCCTCCTATTTGGAAACCCCTTCACAATATAACCATCTCCCCATCATTTGTTCAGGTAATAAGCTTGAATCACTTCTGCTTGCCTTAGATAGCACTGTGATCTCAACTGATGCAATAAACAAGCTGATGCAAAAGTGACCAACAGTTCTGGCTTCCCTCTTTCAATGAGAGACCAACAACAGGCGGGGATGTCAAAAAATTTACTGACATATTTCAAAGTGCCTCTATGGTCAAACCAGAAAGGAGAAATATTCAAATAAATTTGATTTTGGAAGAAAAGCAAAGATGTGTAAGTCCTGGAACATAGATAGTTGTGGCTATCTCCAATTTCTTAATATAAAAATTCAAAGAGTAGAGCTTTTTTTTTCTCCTCACCCAGTTTATGATCAAATGTAAAGGGTATCATATGTTAGATTCAAATATTATTTCAACCTGTGTTGCCTGTGGATGAGTCTAGAAGTGTCCCTTGGCTCCTTAGTAACAGTGCTCCACCTTTACATAGCTGCTGCTTCTGTCCTTATCTGTAGCTTGGCTGAGGATATAGCTGAATGAGGTTATGCATATTAGGTGGATGAATGAGGGAGATTGAGGAGCTTGAAGAAAAGAGGACAACAAATTCATTGCAGTGTATTAGGTACCATGTGGCATTGTTTGACCCATGATATTGGAGGACTGCCTGGCAGACTGTATTGCCTTGTCATTCTTGCATGGGCATCAAGGTCACCAATTTTATGATTCATACAAAGTTTTGCTTTCCTAATTTTAACTGTTGGCTTCATGTCCCTTGAATTTTTTTCTGAAATGCTAGAATGGTGAGTTTTGATTACATATTGTAATGTCCCTTCATTTTTTATTGCAGGTATACATATGGTAAACCTGTGAGAGGAGAAGCCACCTTTGCTGTTTCATTTCTGTACAGATCAGCATATCTACAGCCCTTCTTCAATGAACCATTTTACAAGACTATTCCCATTGATGGGAAGGCATCAACAACATTTGACCTGATTCATGAACTTCAGTGAGTTGATTATATTCCATTTGTTGGGGTTACTGTTGTGGTCATCAATTTTGGCACCTTAGGCAGATTTGTAAATCATGTGCCTGATAAGCTTAGCACATACCTGTCTGACCATTGTGTTGCATTCATGCCTTTTAAGCATAAAAGAGACTGTAACTTGAGATTCCATGAAGGTATCTTACTATGGCATAGAAGTGAATGATATAAATTTGATTATACTTTGCTTCTCAGTCATGAAGCCACATGAGCATATATGAAACTTCACATGAGCATATACGAAAAAAACAAAGTAGCAGTTTGACATATGTTATGACATATATGACCAGATACTCCACTCCAGATTTGGAAATATATGACCATATACATATTTCATATTTCAGTGCATACAATTGCATCATATATTGCTGCTACATGTCAAATCAACATTAAAAAAATAAATATTGGACCTGACTCTCCCAAATTTTTTATTAAATTTGGTTAACTTGGGGTCTATAGAAAAACTAAGCAGTGTTAAGTGTCAGTTTTCTAGGTTTAATACTTTCTGAGATACAGTGATTTGAATGTTGCCAAAACGGACTGATTTCACATCTGCTGGTCATCACTCAAGTATCTATAAGTTTTGTTCTAATTAGCTTTGAGCTGAAAATGGTATCATCTTTAAGTTCTTTTCATACCCACTTAAATATGTATTTCATGGAATTTTTATATTAAAAGGTCAATGGTCTTTGACCTTGACCTTCAATAATTCCAGAAATAGTAGTTCATGTCCTATCAGTTTTTGCACCAGGTAAATTACTGAGTTTCATGTGGCAGTCCTGTAGCAATGAGATGTGGCAAGAAATCATTTTGCAGCATTTCATCATAACAAGCAGAATTCAGTGTCATTGAAAACAATGAGTCCAAAGATGCCATGACTCGAAATGCACTCCACACTGTGATCTCTGTGTTTTGAAGCTGCCTCTACAAGCAGCTTCACAACATGACTATCATTACACAGCTATTATTGGTGGGTAAGTGTGATCAGAATTACCTCTCCAGTGCAGTTGTTGTGAACTCACAGTTTTCAAAGTGAGTGGATGAAAAAGCCATGAATTAAATCTAACCATCTAACAATGGTGTGTACGAAATTACTTTATTATATCTGCCATGGAATAGATTTGCCATTAATTTAAAAATGATCATTTGATAGTTTCATTGCACTTATACCAAATGACCCAATTTTCTAATGCTCATCAATGAATTCCACCTTCAACAAAAAGTGAAGAAGACAAACCACTTTTTTTTTTTTTTTTTTTTTTTTTTTTTTTGTCTTATTTTACTTAATCCTTTTTTTTTTTTTTTTTTTTTTTTTTTTTTTTTTTTTTTTTTTNTTTTTTTTTTTTTTTTTTTTTTTTTTTTTACCTTGCAATGATACGGATACAAGAGTGTATTATCTTACTTCATAGAGGGTAACTAAACTCCTTAATACAAATGCTTATTATAGCCATGCCTTCCAACTGCTCATATCCTCTAGTCCTGGGGGAACTTGTCTGCCAGAAAGTTGGGGTGAGGTAGAACTACTGACCCAATAAGTTAGAAGCCATCATTTTGATCACCTATGATCTGGGCGTGCATTTCATTGATAGTTGTTACATGTATAGCACTGGCTGTTGGTATAATGGGGTCTGCCCTTCAGTCTCCTCTTTACTACCTCTTGGATGTGACATTGATGTCATATGGGATTAGCCATTGATTCAAAGATAACTACATTTTGAATGTGTGTGTGTTCTTGGTGGAAGCATTTTTTTGGTACTGTTCCCATCTTTGTATCTTGATGCAGCTAGAACTTGTCAAGTGGGAAAAAAAGAAAAGAAATGAGCCTATCAGCACTGTGTAGTAAAAGCATGTGAGACAAGAGCATTTAGTATCTAGCTATACATGTGAGATGTGAATGCATAACCCAGTGCCATCTCAAAGTTGACCACTGAGTATATCAGGCATGATTGATGATTTAAAAAATTTTGCCTTTAGATTTTTAAATCATTCACAAGGAACAAATAGGAACTTTCTGATTACAAGTCAGTTGACTATCACTGAGCCAAAAAAATTTGCCCACTTCATAAATAGATATTCTTACTGGTGACAATATAGCCAGTTTGAATTTTATTTATTTATCCTCAATGAGTGCAGCAAACAACATATGAGGGTGGTTAAACATTTTTTGACCAAATAGCAGAAAGTCATTTGCAAGCAACAATATATTTGCACTTTTTCCTCATAATCACTGCCGATATCAATACACTTTTGCCAGCGTTTCTGCAGTGCACAGAATTCCTGCAAATATAAGTACTGTGATCTGTCACCAAGCGCTGAATGGCTGCCACCAATTCTGCAGTGATGCTGGTTGTAGGTTGTCCTATGTTCATTATTTTGGAGACTGCTCCTGCGATGCAGAAATTCATGATGCCACCTCTCCACTGTGCGCCATGAAGGGGCCTCATCAAAGTATACAGCTTTCAATTCCTGCTGGATTTGGTTACTGTTCAGCCCCTTTTTTGTGAGAAATTTTATAACCAACTTATTCATAGCTGCAATGAACATGCAAAGTGTGTAATGTTCAAATGTTATAAGTAAAGAATCAAAATATGCTGTTTCTGCTGGAAGGTTCTAGAAAGTTTACTAATGCAAACAAATAAAAAAAAAATATTTTTCTAAACCATTTCTTTCACCCTTTTGGTAAAAAATTTTTGAACCACCTTTGTATTCTATTACATGCAATGTGAAAATAGAGACTAGACATCAATCTGGAGTTTTACCTTGCTGCTCACTTGGACCTCATTACCCTTTTCATCAGGGACTCAAGGAACCTGTGTATACCTGTGTATACTCAGAGAAGAAGAAAAGAAGGGGTTGTTCTATCTGAATCAATAAAACAGAAATGGACAGAGCATTAATGAACATGGATGAAGAAATTCAGACTGTAGTGTTGCCTTATGTATTATTAATTCATAAATGAAAGGTGTTTGGTCAGGTGATAGTTCCATATTTTTATATCAGGCATGACTTGTGACCAATCGTGTGTTGCTTTCCAAGGCTGATGGATGACTATGAACGGGAGATTCTCTTTGAAGTCACTGTCAAGGAGGCGTTGACTCAACGGAGACAGAATGCAAGTGCTATCTTGCGTCTGCACAAATACCCTTACAAGCTTCAACTGGTCAAGACTGCTGATGCTTTTAAACCTGGTCTTCCATATATTGCTTATGTGAGTCAGCCTCACTTACAATCATGATATGAATGATTTAAACTTTGAACCCACTGAATAGCTTCATGTGGTTTTTTTTTTTTATTCATGTCTTTAGTTAAAGGTTGCCTACCAAGATGACACTCCAATTCAAGATGGGGTGAACAAAGTGAAGATTCGTCATGGATTCACATATAACAGTGAAGAATTCCAGGAACATGAATATTGGATCCCTTCTAATGGAATGATTAGGTTGGAGTTTTTTCCTCCCAATCGAGAAGACATTCATGTGTTGAACATTGAGGTTGGTGCTCTAGGAGCTACTATGACATCATTTCCTCAAAGTCATTCATTTCTGTATATTTTTAAAATTCATTTCTGTTGTTGTCATAGGCTGAATACAAAGATCTCAAGGAGTTGCTAGCTGCTGTCAATCGTGCACAATCTCCTGGAAACATGTACATCCAAGCCATGTTGCAAACCAAATCTCCAAAGGTAGGATACATCCTTCCTCTCTAAGGCATTATTTGATAGCAAGTGATCGTGATTTTCTTGCCCTTCCTTGAAATGTCAATACCACTCAAACACCTGGGACCTTGACATCGCATTGTTCCCATATGCTTCCTTTGGCAGTGTGAGGGTGGGTCTCTTATTTTGGGCAAAATTTGACATTTGCAAGTTGCTTGAATGGTGACATATTCTCTGCCAGATAGAGTGGTAAAAGACACTTGCTACTTCATGCATGGTGGGCTATAGCTAGGTGACATTTAGAGTTGTCACAAGTGCCATTTTTGGAAACACTCATCTTGATGAAGGAGAATGTTTCCATGCTTTGCACATTTAAAGTCCATCTCTATTCTTGCTGAGCATGTCCTGCAGTGCCTTGTTAGCTTTGCCTTATTTGCAGTTCTTGGAATGTGTTAGTCCAGTGGTTGACATAACAAAGGTTGAGACCTTTGTTACGTCGCAACCCATCAAGGCCTCTTTCCATATTAAAAACTGAATTTTCATTGATTGATATGGAAATGATGCTTCCAATCTCTGGGCACAGGTGAATCCTTCATTATTCCTTTCTGCTTCTTTACCCCTTCAAGCTATCTCTGAATGAACTTCACTGGCTCATACAGAACCTTTAATGTTGGGTGAATTTGATGTGCCACTTCAATTTTGAAGGCTTCATGGATGCACCAGACAGTAGTTCACCTCAAACTATGCATTCTGCTTTCATACTTTCTGATATTGTGAAGCAACCTAAAGGTATGAATCATTATCCTTCTGGATTGGTATTAGTTTTGACTTTTTTTGCTGAAGGAAAGTCAACTTATGTCCCAGTGACTTCGCCAGGGGTGCTACCATTAATACTAGTGCTTGGACTCCATTTTTATCTGGAAGTGATCTATCTGCATTTTCATGTTAAACCTAAATAAGTAAATGCAGGAAATTATGGATGAAATGAACTTCGTAAACCTCCCTCTCCAAAAAACTACAGTGAAGGGAACATATCAGGTCAGGTACAGAGAAAAGAAATCAAGAAAATAAAATGTGGTGCATGCCAACCTAAAAGGTCACCTCAAACCACAGCACTGAGGAACCAGAGTAACTGACAAGGAGTTGACTGGAGATGAAGAGCAAGAATGATTAAAAAGGCAATAAAAGGCAATTTAAAGCTGTTTGCCTGCAAGCTTTCTCCTGGTGCTACTTTCTAATATGGATTAGTTGATGAGATCATTCCTGGCAAGTTGAGTTCTAAAAATATTGCCCTGCAGTTTGGTTTTGTGCTTTGGATTGATCTACATCTTCTCAAATATCTCTATATTTTGCTTTTAATTTACTTCATTCCCTCGCAACCCACCTGGAATACCATCACAACAAACTGGTTGAAAACCACTATGTTAGTCCAATCTAATCTATTACTTTAATTGAAAGAGGTAGAAAGTTGCAGTGGCTGTCACCTCCAACATGTGAAGCCTATGATGCTATGCCATTCTGGGCTGTAGGCAGGCCATCCAGGGGGTTAAAGCGCCTGGCCTACAAGGCTATGACATTCTAGGGCATAGTCTAGGCCATAAAAACGTTGGTATCATTTTAATCTACTATTAAATTACTCACCCAGTTGATGGGAATTACTGCTGGGTGTGTCAAGAGTCCTCCCCCCCCCCTTCTGAAAATTAATCATTTTGTAATGCTAGATTTGCTTGAGATGTGGTTTACACTTTTCAAAAGATGAGATAATTCTCTTCATTCATGATTTATTTGTGAGGTGTGGTCTTGATTATAAAATTAGCTGGGCGGCAACACTTTCGAACTTCTCGAGGTTTGTTTGAAAATTGTTAATGTTTGGTTTGAACTGAACTGCTTCATATTTTTATGTAAACATTTTCAAATTTCTGCCCATTAGACAGCCGGTGTAGCTGCAGGCCATTAGTGCATATTTATTATGTTTTTTTTTTATAATGATACCCATGAGTAGGGATGGGCCATTGACTGGTCAATACAGTGAATTATGGCCAATAAGGCCAACTTTCATTTAGTTTTTTCCTGTGCAGTTTTTGCTCCATTTCTGTCATAACTCACAAGTGATAGAATAGGCATAGGAAGTTGACTGGTCAACATAATCATTCTGGGAATTAGCATATTGCAATTGCTTTATAGTCAATTCTGTCTTTCTTGAAGAATTTCCAGACTGTTCCTTGTGCTATCATTTCACATCACAGATGGTTTTTTAAGCCTGCATCTTAGCTACTTAATATTGGGCAAATTTATGGACACGTACACACTGTTTCTGCAATAATCCAAGATTACTGGTATTCAGAAATGTATTTCCTTTTCAGGTGAATGAGGATGTGGAGATTGAAGTGAATTCTACGGTCAACATGAATACATTTGTTTATGAGGTGATGGGAAGAGGAGATGTGATATTTGCGCAGACTATACAAGCCAATGGGGAGAAGACATTTCGATTTCGCTTCAACTGTCGTCCATCTATGGCTCCAACAGCCACAATCCTTGTTTACCTTTCTCACCCAGATAGTAGGGAGATTGTGGCAGACAGCCTCACTTTCCATGTTGAAGGAGCTTTCCTTAACTATGTATGTTGTTATCTCCTTGCTTTGTGTAAACTCCTTAAATCCTGAGAGAGAGAAGGGGAGAGAGAATTGTATTTCTGCTTTAGAAGTTGATTGTATTTGTTTCCATTTCTTTGAAGGTGAAAGTTGAGGTTCAGCCAGAAGAGACAAAGCCAGGCAAGACAGTTCAACTCACTGTGGAGACAAATAAAAACTCTCTTGTGGGAATCCTCGGTATTGATCAAAGTGTCACCCTTTTACGGTCTGGGAATGATATTACTCAGGTAAGGGCACATTATTGCATTCTTTGGCATTTTCAGATAGTATCTTCTGATCAGAAAAGAATATAGATTTTCCTGATGATGTTTGCCATGAGCTGTTTCAAATTCACCATTGGTCATTTCAATTCCAGAAGTGCTCTTCCCATTTCTTGCTGTTCCCATTCAATTTCAACATCATGCATTTCAATTTTGGCAGCACCAGGGAATTTCCTATTTCTGATGGTAGATTGGTAGACAAAGAAGGTATGAAAGAAGAGAATGTTCCCATATTATTAGCTGGTTTCAGGGAATGGAGCATGCAATTTACAGGGTATGGCAAAAAAAAAAAACCTATGACTTCTAACTTGTACATCTTTGCTCTTACTGGAGTTATTTTCATGGAAATTGCACTTTGTATAGATTGATATGTTCCTAAGAACTTATAATTTTATCCAAATTGCTATGACCAAAGTAGGGCAATGAGCAATTATTCAAAAGAAACTGGAAATTGAAAATTAGCGGGGGGAACTTCAATCCCTTCTGTGCACCTCATTCTCTACGAAGACTGAGGGAAAGTTTCCAATGGGGACCTTTTTCTATTGATAAAATCTGAATAATCTTTGTGCAAACTCCCTGCTATGAAGTTATTGCTTTACCTGTTATGATTTTCACAAGCATCATTTCAGTCACTCAACAAGAAAAGAATATCCTAAAAAATCAATTTTAATGGAAGAGATATTCAACATGGCCTGGATTATGCAGAGCAGAGTGCTCTGGTGTGTTCCCCACTTCACTACCAACTAATGTGTTTTTGGACATATTTTAAAAATATGTTGGATATTTTCCTTCAAAATAGTTCAAGTGGGAGATGAGACTGAGTGAAAGTCATTGGATTTTTTTTTGCCCTACCCTGTATGTATCACATGCTCTAGCCTTTGCCAACATAACTGGAAAACATTTTAGTAGCCTTTCATGAAGGAAAGTGGATTTACCTGGGAATTATTGATTTTCATGGTTCTGCAGGGAAAAGTGATCTTTGTGCTTAGACCAGTTTCCCTTTTTTAGACCCTTTTTTTTGCAAATGCTGTAGTCCTGTTGTCATATGACCCCTTCAACTATTCCTTTATAGTCAAAATGTATGTGGATGTAAAAAGCATTCCAGATGTCATCTTTTTTTTCATAGTTTAGTGCTGTAAATTTATGAGTGTGCTGAATTATTTAATAGTTGCCATAGGTGCTCCCCAGCAACCCCATGAAAAAAAATAGAATTCATAGTTGTCATAGTATGTTATGTTAGTTTGTTATAGTATGTTGAAAAAATGTCTTCATCTATGAAACTTGATGAGCCAGATTGTATTTTCCTGCTTGGAAAGTGTAATACACAAGTGGTGTGAATGGGTTAAATTGATGGTGCACATAGCCATCCCATGGTGAACTAAGCTCTAGAAATGAATCATTAATGCATGAACCTTCCCTTCAAGACAAAGATTTCATTCCTGTGATGTATTTTTTTTTGGAGATTTAGCACTCTCACTCCTGAGGGTTGGTGATTAAGGTAATTTTGAGGTATGCCAAAAAATTCATAACTTTGGAATGCAAGAGGATAGATAGAGACTTGCTCTTTTTTGGAAATTGAAGTATAAGTTCTCTATTTTATTGTGATAAATTATTTCAGTATCAGAAAAATTAAAAAGGATGTACCATTATGTCCACCATTGTCCGATGGTAGTTGGGACTGGATGTACAGTTACATACGTTGGATCAAAAGTGTTAATACCACTGACTAGACTTTGGCACACCCCTTCCACATGCATAATTAAATTAGCATAGCTTGATTACCTTGGTGTATCTCTAGATACTTGACTGTACCTGATCTCCCTGTGATCTCTATTTTTTCATAGAGTGAGGTTTTAGAAGAGCTGGAGACATACAATGCTGTCAGGAAGGTTCGTGACTTTGACTCAGAATTCTTCTGGCCTGGCACAGCAACTGCTGCTGATGTGTTTCATGTGAGTACAGTTATTCTTGCTGAATTTTTGAGCATGACATAAAACCACATTGTTTTTCTCAGTATCATGATCTCCACATCGATGCTTTTGTAGCATTTTTGTCAGATAGATTTGGATAATCTTTAACATTGCAGATTGCTATGAAACATCCAAAGTGGCAGTGGAAGAGATCCAATTTTAATTTCCATCTCAGAGGATTTATGTTGTGCTAGTTGCATTCCTGGTTCAGACAGCCACATTGCATCAATTGGTCAGTTGTTTAGAGCTCTAGCAGCAAAGTTGATGTTGTGCTGTCATGAAAGAGTAGACAAGTTGCAAAGGTACAGGAACATTGCCATGTTGGTGCCATCATACAGGCTGATTTCTCAAACCCCTGATGTCATATATTCAACCAGAGTAATGTTATGCCAGACAATCCACAGGGTAGAAGGAAAGGAAAGAGGACATCAGCAGGAAAAGCTGTCTTCAAATTAGTAACAGGAAATCGTTGATCTCATTCTACAGGGAAATAGAAAACTTGACTTGGCCAGTGAGTTCTCACAATGTCTAAGTTGTAAGCCATATAATGATCAAAAGGAATCAGGGTTACAGATACAAGTTGCCAAAATGAGGTTCTTGCAGCAGACATGTGTCATTTGGGGATGTGAAGTGCCACCATCATTGAGAACCTCCATATTGAGGACCTACTAGACAAGAAATATCAAGCCCATTTGTTTGGACATATCTCCCACGTGCCACCTGAGAGACTCCAAAGGAGTCTTCAAATCCTAAATGACAGGGAGAAGAGCAGTCAGTAGGCCTTGTGCAAGGTTTATGGACTATAATGTGAAGCTTTGCTGCAAGGGGCTTCATATTCTGTCTGCTAAGCTCAAGTCTGTAACTGAGGATTGGGAACTCTGGAGGATACTCATGGATCTGCTTCAGCTGCAACCCTGTTGGTTTTAAGACCTCTTAATCAGTAATATATATTTCAGATGCTACATATTGAACTCATCACCACTACCACCACTGCTTGGTGGTCATGAGAGAAATCTACCTTGTGATGTACTGGTCATGTCCCACTTTCACTTTTCGTGAGGACCATCCAGTAGGTGGGGGGGAGTCTAAATGCAAATCATAGTGCTATGCATTTAAATTGTTCAATAAATATCTTTAAATTTTATTTGTTGGATCATGCATTTGATAAAAGTGGTACAATCTATTTGTGTATTGTCTCCCATTTATTCCTTTGTTGTTTCTTTATACCATAAATTTATCTTTTTTTGTTGCAGGGGGCAGGAGTGGTAGTCCTTACCAATGGGCTTGTTTATGAATCTCATCCATGGGGTAAGTTCAAATTTGAAGCAATTCCTAGGCTGAACCTCTATCTGAAAAACTACCAAGGTATCTTTTTTGAGTTCAAAAGATTCTGTATGTGCTACAGCAGTGATGACAAATCATTTATATTTTTTCTGGTGCAAAAAAAAAGAAACTTATCCAATCTGGGTCTAGAGTGCCAATGTTAGTGCTGGCACATAGTCTGGAGTTCTTTTTTGAGGGATTTGCCTGTATAAAGGAGAGAGGGAGGGGGTTTGGTGGCAGGTCATCATCATGGAAAAGAAGTTCAGGGAAAAGAGAGCATTCAAACAAAGAAAAAGGCTTGTGAAAGAAATTGGTTCAGAAGCTTTAAGGGAGAAAAGAAAGTTATATCCTGTTTTCATTTGACTGACCCACATATATGTTTCAGAGACTCTCAGGTTTGTTTGAATTAATCAAAAGTGACTCAAGGTAACCCATTGGCATGACTAAAAAATATTAATCCATGAGTGACCCAAGTTTACCAATGGTTGTGCTAGAGCAGGGGTGTACAACTCAAAAGACTGTGAGAGCCATTTGAGATTTTTACTAACATACTGCTGGAACACTATATTTCTGCTGCTTTATTCATGCATAGTCTGCTAGTAGTCACTGCTTTTTGTCAGTTAGCTATTGACTTGGGTGAAATACTGACACTGATAGTTATCTTAAGTGCTTTTTCAAGGTATTTTCCCTATTTTATGTATTTCACATTTTCATATGAATATCATGTAATATTATTTATAATTGCATACCAAAATATTTTGCTAAAACATTACCCACACAGAATTTCAGGAATTTTAAAGGAATTTTAAAAATTTGGCTGCCCTAGGGGCAGTAGTGAGTGTACATGTACATATTTAATGTCATTCCCAAATAGATATGTAAATGTTCTGACAGACATCAGGAAGTCAGTTATGATGCACTGGCAAACACTCATATGATAAAATATGGATGTTTTAGCCATGACTGATCAACTATGACATTCCTGTGATCAAATGGAGACCTTCATTCTATCAAAAAAACCAAGTTTTGTGATTAATAATGCCCCTGAATCCTAATTTTCCACCACCTCCTCCTACTCACAGAACTTATGAAATGGTATGTCACATTTAAATGAAGAATAATCATATCTAGAGCTGGATTTGCAGGTGATCCTTTCAAACCACCAGATGCAGTTTCTTGGATAGGAATTATTGGTATTATGCTGCATTGACTGGGAATTTCTGTCCAAGAAATAGCACCTGGCCTTCTGACAGCATTGTCCATGACTGGTGCCAAAGTCATTTGAATTTCTGATGGTCTTAGCAGAAAATAATCCATATACAGGGTGGGCAAAAAAAAAAAACCCAGACAGTTTTCCATGATACACCACACTTCACTCGCTGCATATATCTTAATGCAGTTTATAGCATTTGAAAGAAGAATAAATTAGCTTTGAAATGGTGTACTTACATTTCAAATATCTTCAAGTTTTAGAACTTTGCCAGCTCATATGAACAACAAGCAAAGACTGTTGCCACACACTCAGATGCAGATGGCATGTGATCTCCAGCTGCCACTTGTCCACTCCTACTGCTGCAAAAACAATGCAGTTTTTGTTTGTAGTTCATATGAGCTTCAGAATTTCTGAAACAGTTGAAGATATATAAAATGTAAGTATACAATTTTAAAGCTGATTCATTTCTCTTTCAAATACCAAAAACTTCATTACTCTATATATCACTCATTACAAATATTTTATAATTGAAAACTGTCCTTTTTTTGGCCCACCCTGTATATTTCCTGACTTTTATTTATACCTTGTAAAGGTATGACATATAAGATGCAATTGATGTTTTGATCTGATCTATAAGAAAGCCAAATGGATCAAATGGCCAATATACATAAGATTTGTTCATTTAATTCATGAACTGATGCAGGTAATTGGCCAATATGACCAGGTTGGAAACCATGCAGGGAAGGATGATGCAGTAAGGGGACTGACATTGTGTAGCTGTATGTATTTGGTGACCCACCCGCATAGTCATGCACTAAACATGTTTATGGGAGGATGTGCAAAGTGTCATCATGGAAGACTCCCTTCTAGTGGAACAGCAATATGTTATCCACTATTGTATTTGATGTAGTTTGAGTGCATCAGGACTCCTCCATGACAATAATATGTGGCACACCCTCACAAATACACATTCAGTGCTTGACTCTGTAGGCAGATCACCTTTTACATGCAGCTGCACAATGTCAGCCCCCTATTGCATCATCCTTCCCTGCTGGGTTGCCAACCTAGTCATATTGTGTGATTGCCAGCATCAGTTCACATTAAATTAAATGAACAACCCTTGTATTTCTATATATAGTTGACTTCACATACTAGAATGCTGCTTAACAGAATACCATTATGCAGTCCCAATTTTTTAACAATAAGATGTATTATGAAACATTGCTTAAAGGAACACAGCTATTAAAAATGCTCACTCAAAGGAAAAAATTTTTCCAAAAATTTAAATAGTTTTTTTTTTTAATCAGTGAAAACCAAGATGTTTACTTTTCCTTTTTCATGTTTTTGGAAAGCCCCCTTAGCCCCACCATGGAGTCAAGGTCATGAGCAGCTGCTACATGTCTTTTTTGAAGTGAAAGTCCATGGTGAAAGCAATGGAGGACAAAAAAAATTAAGGGTTTTGAACAATGCAGGAGAAAAAGCTGATGTAAATATTTAAAAAAATATAAAAGCACCCAAACAACACAATGTACAGGTGGCCCATATAAGTATATACAACTTTGTTTGCTATAGCTTATGTACATTTTTACCAATTTCAATAATATTTTAACACAAAGTAGTACAGACCCTAGAATTTTATTTGACCAATCTTCACAATATTTGGAAATGCCATTCACGAGTCATGCACTTCAACGTGAAAACCACCATTTTCAAGAATGTGCTCAAGATGCGCACAGTACTCCAACAACATTTTTTGCCTCATTTTGACTGTGATTTCGCCAAAAGCATTCAATATACGCTGCTTTGATTCCGGAATGTCTGTCAGTTGAGTAGTGTATACAAAAAACCTCAAAGCATTGTGCCACTTGATAATGCTCATACAAGTAGGCAGATCTCAACCATATTCTGCTTGAAACTTTCACTCAACAATCATGGGACTTATTGTCCATTCGTACAAAGCAACAACCATTGCCCATTCATTAACCAAAAATGATATTTAAAAGCAAGAAATATGGTAAAATTTAAACAGATTATAAGTTTAATAAACAGCACTAGTAACATGCATGAATGCACAACATGTGAGTCACAATAAAAAATGGAATCTCTCGAAAGCTCTGCATCAGAATTAAATGAAAAATCAGCGAGTGTATGCAAAAGCTTCAAGTTACAGTAAAAATTGAATTTCTTAAAAATTTCATGGCAGAACTCAATGAAAATTTGTAAAAAAAATTCTAAGGTATGCACTACTTGGTGTTAAAATAAATTGAAATTGGTAAAAATTTTTACAAGCTATAGCCAAACAAAGTTGTGTATACTTAAATGGGCCACCCTGTATATAGAAGGTTTTAAAATAATAATGCACAAAAATGGAGATCAATGAGAATAAATTGGGCAGAAGAAGTGACAAGTGGGAAAATTTATGGAAATAGAATTTAAAAAAATGGCACAAATGCACAAAAATGGCTGTTGGGGTGAGACCATTTCTGACTCTCTTAAGCCTAAAACCTGTCCCATCACCTGTTTCGAAATTGATGATTTGGGATCTCTACCATATGAGAGGAAAGTGCACATAATGCCCATTTTCAGACATTCAAATGGGACATTGGTGTAATTTGGTTGAAAAGGACAGATTGGATTTCTTGTTATCTTCAATTATGGGATTTAGGTGGTGGAAATAATGGCAGGGTCAGAATTTGTCTTGCTTATCCTTGGGTAAAATCATTTAAGTTCAGAAGTTTGGGAAATTAAATACATTGTTAAAAAAAAAAAGCATTTGTAGGATTTCTCTCTGAAATAGCTCTTCCTAGCAAGATTGCTGAGTGAAAGATGTGGTGGCTATAACCATTCCACATGATTTCAATATATTTGGCTTAACACATTGACGACCAGCCTATTTTTGCTTGTCCGCCGCGTGGGACCACGTGCATTTTTTTGTCAAAAAATGCGTTCTGCCATCAGGACGCATGGTCCCAGAAAACATTTTTTTTGCCGAGTTTTTTTTAAATGTTNAAATGCGTTCTGCCATCAGGACGCATGGTCCCAGAAAACATTTTTTTTGCTGAGTTTTTTTAAAATGTTGAATTTTTTGGAATTTTTATCAGTAATTATGAAATCATAATCTTCTGGAACGTTCTCAACAGTTCCAGAGGGTATTCATTGAAAAGAAATCTGCATCCTGGCATCAGGACGCATTGTCGCCAACGTGTTAAGTATCCTTTATTGCAGACATAAGAAATCAAGAAAACATGGAGACAGCCTTACTTGAGAAGCACTTCACATGTGTTGTTGATTTCTGTGTTCAATTCCTATTCTACAGAAAACTGGGGAAACATACAGAGTACTGCTAAACCAGGGGTGTGCAACCTTTATTGTGAGTGGGCCGCATGGAAATGTCTGACTCTTCATGCGGGCCATAAAATGCAAAAGAAAAGACTCCCCTCCCTCATGTGAAGGCATAAGGTCACACTAATTGATCAATGACCCTTACCTTCTCCCCATCCCCCAATGCCCAAAAATAGCCCTGTCATTGAAAATCTCCTTCCTCAGGGCATTTTCAGCAGTACCAGCATGAGGAATAATTAGGAGTAGGAAGTGAAAGGACTCAGTTTATTTCTAGTTACTAAGGGATGATCAAAGTTGTGATGGGCCTTGGGCCACAAAGGAACTATTTATCTGCTATTCCATTACCCATTACCAGACTGCTAGAAGCAGGTCTATGGGCCACAAGTGGCTTGCAGGCTGTGGGTTGCACATCCCTTCTCTAAAAACTATGTGCTGCATGCTATTAACCCTTTGACTCCCAAGTTTTTTTTGCCACCATGCCCAGGTTTTTTTTGTTGTTGTGAAATTGCAATCTTTTTGCAGTTGCTGTGATAAGTGATTTATTGTGTATGTTATTTTTCTAAGGCATTAATAACTTATCAAGAGATCCTGGATTGGATTCAAAAATAATAAATAATTTATGGGATTGACAATTGACATGGAATTGATAAATAAAGCTGAAAACAAGTCAACTTGAGCATGGGAGTTAAAGGATAAACAGATTTCCTTTTCCAGAAGCAAGTAATGCTTCTGGTGTGTCCAAACTAAATTGTGTTCACTCTGAATTTTATTGCTTCTAAGTGCCAAACATCCACAAGTAAGTTCTATCAGAAGTTATAAGGCTTCAAAGGACGTCTTTATAATACTCATACCTACTTATATGCTCTCAAATGCCAAAAATGAATCACCAACTTGTACCATTCAGGCAGCACAAGCGAATTACAAGGCTCACCCAACTTAACTATCCAAACATGGGTGGTTTTACTGTATATCTTTCAAAAAACTGTCTGAAGAGATACATTAAGATAATTTCAGTTATGAATACTCCAGATTATAGAATAAAGTTCACTGCTCCCTGGGGTATTCTAATATGTGGAGTTGACTGTATGACCATGTAGAACCATGTAGCCTGTCATTTATGAAACTTTATGTTGGATCTTACATGACAACTAACACTCTAGGTGTGAAATTCTGTGAATTACTTCTCATGCCAAGAACCCACTTGCTGCCAACTTATTTTCATATTGGTTTTCCTGTCAAGTTTTTCTTTCTGTGCTTGCTCTTTGATGTTCTTTTAACACGTACATCTCAAAATTGGTTTCCATAGATAAGGCATTGTATTGCATTGTTACATAATAACACTTTGAGAACTGGAAGTTATGAGTGGTGTTTCCAAAGTAGCCAGATTTATTTAAGTTTGCCTGTCCTTTTTATTCAAAATGCATGAAACTAGGACACACATATTTTCATATCTCCTTTGATGAAAATACTGGTGAAGGTCAAGTTGTGAAGACAGAGGGTGCTGCAGAACATGCATTTTTACAGTAATATAAACTGATGGTAGAGGAAGAGTTATTTGTCAACAAAATTTCTTTGACAACAGGTGGAAAACACTGGAAATATATTTTATCTTAGAAAATGTCTAACATTTGAAAACTGTATTGTTCGTGTGCAGAGCATAATTTTCTTGTTCAACAGATTCAAGAACAGTTACATCCCATGCATGAAACTTAGCAACAGCTGTGATTATTAGCTTATGATTGTTCATAATGGTAAAACTAGTTTTAAACCTGTATTACCTATATTATTACACAAAAATTCTCTGTACATACACTAATTACTTTATGCAGTTTCCAAAATTTTAATACATTCCTAGTACTTTTCCTGTTTAGAGAGTGATGACACAATGCTATTTTTCTGTCATTGCCATTTGCATTGTTTCAAAGATGTATGTTCTACTATGTTGTCAGTTGTCACAAGTTGACTTTATGTAGCACCTAAAGTTGGCAGGAAAGTGTGTCCCCTGAGTTTCATGTGTTCAGAATAATAAACAGAAGTTTAGTCAACCTGCTTACTTTTGGAGCACCCCTCTAAACATAGTATGTGATTCACCCTGGATTTCTGATGATTTTCAAAATTTTCACAAGTAAATATAGATACTATAAAACATGCAAATAAATTGATTTACTCTTTTTAGTGTTGCTTCAAGCTTGTTGCAGGCAATCACAAAATCAGAGGGATTTCTGAGATTCATCCTGAAGTTATTAAATGCCATATTGGCCAATGTGCCATAATGTGACCATGACTGGATGGATCCTGCACTCCAGCACAAGTGTCTTATGAAAGTATCAATGAGTGTAGTAATCATAAATTGATTGAAGATATGTTTTTTTAGGAAATGTCTAAATTGAATGCTCAGTGACTTAAAGGATTTTTGCCTTTTTAAAAAAGGAATCATCAAATGGTTCTCAATTGTTTTCATCAAGACAGGAGGATCTGTTATCTTGCAATCATCCCAGCAGGGTGTCAAGTGGTAGCACCAGCTATATTTTCTGTTGACTCATGAACTCAATGAATGGAGATCACATTTCACTTGAAGCAAAAAAAATGATCATAACTGAATTATTCATGATTTTTGTGAAACTTATTGAGATTCACTACTATATACAATAAAATGACCTATATTCTTGGATGATCAGAAACTGTTAAGTGAAAAGAATTGTGTGCCTCTGGCGTTTCATGTTCCTGTACATTGTTCCCAGCCATGACAGGAATTAGAAACTGTTTGGAACTCTTCGTCTCTTTCTTGATGTGGCATCTTTTCTCTGTTCAAAAGTGTTCTACCGCAGTAGTGAGGTCTGGGATATAGCCTTGGAGAAGGAAGATGATGTAGTGTCTCAAGAAGATTTGACATATAATGAAATGAAGATAAAGGAAGTGGCAACATTGGCCTCTGGAACGTCACCTCAAGTGGCACCAAGACTTCGCTACAATTTCCCTGAAACCTGGCTCTGGATGGATACTGACATGGGGTAGGCTAATGTTTGTCACTTACCAGTCACTGTCCCACTAGTAAATTGATTGTTCACTCATTTTCATGTATTTTCTTAACACCTTAACCCCTCTGCTCATAATGGGAGGCTATATGTACCTTGCATTCAACTATTTTTTCTCACCATACATTTGTCCTTGGGACATGTAGAGTCTCCAGAAATATGCCTGATCAAAAGCCTCAATCCATGCTCTCTTTGTTGATTACTGAGTGACCCCACCAGTTTATTTTCCCATAATTTTGTCATCTTCATCTTCCTCAGTGTGTTAGGGAAGATATAAGTGCATAAATTGACCCATTAAGAAGCCCTCATATGATGTAGTGTTCGAAGGATTCTAGATATCTCTGTTATCAATAGGAAGGTTTAAGTTAATGCTTTTCAGAGTTGAGAGAAAGAGGTTTGACTAGCCTTTCTTCAAATCTGCCTCTCGACAGTGGTAGATGTAGAAATTTTTCATGGGCAAGCTACAGTTCCTGAGTTCCACAGCCCTCACCTTTCATCCTATTGCCGTTTTCATTTTTTGTCTGAGGTAAAAAGCCTGATATCTATTTGAAAAGCCCCACTACAAATTAATTTATGTGCTTTTAAAATTTTAAAATTAGAATGTAAACCTGGCCATGAAGGGGGGGGGGGGGGGCAACAGTGTCCCCCCCTGGATCCACCACTGCCTGTCAAGTCATATGTCTTGGGTTGGTCCCATAATGGCAATACAAATAAATATCTACCTTGCTCCTGACCAATTTGAACTCACTCAGATGCAGCTTAACAATTACCAGCCCATCAGCCACAATGAAAAAATTTTGAGCTCCAGAGATATCCATGCCAGTAAGACCTTTCTATATACCAGACCCATATAAGACAACAGCTAGATAAAGGGAAAAACTCTGCTAGACTAGGTAGATTAACTGGGAAGAACTCTAATCCAATAATGTCCTCAAATCTAAGCCTGCTTGTTTGAAACAACCAGGACCAACTCTGTATAGGAAGAATGCAATAAAACATTCACCTGTCAAGAAAAACAAAAAAAAAGGGAGAAGAATGAAAGGTAAAAGTTTGGGAAAGCTTAGTAAATTGGTACAGAAAGGTACATGAAGAACTAGGTGCATGGAGTTGTTCCGACAAGAACTGCGTTCTACCCTAGCCTAGGCAAAGACATTATGTATGTAGCTATAACCCTGGACCACAAAACTGGGTAATATAACAAGGGCTGGCCATAAGTTTGCACCTGAGCTGTATCTACAGTAGTACCCAGAACAGGGAGGAGCTAAATCGTAGCTTAGGCCAATGCAGAGTGAATCTAGCAATAGGCTTGAACCTCAGAATAGGGTAATAATGTGACTTTGTCATGGGGTCTGGATCCCAGCTAAACCAAGGCAGCTGATTGCATATAAAAATCTGAGAAAATTAAACAGATTATTGGCAATGGCCCTACCATACTTATCTGCAATGAGTGAGTTTTAATGAACATGCTGAACTTTTTTAATACCCAAGTTGCATTTCCTTTTTTTTTTCTCTGTGTATCTTGCAAAATGCTTCAATTAAGGATGAAGCTGCTGCTACAGTTACACCTTACAATAGAGTGACTTAATTAAGACTTGTCTTTATCAATATGTATTTTGGTATTCTAGATATAGGTTGGCATGTCACAAATTTCCATTTAAAATCTTTCCTTTTATCATATCTGGTAAAACCATCTATGTTTGAACAGTTAGACCTCTTGAGCCTTGTATTTCGCTTGTCCTGAAACTGCACAAGCTGGATGCTTCATTTTTTATGCCTGAGATCACAAAATTAGTAGGTATGAATGTAATAAATATGTCATCTTTCCGAGCATCAATGCTTCCAGTTGTGCCTATTATGTGGATATCCAAACTTGCAGAAAAGAAAAGATGCAGAACAAATTCACTTTGAACACTTTTAAGTCCAGATGCACCAGAAGTAAGGCAGTAATCTGTTCATAGGATGCATACTCTATGCTTAGCAGTATTCTATGTTCCCCTGGTTTCCTTTGAGAAACTATAAGAATCGAGCACAAAAATCAACACTTCATGTGAAGTGTTTTGTAAGGGAGGTTGTCTCCTTACTATTTTTTAGTATCTTCCATCCATGTCATAACATTTACTTAGGCACAATATTTGAAATTATGCATAACAATCATGGCCACTACATGTCTTTGTATCAAAAGTGTTCATCTTGTGCCAGAATAATTTTTTCTGAGGATGACCTTGTGAATGGTTAGTTTTATAACACTGTATGTTAGAGTGTCCCAATATAGGTACTCTCCAAGCAGGTGGTTTTATCCTGTGCAGGGGGTAATTTTATGACACATGCTTTCAAAGATCAAGACAGTGGGCTTCTTAGGAAAGAAATGTAGTTTTCCCTACCCATATCCAGTATGGACATATACTTGTGATTTCTTCCTTAATTAAGTTATTATTTAATATTGTTAGATCTTTTATACAGGGTAGGGCATAAACTATTCTACAGTTACTATACAGCAAGAGAGGATTCATGTTGATCTTTGAACTGAGTGCCATCAACATTGATACACTCTTGAAACTTGTTGGCAAAACTCATGGTTGCTGTTGATTTTATGGAAAGCATTGGGGATGGGACATGACATCCATTACAAATACCAAGAAGAATTCCATAGGAGTTTAATCTGGTGACTGCAGGCCAGGCACTATTTCCATGATGATCAAGTTACCTGAGGGGAAATGTTATAAGCAGCCATTTGTGGATAGGGTTTTTGGAAGAGGTGAGCTCAGTATTGTCTGGTGAATGACAATTTTGATGAGGGGTCATGCAGAGCCAAAAGGAGGGTGTGCTGAGCCAAGACAGTCCAAAGAAGACGATCATTCTGCATGAGAGCTTTTGTGCTGTACTTCAGAAATGTACCATGTTCATTGCTGCCCCTCCCAAATCTAAAGCCCAAGGCCATTGCCCATTTGCACACCACCTAATGCCAATCCTGGGAAGGGGCTTGAGCCTAGATTGTGCTTAGGTTGATGGCAACTTATAGATCAACCCTCAAAAAAGGCCAATATCAATAGATGGTGGATGGTGCATCTAATTTTCCTTATCTCCCACCTTCAGAAGCAAGTGAATGCCAGGATCTTTATCTTTTTCTCTGACTGCATGCTTGAATTCTTTCCGAACATGACTCCTGGGCACCCTTGAATCCTCTCACCCTTGGTGCTTCTGTAAATTTGCGAAGAGTCCACTTGAGGTGCACAGGTCCACGAGGAGACTTCTTTGACTTCCTTTTCTTCTTTTCCAAGCATCTGCATCTCTTTATCTTTAGAAGAGGGATTAAGGTATCGTGGGAGCCATGATGGGGTTTCAACGCTGAGGCCGGATGTTGGCCCTCCTGTTCCTTATAGTCCCCCAGCGACCCGCCCTCCTTTGGCTGGTCCTTATGCTTTCTCTCGAATCCCTCGTCCTGTGGATCCTCGCCCAAAAGTCCTCGTCACTCTGCCTCCTCAACCCACCTGGCTGTTCTCCAACATCACTTTTAGGTCTGTTACTCTCTTGATTTCTCTTTTCTTTCTCTGCAGCTTTATAAAGGGTTCATTGAGGTGCATGGTAATCCATGTCAGTTCAGACCCAATCACGTTGAGCAAGTAAGTCTGGATGAGTGAATTCAAATCAGATTTTGGGTGCATGAGTGATAGCAGTGCAATGTAATGCAGTGTGATTACTGACCATTCACTGTCCCTAGATCTTAGGAAAGACAAGAAAGACAGTACAGTACAAACTATGGTAAACTGAAGGTATGCAAAAATTCAAAATCCTGTCATATGTTGGATTTTTATTTTCAAGAATTTGAGGTATATGAATCATGTTGCTAAGACTGGTAGTTTTCATAGTAAAAGGTTTGAAGTGTGGTTATGAAAAACCCTGGGGGGTGGCATTTTGAGGGGTAGTTATGGAATACATTGGGGCCAGAATTTTTTAAACAATGGTTTTCCTGTATTAGGGTGAACACTAATGATTTTTTGCAGTTTTTTTTTGAGACATTGAAACATAATTTTCATTGTTGAACTTGGAATGGTGTGGCAAACCATCTCATGTGCCTGGATGTAGCATGATAGGGTCCAATACACCCAGAAATATCAAATCACACTGCACCAGCAGTCAACTTGTTCACTGAATTCATCACTGAAGTACAACTATTATGGTCCTGAATCAGAGGTGGGAAAAGTTATTCTGCTTCCTGGTAACCATGGTTTACCTTCCTAGTTTAGCAGGTGTGTGAAGTGACCTTGTGTTTGGGGGCTGAGCAGAGGCAGAAAGGGGGAGGGGGGAAGGGGGTGCTTCATGGTTTTTTTTTTTTTTTAAAGTCATTTGAAAGGGTCTTTCAAATGACATTTCTTCAATTTTTTTTTTTTGCAGAGGAGTACTTTGTATCAATATTTTAATTTCTGGATTGGAATATTGATTTTATTAAATTCATATTTCAAGCCTCCCCTTCTTCAGTCAAATTAAGTCAGTCAACGACCTATGAAACAGCATGTAACTTTAACTTCTATGCTTGCTGCATTCTTCGCAAGGATTGACAGCCACTTCTTCCTCCAAAATTGAGATCAAGAGCTTGAACTAGGAACTCTTTGGCGTGTCAAAGGGTTTGAGAGCTCATTAGGGCACTTTGTCGCTAGACATATGCCCTGCATATATTTTCTCAGTCAACAGGTTGTATATAAGTTGACAGAACACCCAAACTGCTACATACTAGGAGGTCTGGCATAAGACCATGTTTGTAAGGTGTGGAATCAAGAGAATGTGACCAAATTGAATGGTGCTCTGATAGGGAATAGAGATCAATGTATCCTCTCTCAACCCTGGGGCCAAATAAGGTCACTTGAAAAAGACACAAAGGGAACAATTAACCTGTCAGCAGAAAGCCAGGTAATGTGAGGCTGACTGCCAACTGATTGATTAAAGAGCAAAGGAAGGGGTTTCCGAGGCATAAGATACTGTCTAATTTGGTGATTGCTTACCTCATGAAATATGCATTCAAAATTGTAATCCTTTTTAAAGACAAGGCTGCCTCTGTTTCACAGTCAGACAAATTTGATTGATGTCCCCACTTCCCACCTTCTATCCTCCTCATTAGGGCATGATCCTATAACCATATACAATACTGAAATCATTCTGCCTATGTGCTGGGCATGGGTGGAAAAAACCTATATCCTTGTCCATGAACTTGCCAACATCAGCCATGGAATGTCTTCCCACTGCATTGGGAATGTCTTCCCAGTGCTGCTCAAGGGCTTGATCTTTCCATCCCGCTAGTATTGTCTTCCTGGTGCCTCTTGGAGGCTTGATCTTTTCTCAGTCAGTCATCATTTACCTTCTTTCAATCCTTTACCATCCCTTGTCCTAAATACCCTGACTCTCTCTTGTCTTCCTGTGCTTCTTCATTATTTCCTTCTTCCCCCCTCTTAGTTTTTTTTTTTTCTCCCTGCCTTGCCTTCCCAATCAATCAGTCACTACTCCTCCCAGTAACTTGATTTCCAGGTTGCAGAACTTTTTTCCACCTCTGGTCCTGATTAATCTGGGTGATAGATTCAGTAAGGAACTTCTGAGTCAAACTTATCTTGCATGTTATGTATGTGATTTTCCCGGCAAGAATGCCATCACATGAAAGTGGTTTTCATAAGATTTGCTATCAACTACTGAATCTCCTTGGTGACAGATCAATGATTGAATTTCTCTGAGAATGGTGCATTCATTATGGATGGAGGAGCCAACACCAGAAGTGGCAAGCAAAAGCCACCATTGTTTTACTTGTCACAAGAAATATTATTGTAACCCGTGGCAGAATCTGAACTTTTGAATGGCTCCAGCAGATTCTCTATTGAAGGAAGAGTGCTGTGAATGTGGGACTGAGGTAAAGGACTTGGTGACAGTAACAAAGAAAATGTGATATGGAAGTTTGAGCCTATTTGGAGTACCATCACCATAGCTAAGTTGATCAACCAAATCCACATGAAACTGCATGATCCTCAAATGTGTGGGAGCACTGTACCTTTGACAAGTGAAACCCCATTGACAGCTTGATTCTTCTAAATGAGTAATTTTAATGCAACCCCTTGTGCACAGTTTTGGACAATTTTTTACTTGTGATGCCCCAGAACTTTGGTAAAAAAAAAAAATTTTTTAAGTAATACTCTCTGCTACATTCCTCTACTTTTATGCTCTTACTTTTACTCTCATGATACTTTTGGAAGCAGGAACCTAAGTGAACCCCTACTTTGCATGCTGTGCACTGCCAGGACAGTTTCTGTTACAGTTTCTCCTTGACATGTACTGGGTGTGTCATTTGTGTTCAAGAAATTGAGTAAACAACTGCTGCTATCACATCTGTGGGGGACACCTAAAAATATTTAATAAATAATTTGTTCATTCAAATATTGAAGTTGCTTCAAGACCTTGAAGTTGTAGGCCTGTAGGGATAATGCAATTATTAATATTTGGGATTTTGGGCTACATTTTCTTTGGAATTGATGTCCTGAAGTCTGGTCCATGGACCCAGAAATATTTCATTGAATGAGAGACTCTGAAGGCATCAAACTAATTCATTAACCCTTTTGCTGACAATGACATCTCCTGACACCCAGGAAACACCAATGCCTCCATCAATGATGCCTCTGGAAGGAGGTTGGAGATTTGACCCTTTCTGTGGCATTGGTGCAATGTTACATAGAAATTCTTGAAACGTTTGGATACCCCAGCTAGAGTAAGGATTCGGCATTTTAGAGAGAAATTAAGTCAAAAGAAACTTATTTTTATTGCAATCTGATGGCGATTTTTGGCATCTGTCACTCTCAGTGAATTCAGATCCAGTAATGACTTCAAAAACAAAGTAATTGGAACACTAAGGTTGTGGTGCAATTGGCCAGGCAAGGTGGTCTTGCTCACTGATAAAGATTATGCAGTATGATGCTCATAGAAGAAATACCGACATCTTATATGCTCTTTTATGCTTAACAGCATCTTGTTGACCTATAATCTTTTAAAATTAGGGTATGTGTGGATAGAATGAGTGTTGGACTTGAAAGCATGGCAGAATATTATCAATGTACAAAAGGACTAAAGACCAATGACTACTATGCCCATGTGATGACCATCATATGGTTTCTTAGTCAGAGCAAATACAAGCATGAAATCAGGATACAATCTGGTTACCCTAACTGTTACATTAAAATCACTGTTGATTTTTGTAAACCCTTTCATCAAAGGTGATGTTGAAAATTGAATGACATTACATTGAGAATAATCGCATTTTAAAAAAGTACAAAAAATTACATTAAAAGTACCACATAGCTTTTCTCTACCAAAAAACAGCAGTTACTCATGCAAACAATCCTCAACTGTAATAATACAATTTGTGCAAAGAGAAACCAATAATATTGAAAAAAAAAACTGTAAATAACCACCAAGGAATCCCCACTTTCAATCTTTGTATTTATATTACTGTAATTGCACATAACGCATTGGCATCAACAATAATTAACACATGTGTAACATGGGGGATGTTTCCATGTCAACAGGAAACAAATTTATGCATCTCAAAGGGGGTGGGAATATAAGGGGTGTCCATATACTTAAGAGGCTATGCTGTCCCCATGTCAGTCAGTATGTCATTCTGGAAAATTCCTCCTAAACAGATGAACAAATTTTCATGAGTTAGGTGTCAATTAAAAACCCATGACCTAGAGGTGATACTTACTGGGTCAAAAGTCCAAAAAGTCAGCTATGGACATTGTTGCTATGTCATTCCAAGAAATTCCAAGGCCAAACTTTGGAAAAGGTGGGAATTTATTTGCCAAGTCCAGTTTTTTCTCATATCCAACTAGGAGTGGACATGAAAGTCAAGGTTGTAGAATTTGAAACTCAGGGAAGACCTAAAAAACTCAACATAAGTCTTCACTAAAATGTCATTTACATGGAGATATTTTGATTAACTGACACTAAATGTAATGTGGAAGCTCTCTACATGATTACTTGTAAATGATTGAAAACAGAAAAATCAAAGAATCTGTAATGGGTACCAGAAGCAAGAGTTTTCCATTCACATTATGTATGAATATTCATATTCCTAAGACTCTTTCATCAAAAATTTGTACTATAATTTTACTTCCAATATTTTCTATATAATTTTATTTCTCATGAGCCCTGTTTCAAGTTTTGTATTCCCCCCTGGAACCCATCTCTCACTTTGCAACTTCTGTAATGCATCTTTACTTTTTTCCATATGAATGCAATGAGATTTTAAAGCTTTATTTGTATATTGAGTCCATGAATAAAATTACATTTCATTGTTTTAATTAGTCTCACAGTACAATCCCTTTGTGTGCATGGGCTTTTACACTAATTTGCCTATGTTTAGAATTTTTCTGAGTTAAAAAGCAGTTTCCAAGAAGGCAATTAGCTGGCCTTGTTGCCAATTGGAATGCAGGTTTGGGACAGATGGTGTCCCAAAGTCAGTGGTTGAGGATAATGCCCTTCAAAGTGAATGAACATGTTTCTATGATATTATACAGGGCAGGACAGAACCTTTTTCTCCCCACCCCATACTAAAGTATGAAATAGACTTGGGAAAAATACAAATGTATATAGCATTCCTGAATAAAAATGAAACTCATATGACCAACTCAGTAATCTGTGTGACCACCACCTGCAAGATGAACAGCCTACTGGTGATAAGGGTAGGATTCAAGTATTTCTCAAAACAAATCTGTTTGGTTTCTCCATGCCTTGGAGTACTTGGGTAAAGTTTCTCTTGAGTATTTCAGGGGCATCTTGAGCGTCACAAAATGCAATGAATTTAATTATATCACTCTGCTTCTTGCAGTACCATCATAAGTGCATAAGTACCAGCCATTTTGACATATTTATATGAAAATGATCAGAAACAGTTTTGCGTGAATCAGGCTTTCAGATCTTACCCAACATAGGTTAGCAGCTAAAATGCAGTCTCCAGTTGTTGGCAAGTAAGGCTTAAATCCAGCATAATTAGCTAATTGGCCATTTTCAAGCATCCTATCAACATCTTCCCATATGAGGACCTATTACTAATGCTTCCTGGTGTGTGCACAGGTTGTCCACTTCCTATGGGAATCATATCAGTGTGGCCAAAAATTGGGGTGTTTACCCTATATGAATATAATCTGTACACCTGAATGCTTTATATGCATGTGCCATGCATTCTTGGCATATCATTCTTCAGAATGCTTGGTTTTATGCTACAGAAATGATGAGAAGCAGACCATCACAACGAAGGCTCCAGATACAATCACGTCATGGGTGATCACTGCCTTTTCCCTTCATCCCCTCTTTGGACTTGGAATCACTGACCAGCCGTCAGAGGTAAGAACTTCCTATCAAATTAAACAAAAAGAAGGTTGTAAAACAGGTTTCTTGGCACCTAATGTAGTATGTCATGCACACATCCTTTTGACAGAGAAAAGCCTCTTCAGATATATTGGTATGAAATGTACAGGGTAGCCAATAAATTGGGTTAGCTGCTCAAAGGTATGCTTTATATGTATATTTGGGCTATATGAGCTTTGTTATGGCTCTGAAATCATTACCAACATCTAATACAAGGTATCCCATTTATATCTGACACATTTATTTTTGTAATAAATCAGGACTGAACAAAGTAATGCAAGCTGTTATATCAAAGTAAAGTACAAACATGGGAGATTGTCGCACTAACTATCCCAGGTCTACATCTTAAAAATTAAATTCTTTAAATGCTATCTTTCACAATTGATGCATTCCTTGCATCTAACCACTACATTGTTCATTACTCTAATCAGTGTGTCTTCACCAATAGCAGTGATGAGTTCATTAATCATGATTTAAAGTTCATGTTTACTTCTGGGATGTGTCTTGTAAACTTAGCTCTTCAATAATCCCCAGAGATTATTGGAAAAGAAAGTTTTGGCATGTATATATATACATATACAAGGTGTCCAGAAAAAAAAGTACACCATTATATATTTGAGTTTCTCGGCAACCAGGAGACCAAACTGCCTAAAAATTTGAATCAAAAGAGTTCAAATAGTCAGGAAACATGCCTTAAAATATTAAGTGGATCAGTTTGACCTGAACCCTGATTCATATAATTTAATGAAGTGATATCGAAATTAGACCAAACGGTTTATTTTATCGCCTCAGTTCAAACAAAAACAACTATCATTGCAAATAAGGAACAATCAGCGCATTAATTTATCTTTGGAGATAGTGAACAATGTCATTGACAACTTTCCAAAGAGACTCAAGTAGTGCATCAAAGCTGGAGGTGGCCATTTTGAATATAAGTGATTCTATTATGATCCTGAGTTTATAAATTGTTTTGTTCTCACTGGTTGTAAAAATTTTGTCATTTTCAATAAGTTGTTTCATTTTTTTATTTTGTCTGGGTATTTTTGCTGCACCCTGTATTTTCCTATATTTTTTATTGAATAAGGGAATTTTTTTAGGATGTAGTGAAAAATACACAGCAGTGTATTAAATTGAGATGCTGAGTACTGTAAATTTACAGGGCAAAAGTTGTACTTAGGCACAAATTTGATGATGGTTACAAAATGACATAGATTATGGATTATATATATTATATATACTTGGGGCACAGACGCTTGTAGGTCAACTTCACTTTCTGGGACATGTTTCCCTTCTTGATCTCTTGAAGGGTGCTAAGGTCTCGCCTTGCTGCATCGATCCAATTTTGGAGGTGCCATCTTCCAAGATGGAATCGAGTAAGGGCACTTCCCGGATATTGGGGTAGGCTTTTCTGGTCCTTGCCATTTCTGATGGATGGTAATGGCAGCTGCGAAGACACAGTGGTTCAGCTCGGTCAGATTGCAGTCCTCAAGGTCGCAGGAGCTGATGATCTGGTTGTTCTCCTCGATGTCTTTGGAGATGGCACAGTTGAGCTTTAGAGGTCTTAGTTGGGGTCGGTCGGACATCTGTAGGTACCGCAGATCTTCTAGATCAGGTGTGCCCAAAGTGTAAGTTCTCTAAGACGCTTTGTGAGCTGGATGTGGCCCGCAGGCCGCACTTTGGGCACCCCTGTTCTAGATGATCAAGTAAGGTAGTTCTCAGTTCTTCAGAGGGCACTTCTGGCTCTGAAGGAGCCTCAATTGCCCTCAGTGGAACCTGAAGTGGAGTTTCTTCAGGTGCTGCCTCCTTGTTTTTGGGTACACTACATTCTGATGGGACTGATGGACTTATTCTTCAGTCTCAAGTCTCGTGCATATGGAATCAAAATTTTCAGATGTTCTGGATGAAAACTTGACCAATGCAGAAGAGCACCAACATCCATTCATTTCCAGTACAGATCTGTGGAGATGATTCCCTGAGAGAGGAAGATTCTTATGTCAAAAATTGAGATGGATGATGAAGAGTGGTGGAAAGTGAAGTCGATGTTAGTGTGGAAATTTGAGACAAAGTGGAGGAAAGCATTCAGTGCCTCTTCACTTGCAGTCCAGCCCATAAAAACATCATCAATGTACCATTTGTACAGAAGTGGCCTAAATGCTGCTGCAGCGAGTATCTTTTCCTCAAGGACATGCATAAAAATGACACTGGAATTTACACCTGTGACTCCAACGTCATCTACAGCGTCCACTGCAAGAAATGTCACATTTCTTGCATTGCATTCTTATATTTGGGAGACCAACACCTCTTTCTGTCTGTGTTTCAACAACCATAAGTCCTCAATCCAGGAGAAAACCTTCAACCTTCCAGTAGCTTATCATTTTGGGAACTCCTCCTACTCTGGGGATGACATTGCTGTGGATATATTAACTGGGATATTGGGATCTGAAAAAATAGCAGGATCCACATCATGGGCATGGTCCTGCTCAAACCATTGTGTAGAGAGATCTTTTTCAAAAATCCCACTTGAGCTAAAACAAGCTAGAAGAAAATGAAAGAGTATAGCTGAAATGTTGTTGATTAAATGAAGCCACAGCTTAAGTTATTCTCATAATCACCATAAATGCATAGTCTACCATGCATTTCAGTTGCAAGGCTGATCAAGCGAATTGATCATTAGTGGTGGTACTGGCAGATGGACTTAAGTCGGGATTGCTTCTGGGGCATTAGGTACTGCCTAAATTATTTACATCTGCAGTCGTAGCACCTGATGGCAGGAACTTTCTGGATAGGGTTTGTTAATCAGACTTGTGGCCTCAACCCCCTTAACCCCTTAAATGGACTCGCCAGATATGTGCGGTCTGGCACCTGCCATCTCTCAATGGAATCACCGCACATATGCCTTCAAAAGTTCCCAGTTAAGGGGTTAAGATGCAGGCTGCCTGACAAATTTATGGGATAGGATCCTTCACTCTCCTTTCTCTTTTTAACTTCCTTAAGCCTTGCCCCATGCCTGCAGGCTGTTCTGCCATAGCTAATCATCCTATGCCATAGTTTCCATCATATGTCCTAAGGGGATATCCCTCAAAAAAAAAAAAAAATTTTAATTAGCATCCAAAGAATTACAGGCTTTAAACTTCAACTTTCTATACTTTTATATTTGCCTGTTTCACTTTTGTGAAATTGCCTTGAGAAACATCTCATCTGAAAATTGTGCCCTGAGGGAATGTACCTTGTAAGTAGGATTTTTCCTGAATTTAACACTTCAATACTGACTTTTGTACCAGTTTTCAGGTTGCTACCATATCTAGAACACAGAATTAGCATCAGTCACTCACTCAGTCAGTGTCTCATTGTCTATGTATGTTAGATGTATTTTGCATGCAACAGCATATAACTGTCATATATGCTCTTTCCACCATGCTGGGAGAGAGAACTTACTGCCAAAATTAATTTGAATTATTGAATATTCAATCAATTCATCAGCCTGCAATCAATCTGATGAAAGTACTTTGAGTAAATCCCATATATAAAAATCATTGGTTTTTTGAGGAGTCTCTCTATTTGTATTGTGAAACAGATATATTCTGCTTTCCTTTCTTTTTCAGCTTCGAGTATTTCGCAGTTTTTTCATCAGCCTGAATCTCCCTTATTCTGTGGTGAAAGGAGAAAGTCTTGCCCTCCAAGCAGTTGTGTTCAACTATCAGGATAAGCCCTTAGAGGCTGAAGTCACACTTGAGAACATGGGGAAATATGAGTTCTTGGGGCACACAAATGATGTTGCCTCAATACCTCCTGGTGAGTTCTGCATGACAAGATGTTTCTTACTTCATGTTACATGAAGTGTGATAATTTGACTTCCCAACTCTTTGAGTGACCATGTGGCCAGGAAATAATACCAGTAATATGAGGTCTGATCAAAAAGTTCTAAGACTTAATTTTTTATGACACTGTGTTGACTCTTTCCGACTGCTGATAGTTATATCCTTTAAACTAGTCCTCTTCGGCATCTACACAAATTTTCTGGCGTTTCTTCAGTCACTGGAAGCATTGCTGACACTCTTTTTTTGGAGTCATCAACAGCACTTGCGGCGTGTTCGTAATGTTGTTTTAAATGTTCTGAGATTTCCTTTCTTTTGCAATTTCAGCACATTCTTTAGTTTAGGGAACAAAAATAAATTACTAGGAGCTAAACCCCAATGAGTTGGATGGCTGATGAAGCACGGGATTACGGGGTAGGTCAGAAACTGCTGAAATTGCAAAAGAAAGGAAATCGCAGAACATTTAAAACAGCATTATGAACGTGCCGCGAGCACTGTTGATGCCTCCAAAAAAGAGTGTCAGCAATGCTTCCAGTGGCTGAAGAAACACCAGAAAATTTGTGTAGATGCCGAAGAGGACTAGTTTAAAGGATATAACCATCAGCAGTCAGAGTCACCACAGCATCATAAAAAGTTAAGTCTTAGAACTTTTTGACCAGACCTCGTATGTGCTGCATGTGTTTCATTCAGATAAATAGGTCAACCCATGTCCATTCTCACATATTCTTTTTAGAGAGGAAAGTCTGTAATAAGCACAAAAAGTCGTCATAAAATGTATGAAAACACGTATGGCATGTATGGTAGAGTTTTCTGCCAAAATGGTGATGTTTCAGGAGGATTTTAGATGGTAGCAATGTGAAGTTGGTTATTCTTGTGAAGATATTTGATTGTCGCTGGTCTTTTAAATTTTGCATTAAAGTTTAATGTAGGCCACCAAGCATGTTCATGATATATAATGGGTAATAAAATCTGAAAGTATACTACACAAATTGTAGTTGAAACAGAATGTGCACACATTCAAAGCTGATTTTGATTCTCCATATTTATGAATGAGTTGTTCTTCCATGGGCATCCTCTTGGAGTGACAAAATTAGATGGTCAAGCATTTTTTTATATACATATTTTGCCCCTAAATTGGCAGTCAAGCATTTTCCTTTATAATGCTGGAGTGATGCATGAACTTTTTTAAATAAGTGTAATGTTGTCAATTTTAACAAAATGTATTCTTACTTTTAGAAAAACCTTCCTAATTAGTTATGCAAAAGGAATATGTTAGACAAACTTCCATGTTTTCCAATCTTGGAATAGGTACTATGCTGACAACTGCCAAGATTTTAGTAAGCATATTTCTCAGCAGAAGGTGATATGTATTTTCTTTCTTTTGTTTTTTTTTTTTTTCAGATTCAAAAACTCAAAAGAGGAGGGTTACGATCCAACCAAGAGATGGTGCATCAGTAACATTTCTGATAAAACCCATAGAAGTGGGAACAATGGAAATACATATTACTGCAAGAAGTGCTCTGGCACAAGATGCTGTTCTTCGACATTTACTTGTAAAAGTGAGTCATGAGAGGGTGATTGGTATGCTATTCCATGTCAACTCAACCATGACATGACCAAGTCTGAAATGCTTGAAATTCAGTAAGTGATGTATCATGGTTGTAAATGTTAACACGTTGGCGACAATGCGTCCTGATGCCAGGATGCAGATTTTTTTTCAATGAATACCCTCTGGAACTGTTGAGAACGTTCCAGAAGATTATGATTTCGTAATTACTGATAAAAATTCCAAAAAATTCAACATTTAAAAAAAACTCGGCAAAAAAAATGTTTTCTGGGACCATGCGTCCTGATGGCAGGACGCATTTTTTGACAAAAAAATGCGCGTGGTCCCACGCAGCAGACAAGCAAAAATAGGCTGGTCATCAATGTGTTAATAACAAATTTCATTGCAATGAGCAGGAATTGGCACCACTCTAGACCTAGGTTTTCATTTTTGATTTACACTTATACTGTAAGTTCATATATAATTGTGCTGGAGAGAAGTTAAATAGCTCTTTAGCTTTATTTTTGCCTCACCTTGTTCTTGATTGGTCTCTTCATTACTGTACCTTATGGGATGTTTGGTACATGCCACTAATTTGTGTTATTGAGAAATAAAAAATTAACCTCATTTTGAGTTTACCAGATCTGGGAAATTAATTTGGAATCTGTATGCTTCTTGGGACCATTCTTCATTTTTATAGCATTTTTTCTGACAAATACATATTGTTCAATGCTCTCATGCCATGATATTATCCAAAAGCATCCTGCTGAGATGGTTGGATGCAAGTTCTGCTAGATGCTATGCCTTCATAATTAACTCATTGACTGCCATGTGACACGCCAGCATGTCAAAAACAATTCCAGGTGGCAGCCTTTGGTGGTCAAAGTGTTACTCCTCTATTGCTTAATGATGCCAATTGGCATCAAAGCAAAATTTGAGAACATGAATAGAGAACAAATATTTTGAGTGTATATTTTGCCCTGTGATGCCAAATCCATCAAACCTATATCTCACAGTTCATTTTTCCCTCAAAAAAATTTGTAGTGAAATATTTTGAGTAAATTTCAAAATAAATGATAGTTGACATGATACTTTTTTTGCCACATTCCAATAATTAATGCCATAGATCAGGGGTTCTTAACCTGGGGTCTGTGGGGTAGGTCCAGGGGGTCTGTGGAGGGCACATGGAAAATTAAATATATAATTGATGGTAGCTCCCAAAAAAGATCATTTATAATTATAAATCCAGGTGTTCCAAAGTTTCTGATAACCAGGGGTGGGTGTCCATGGGTTATACTTGAGGATCTGCGGGGGTCCGTTGGTGATAAGAACCCTTATCATAGATGGTTAGTATAATGGTTTTGATTTTGATACTGGGTAGTGCAACTTGAGATCTAAAACAAGAGATATGGAACATCTCTCTGGCTCAATTAGGATTAATTTTTGTTGCAGAGTAATAACATGGGTTGTGCACAGTGGTGTCAAAACTAGTGTGTGACAGACCTTTGCTCATTGCAATTCCATTTTAATCAAAGCTGAATTTCATGTTTGAAACCATTTTCTATTTCCAGCCAAATTTTAGGCAAATAAAAATATTACTGAAGGCAAAAAGTCTAAATTGTGGTTTACTTGGCATGGAATAACTCTGGTTTTCAAGACATCAAAACAAGGAAGTGCTTTTCTCTCCAATGGCTACTTGAAGGCAGAGGGATCACCACAATATCGAAACAAACCTATACTCCTTGATCTGAAGCCAGGGGATGTGTTCAAGGAGAATATTACTATTGACATTCCTTCCTATGCTGTGAATGGCTCACGGTTCATTGAGGTCTCAGCTGTTGGTGAGTTAAAATCATTATAATGCTTTTTAAAAGTATTATCTTGTCAGCATACTCCCATTGAAATAAATGCATAACAAAATAGGTGCATTTTGTGGGAGGGTCCTAGGAATTGGCTATGATGTCAAAATTACTGAGACTTGGGGAAGCTCATACAAGGATAAGAAATTCAAAATTCAGGGATTTGACACTTTATTATATGTTAGGATAGGCTTGGAAGAAAGGGTGGTGAGGCTATATTATATAAAAGAAATAGACTAGTTGTTCATACTATAGGAGGATCTACTTTCGTTAATTAAGAATCAATTGAACATTTATGGTGCTAGGTCGGTTGGGTAACAGTGAGGATGTTTTTAGGAGTCGGTTTTAGGCTGCAAAATATGCCCCAAAAGGATTACATTGTGTTTTATGCATTGAAGAATAGTAACAGCAAGAAGTCAAAAAAGGTTTTGCTCTTTGGAGAGTTTAATATGCTTAACTTGAACCCATTCACTGCTACCTGGAAGTTAGCGTGTTAAGTACTGTGTGCTATTAGAAATAAAAAAAAACAGTCCATAGCATGAAAATTTTGACTTAATGCATCACAATTTGATAAATTCCTTATTGAATTACATTTGCATTTTAATTTCCAGCAAGTTAACATGCAAAGCTGGCACATGAGTTGGGGCATGACATGTTTACTCATCTTGTAGGCAGTGGATGGGTTAAAGTTAGTCTTTGTCACAAGGTGGTGCAAGAGGGAAAAGGAATTTCTATAGATGGTCCAGGATGCTCTCTTTATGCAGCACATTGAAGAAATGATGAGAAATGCCCCTTAGTTATATTTATTTTTCTCTATAGATGACAATCTGGTGCATGATGTTAAAGTCCAGGATAAATTTGGAGATTCTGATGTTTGGATAATCACATGGGACTTCAAATTGTTGAAATGCAGTGATAAGCTGGCAAGGGATTTGTATGACTGTGGGAAAGCAGGTTTCAGTGAACTACATGAATGCATTTCTGGTTTTAATTGGGAGAGAAGGTTACATAGACAAATAGAGGGAGGAGAGAGAGGGGCTCCACCTGCATTTGAAGGACTAATAGTAATTCTTTAGAGACAATCATTCAACAATACTATCACCAGTAGTCTTTGATCATTGCACTGCATGCACATAGCTCCACCTACATTAGAAGGACTTGTATACCATAACAGTTATAACCTTACAATGGTAATCTTACACCATTACCACAACCTGAGGTTTTATTGTGCTGTTTGTATGGATTCCAGCCTTTTGGCCCTCTATGTTAGCTCTGGGGCAGGTGTGAACCACTGAATCTTTGTATCTGATTATTCTCCTTTCAAAGGTGATGTATTGGGCCCTGCCGTCAGGAATCTTGACCAGCTGATACGCCTCCCATTTGGATGTGGGGAACAAAACATGCTCAATTTTGTGCCTAATATTGTAGTGCTCAGATACCTTCAGGTATGTCATAATATGAAGCCTGCATTCATCTGTGCCATTAATCCTCAGTGGTATATATTCCAGAGGCATTGATTAGCTATCCTTTATAACCTTTATAGATAACCTTTATACATGTCCTGGGATGATGATGATAATAATCAAAATGCTGAACAGAAGTACTTCCCTGAAGTGATGAGAGTGCCCACAGGTCCATCCCAAAATAAGGAGTTGCCTAACTGATATTGTGGGCCTGAGGATTGCATGTTTCTCTGTAATGTTCTGTAGGAAAAAAGCCCTGGAAAGGAAAAAAGCAAATGTAGCCCTTATGGGCTACATTTGGAGAGGATTTTTCCTGGAAGATTCTGAGTCCTCTTCTGTTTTGTATTTTCCTTTACCTCTCTCTGTCAAGCTGAGGCAGATGACTGACTATGAGGCAGCTCCACCAAACTGCTGCTCACACAGGGTTGCCTATTTGATTTTCATGGATGACCTGAAGCTGTGTGTGAGTAACCAGAGTCAACTTCACCTGGCTCTTTTAGTAGTTCACTCCTTTATACACAGCATCAGCATGGAGTAATAGCTGAACAAGTGTGCAATAATCCTCTTGAACTGAGTGATGATCTCCAACTCATGGATGAGATAATTATCAAACATTTTGCACCATCAGAGCCCAACATGTATTTTGGATTGCTTGAAAGGGAAATTCATTACTTCCTATACATCAAGTGAGCCATGACCAGCAGGAACAAAGTTCACCTTTTGAAGTTGTGGTCCTCATAATTCTGGAATACATAAGGTCATGGTCACCAATATGCTTGCAGCACCCATCCTGTCATAGAGTTTTGGCTTCTTTAGTGGATTAGAACTGAGCTGTGGGACAACCTTGACATCAACCCCCCCTCCCCTCCCCCTGGTCTTTAGTACCAATTGTCACCATTGCACCAAGGCATCAGTTTAGCACCTGCATCTTCCATAACACACTGCTATAGCTCATATTCCATCATAAACTCACAGAGAACAACTTTCCTGATGAATGTTGCAGGTTAAGCAGTAGAATCCTTGTCTCTGTCTTCAAGCATCATATGAACTCCTCTGCCAATGCAACTTGCTGGAAATATTGAGTCCAGCAAGCTCATCTTTTGCAGGGCCTTGAGGAGAAGACACTGCACAGAAGTTTCTTCCAAGCTCTGAAAGGGCTTGGTCTCATACTCTCAGCCATACTTGACTGAAATCTGCTGGCCTCTGAACAGAGATGTAGGGACTTATAAAAGCAAGTCATGATGGTGCTATCAGTACTCTTTAGTACCCAGCAAACCATCTTCTGATCTAAATTCCACCACACAAGCATCAGGGGTACTTGTATGGCACAAGTGGCCAGTTGAATGCTTGCCTGCTTTAGAAGTGCCTCTCTGCCACTTCTCATCTCTTATACAATCCCATTCTCTCCTGGAAGACTGAATTTTGAAAGAACTTGTTCACTTGACTTGTTCTGCTTGCATTTTTTTTATATGCACTGCAACTGCTGAGCTGACTCAATGTCAATTATTTTTGTTGACTTTACTATAGCATGTGGAAAGCACACTTTTATGACCAACTTGATTTGTTTATTCCAGGAAACAAATCAGTTGGATGATGAGATAAGGAGCAAGGCCACCCATTTCTTGGAAATCGGCTATCAAAGGCAATTGACCTACAAGCGAGGAGATGGATCCTTCAGTGCATTTGGGGATGCAGATTCCAGTGGCAGCACATGGTATGAATTCCTACTGAATCCCTCTTCAAGACAAGGACTGCATTATGACATATATGCATCCTGTGCTTCCATGCCTCTAGGTTGACAGCTTTTGTTGCCAAAAGCTTTGTTCAAGCAAGAGAACATATAGAAGTGGATGAATCTGCAATTCTGAAGGCATTGTCCTGGCTCTCAGGAGTTCAGGATCCTGATGGAGGTTTCCCTGAAGTTGGAAAAGTGTCTCACATCAACATGCAGGGTGGTGGGGGAAGAGGATTGGCCCTCACTGCTTATGTTGTCATTGCCTACTTACAGAGTCGAGTAAGCAACTACCCAATTTGCTTAAAAAATGCCAATTTGTTGTTACTGAATCATTCTCACAAACATCTTATACTCATGTTTCCGTTTCAAATTTTCCTATTATGCTGTTATTACATGAGCCTCTAAATTGTTTTTGCAGATTAGTCCCATTATTTTTTGCCTCTTTGCACACGGTCCATTGTTCATCAGGAATATAAATGTTTGGAGAGAAATTATAATTATATTTAACCATTGAACTCTACTTAGATTAGGTTAAAGGTCATATAGATAAGGTTACAGCTTTAGATTGGAAAGGAGGATTACCTAGAGTTTCGAATGCAGGTGTCATTCCATTGCAAGTGATCCAAAGATGGTTGCTGTGCTGACTGGGATTTTATCATGTGTACTGGGGGTTATGAGAAACTGATGAATCCAAAATTGCAGCAGTCAAGGCCAAATGGTCATTGAGATGTGCCTCTTGAAAATTTGGGAGGGAGTGGTAAAATTACTTCTCAAACAAATTCAGTATCTCCAAAACTACTCAAGCTAGGAAGCTGATTAATGGCTCATTTTGAAGTGAGTAGCCAGGTGCCTATAACTTTTTCTATGAGTTTTTCTGTGCCTTAACTAAAAAAAAGTTACAATTTGATCAAATTTCTGAAATAATCAAATTTTAAACAGCAGACCCTAAACATCCTTGTTTTTCCAAAGCAAGCACCCTGCTGTGATTTGGTGAGGTGGTTCAGGCAGCTAGGTTAAAACCACCTATTTGGATAGTATCTATGTTTGAAAACTACATTATGCATTGTTATGAAGCCAAGCATTCAGGAAGTTGCTTTCAGAAACAGCTCCTCATAGCAAGAGATGAACTTGTTTCTTAGCAAAGGAAATATGATGACCATGATCAAGAGTTCTCACATTATTTATTACAGGACTTGACAAGGAGTGATTACAACAATCAAATCAACAGGGCATTGGATCACTTGGCTCGAGAAGTGGGAAATGTCAATGAAGTGTACACACTTGCTGTTGCCACTTACTGCTTCAGCCTAGCTCAGCATCCAAGTCGGAACACTCTCTTCAATCGTCTGATCAGCCTGGCCAAAATTGATGGTGAGAGCCTTCATTCCAGCTCTATATATCATGTCATTTGATTTGCTTTTTAGAGTTGCAAGATAATGATGCAGGGTGACCAAAATATAGTGATACCATTTCATGTAATCACAGAATCAGTATTTCTGAAAATAGGAAGTGCACTAAGTTATAAATACAGGGTTTGGAGACTCATTGACATACAATTGTTCACTACTCTCCTGAATATCTCACACTTTGAAAAATTACTCCTGGAAGATGTCCTTCCTGAAGATCTACACACTCACAACAATGAATTATCCATAACGTTCCTGAGGGTCTCACATGAAATGCACAGCACAACCTCTTCTATGTTTTTTTTTGTGCCATCATTGTTAGTGGTTAGTTGTAGAACACTTGGGACTTCAATCGTTTTTAGCAGTGTGACAAGTTATGCTATCTTCTTGAAAAATATTTTATTAGAAGAAAATTATGGACATTTTGCACAAAAGTTTTTTAAATCATGTCATTTGCTGGTTTGGTGACATCACAAGACCCACCAGATTGCTAGATCTGTCTGTTCCATATTTTTTCTTGTGAGGCTACTTGAAGTCCCTAGTGTTCTGCTATTGACCTCCAATAATGATGGCACTAAAAGTCAACATCTGAGAGGCTGTGCTGTCTGTTATACATGAGACCCTCAGGAAAGAGATGGACAATTCATTGTTACAAGTGTGTTAGACCTTCAGGGTGGGTCATCTTCTTGGTGTAATTAGTAAAAAGTGAGGTATTCCGGAATGTAATGAACACATGTATGTCAGTGAATCTCCAAACTCAATAGCAAACTCAATTGCACTATGCAATAGTGTAGTGCACTTTGTACTTTCAGATCGGCAGATTTTGTGATTAAATGAAATTGTATCACTGTAGCATGGTCACCCTGTATTTATGTATATATTTATAAATACATATATTTTTAAAATTCTGGTTATATCCTATGGTAGAAAGATAGCTTTGTACAAGGGGAGTTCAATGAGTAGCAAGAGATTGCACATAAAATATGATCTATCAGCTTAACCCTAGAAGTGGCATGGTTAAACCCTGTGATGGGTGAACTATTGATAGATCAACAGTTGCCGCTTCTAGGATTAAGAAACCGACTACCGAGTCTTTCATGTTGTTATAGCCAATTTTTTTACTTTTGAAGTTAATAGCACCCTATTGTAGCATGTGCACCTGACAGTATAGTTTAAACAAGGCATTTGAAGTGAAAGGTTTGTCCACTGAAGCACAGCCTACTGTAGTGCAGTTTCTTTGTGCAGAGGGTTCAAAACCATGTGAAATTTGCAGACAAATATCTGCAGTGTACACAGACAATTGCATGCCTCAAGCATGGATGTATGAATGGTATAAAAGGTTCCATTCTGGTCAAGAGAGCTTTCAAGATGACAATCAGTTGGGAGCACTGCATACAGCTGTGACTGAATCCAATGTCACATGTGGATGACAAGAGAATTTTACAACAGAGGCATAAGAAATCTTGTGAAAAGGTGGGAGCAGTGCGTAAATAATGGCAGAAATTATTTTGAAAAATAAAAGAAAATTTTTTACTTAAAAAAAATAATTTGTTATTTATTGAATCCCCTTGTATTTGTAACTAGCAATGAGTTTGATAAGTGATAGACATGGAAGGCTACAAGTTGGTATATGGATTAAATTTGGGTATATGGATTTCATTATGTCAGTACTAATGCCTGAGCCATACAAAGCCCCATTACAAAATTAAGCAGGTTGATCATTCCACTTCCAATGTGCCAATAGTTAGTGCTCTACCATCTCAAAATTAAATCGAACTTGGAGTGCAGTCAAATCATGTTGGAAGATGTCTGCAACCTCCAGATGTTAACTTTCTTGCTCTTTGTCCTAAAGAGTTATTGTTTTGTTACTTAAATGAAAGCCAAAAGAAGAGGAAATAAAAGTATGCTAACAGATTTAATTAATGATTACATTTTCTTGAAAATTTCTGGAGAAAAATTTGTTGATATTCCAAAAATGTAAATCCCATGAAGAAATTAGCATCTGATGGCTGAATACAATTTTTTTCCCCAGTGGGAAATCTCAACCCCTAGGTTTCAGCCCTTGTTTGACCTATAATTTTAGCCATATTCTTTTATCAGCATAATCTAACTGCATGTCAGATTTGACCTTTCCCTGCATGATGTTCAATAAAGTGGACAGCTATGATTTTGAATTCAGATGTTGGTTTTTCAGCCACAGTACACATGCCTCAAAATTTTTGGTGCATGCAGTCCACTCCAGGGCACATCATCTATTCAGTGTTGTCTCTTTATGAACATGCAACTCCTATGGCAGAGTACCACCTTGAGCATTAAACAAAAAAGCATATTTTTGTTTTGCTTTAAAAATTCATGCATGAAAGGGATCATTGTATTCTGAGATGGTCAAACAAAAGACCATTGCCATACTTGAGTTGGTATTACCTGCATGTTATATTTTCTACCAGGGCATTGCATGAATAAGACAAGGGCACTGGAAAAAAGTCAAGTCCTTCTTCCAACACCTCAAAGCCTTCCATCACTTGCTTATCAAATTGATCTATTTCATTGTTTGTGGAGTGGTTTCATCAGGCATGGCCTACCAGATCAGAGTCTTTGAGTTATGCAGCTGGATCTTTTCATGGAATCTCAACCAAAGCCATAAAATGTGAACTTTGGAAAACCCAGAAGTATTTATTTCCTGAAAGCTCAATGACTCCTCTTACATGCTCTGACAAGATTGAGTGTGACTACATGCAATGTTCCTCCTATGATAATTTGAATATGAATTTGCATCAGATAAGAGAATGTCTTGATAAGGTGTCTTTCAAGACTCATGCTGTTATAAGAAGCAAAAATGATTAAAGAAAGGGTAGATTTGAACAAATACATGATTCCATCTGACATAGCATATCATTCTGTTTTCAAAAGCTCTAACATTTCTTGCTATTACCTTTAGACTTCTTATCATTTTCCCATTGTAGTCTTTGAAATGGGGCTAAACCAGATGGGGGGAAATTCCGAAAAATTTTTCTTTTGGAGATAAGATGTTAATGCATATGTCGTAGGGTTTTGTGGAATTCAGGGGATTTCAAATCTCCCTAGGGGGAGACAGAATTCCACTAAACCCACAAGTTTAGTGGAATCCCCTCAAAATCGTGTCAATGACACTACACCCTGGGGAGATTACATATCTTCCTGGCTCGAAAATTGCCCTTCCCATGTCTTGTCTTGCCAAGGGCAATTCTCTTTTCATTTGTACTGATGGATTGTTTAAGGCTTAAGAATGCCATGTTAGCTATCAGTGAGAATGCCGCACCTGCTTCTGCCTGCCACTAATGGAAAAAAAGTTTTTACGTTAAGTTGATGACCATGTATTGCTCTGCATTCCATAAACAGACAGAAGTAATACGTATCCCTGGAACCTGCAGGCAAGAGTGGTAAGGCAGTGGTAAGGAGTGTTTTTGAGGACTCCCGCGGGTGTAATTGACTCGCCCCTCCTGCAAGAACAATTATTAAAGGCAACTGACGAGCAAGCCATGGAGGTGACTAATGGTGTGATGGTGTTCTTGATGAAGGCTTTGAAGGCAGAAACAAGCTATGCCAGTGGGGGTGCAGGATCCATCTGCAAGTGCAACAAGTCTTGCCACACCAATAGATGCAGGCATAAAAAACTAGGCATAACATACTCATCTGAGTGTCATGGGGGAAAGCTGTGCAACCTCTCAAAGTAAGATGGCTCTATTGTTAATTGACTCCGCTTCCAATCTTATTGACGTTGATTTTTTTCTTACTATACATGAACTGAAATGAAATTCCATTTCCCCTGGATTTCTTGATGATTCTTTTTCTCCCTAGAGGTAAACAAAATGATGGAAGCATTTACAGCTAATCCAAGTGATTTGGAATCCCCCTAGGGAGAGATGACATAATGGTGGATTTCAAGAGAATTCCGCTAAACCCACGGGTTTAGTGGAATTCTGTCTCCCCCTCAGGAGATTCGAAATCCCCCTGAATTCCACAAAACCCTACAACACATGTATCCTGGAATATACATTACTGTATCAATGACAGATTCCTTATGTAAAAACTCAAACACCCACACTTATAGTATGCTTGGCTTCCATACTTATCATTCATTTAAATTTCAATTTCAATCTAGGGGTTGGAACCTACACCTAGAAAATGGATTAAGTTTTTAATCAATAGATTGCAGGAACTTTATATATCTATTGCAGGTGACTATATGTATTGGATGACATCATCAAAGGAACCACCCATTGATGCACCTTGGTTGCATCAGGCAGTTTCTTTTGACATTGAAGCTACAGCGTACATGCTGATGACATATGTCTTGCGTGGTCAAGTGACACAGGCCTTACCAATCATGAGATGGCTGGTTCGCCAAAGGAATTCCAATGGAGGGTTTTCCTCCACACAAGATACTGTGATTGGATTGGAAGCTTTGGCCATGCTTGGCTCACGTCTTTCCTCTCAGTCTTCTGTCCCTGTGGAAGTCACATTTGTTTATGATGAGATTCGTCGCAAGACCATGTTTGTGACCTCAGAAAAGCGAACACTTCTTCAAAAATATGAGGTGGGTCCTGCCAAACATCCTTGATTGTTCCCATTGATTACAGTGAAAGATAAATTATTTGAAGCATTGTGTAAGACTAGGTTCTGATTTGTAAAAACCCTGAAAAAAAAAGAAATTGACAGGAAAAGATACAATGTCCTAGTTTAAAATTTATACCGTGAAAATGAAATATGAACTTTGTTCAGTCATTACTTGAGAGGGGTGAGGTTGACAGTCACCTGGTTTTTCTGTAATAAAACTCTTGTTTCTGTTGTTGATTTTTTACAATTTAAGTGCTTTATTGTCAAAGCTCCAAATATTTCTGCAAAACTACATTCATGATTCCTGAACAGGCACATCCAAGTCAAAGCCACCCACACTAGATTTTTGTTTGAACATTGTCACTTTCCCCCCCCTCCCCTGCCGCCAAAAAAAGGAGCAGATCTGCTGAACAAAGTATAATGAAACCTGGAATATTATAAATATAATTATGCTGATTATGTAAAAACTCCTTAAATGAGCTATAGATAAAAAAAATTCAAAATATGGATAATTCTCTATTGATGGCAATGTTACAGCACTGCCAACTGGGTGTTCAGCATTCATGTAGTTATTGTAATGATAGATTCACATGAAAATCAAGTAAAATCAGTTGCTTCAGCATGTTATGCAATATGGGTTATGATTGTATGCACCACCCCATAGTATCCCCCAGATTTAGTATCTCAAGGTTACTAGGGGTTTTGGACCATGTTACAGATAAGTGAATTTTGAATGAGAGTTTCTGAGCAGACACATTCATTGACCTTGTGCCTGGTAATTTGTAATGTCATATCATACCTTTCTCCATCAGTCAGGGTAGCATTAATAATCTTGGAAGCTTGGAGGTTTATTTTGAACTAAATGTAAAGTCGATTTACTTCATGAAGTGCACATTCATTGCATGTGCATTTGACAAAATGAATTTGGTGAAGTTCCATCCACCAAATAGTACGTTGGGAAAACTGATGTTTGTTTAGCTGTCATTCAGCAAATAGTCTTAATTTTGCTTGCAGGCTTTAAAAAATGAATGTGTTTGTCTGGCTTCACTTTTAATCTTGAAAGGGCTTGGTTTTCCCCAGCTGCCACCCTATGTGCATTGGGTGGAAGTTAATGCTAAAGGAGAAGGAGTGGCCTTGGTTCAAGTGTCATATTCATATAATTTGAACGTGACTGGAGCTTATCCATCATTCGAACTGGATCCTCAGCTTGACAAGCCAACAGACAAGACTCATTTGGAGATGAGTATCTGCACAAAGTGAGTTGTCATTCATTGCACCTATATTACCTTTCATATGAACGTGGATGTGAGTTCCCATGAAAATAAAGCTATCCATGAGCCTGGAAAACCAGAGGAAGTCAGGGAATTGCATGGATAAAAATGAAAAAAAAGTTATTAGTATAAAAATAATAATAAATAATTCATTAGTTAATTAAGAAAATTAAGGTGAGAAAAATGCATGAAGCTCCATCAGCTGATCACTAAGGAAATGGAGGAAGTAAGTATTGAGAAAGTGGAAGAAATGCATTTCAGTCAGGTAATTAATTAGCACCATACACTGGATACACTGACAAGGTAACCTGGCAATCTAGTAAGAGAAATTAATTCTCAGAAATATCTATAAACTCTGGACAGAGTTATCTGTATCACATGAATCAAGTTGATTTTTAATCAGTCCCTTAAAAAAATTAGTTCATTTTAGTAAAAATTATTTATATTTGCAGTTTTAGCTAACCCTCCTCTACCCCATTCTCCAACAGTCAGTTGCTATGCAAATGAAGCTTCCAAGTCCTCCAAATTCCCCCAAAGGAGAGGTTTTCTGAATTCTAAGTTTTTCCAACTAGTTAAAAATGTTAATCTCCTTCTAGCCAAATCATTCTTATTGCTTGTTCCATTCTAACATATCAGTCCAGATCAACTAAAGGAAACATAGAGGGAAAAATTGTAATATAATAATACATATCCTCATGCAATGATCTCATGTTTAGTGACCTGCTAATTAAAAACCAGTTTAATGACTGCTTAGCATATTTGGTCAATAAGGTCTACTATGTTGTGGTTTCTTCCTCCATTTATTTCTCCTTCATGTTGGACACATGGTCACAATTACATTCTCCCTTTAGGTGCATAAATTGCTTCTGGTTTTCAGTTTCTTCAGAACTTCAAAAATGTCAGATTTTTTATAATCTGATAAAAGTGCCACAACCCGAAAATCTTCACTTGCTGCAAGAAACACAGCTCAAGTGACATCTGAAATGAAATATCATCCCTGTGCATCTCATTGTCACCCATAAGTGAAAGAAAATAATTTGTTTTCACCTGAGTTTGGAAATTTAAGATATGACAAACAAAACAGTCACTATCCTCTTAGACAGGAAAAACTGATTTTTAAGTTCCTGATACTTCTAACTATCCTATATTGAATTAATGAGGTTTTCCTTTAAGATTTCTGTAAGTGGATGATATTGAGTAAATCAGTATTTTTTATCATAATTTTTTTGCTTTGGTGACAGTAATTCATATTACTACTTTTCTAAATATTAAAGGATGTCTCTAATTTGAAGATTTAGGATGGTAAACATTAAGCTATTAAATATAATGTCATTTAAATGAATTTTTATTTTATAGTTTTTATAGCTTCATTTTCTATGTTAAAAGAAAAATTGTAATATAAAAAATTGTGAATTTCACCAATCTTGTAAGAGATGGACATATTGTGTTCTAGCTACCTGGGAGGAGGAGACAGCAATATGGCCATAATGGATGTGAGTCTCCCAGGTGGGTTCACAGTGGATGAAGATTCCCTACCCAGCATCAGGGATTATCCTGATGTAAGGCGAGTGGAAGCACGTGATGGCCGAACTGGTGTTGTCATCTATTTTGACAAGGTGAGAGCCACTTTTTCCCTCATAAAATTTTCATATCATACATCCTACCAATAATTCTTTAGAATTCAATGCTTACACCTGTTACATATGATGAGGTTTACTTACCAGAAGCCTGAGGTCATTCTGTGTTGCACCACTTCAATATGTCAGGGGGTCAAGGTTTGGTTTTTAGATAGGGGTGAGGATTTGGTTTAGGGTTGAAGAATGCAATGAACTGGAGGCAAAGAAAGAATGTTTTGCATGAATCTCCAAAGTAATTGAGTTTGAACTTGAAAATTCTCCTTTTGGCCATATCCTAAATATTTCTCATTTGACTGGTGGAGTTTTGGCCCCATATTTCTAATCAAAGACCTGCCTGCAAAAAATTAGGAACAGCATGGTATATTCATGGTCTTTCTAGGAGTCTCACAGTGGCTCTTGTACGATGTATGTCACCTACCATATGTTGTGCACTTTTGCCTAAGTTGATGGATATGGCCATAAAAGAGTAATGAATGCTTTCTTTACTGGAATGCTTTTCTTCTGAAGTATTCAAGGTTTTTTAAACAAGGATTCAATATAACACCTCAGAGCTCAACACGAGACAGTAATGCTCTGGTTCATTCTGGAGATGTATAAGGATCATGAAGGAACCACTTTTCTTAATCACCTTCAAGCACATCCTTATTGTGACTTTCTAACAATTGGCTCCAGATTTTTTAATTTTATTTTCTTGTCATTTCAAAGGACTCTACTTTGAAAGTCTGTGGAATAAATTTTAAGTTACATAACAATCATTTATTTTTCCTGCATAGCTGGGTTCCAGTCAAGTTTGCCCAACAATATCAGCATTCAGGACATTCCCAGTGGCTGACCAGCGACCAGCCCCTGTTGTGGTCTATGATTATTATGACCATTGTAAGTTTCAACCTTGCCTTTCAAAGCTTTCAATGTTCCAAGTTTTTTCATATTTTTGCATATGAGAAACATCAATGTAGACCACCAATGACCAGTATGCCATTTTTCCTATCTCATATAGAACACAAGATCACAGTCAAGAATTTTGAATATATACAATATCACATGAATTGAAACTTTGTCTTCTCATCATTGTAAGAAGTTAGCCCAGTACTAGTAGTAGTTTCCTTTCTTCAGATTTATATGATGTTCCCACAAACTGGGAATTAGCAATGGAAGTTCAGAATGTCAGATTGTGTTTTAATGCCAAGTTTTAAATGCAGAATGAAATTACATGCATTAATTTACATTTAAACAAAAAAATAATCATAAATACAATGACATTGCAATTGAATTTGAAATATGAACTTGAAACTATCATATTTTCCCATCACAGTGGTAACAATTTTGCACCACCTTGTATATAACAGTGGTTCTCAAACTTTTCCTGAATGCAACCCTCTGACAACCCTCACTTTATGTTGCACCCTCCTTCCTTCCTTTAAGCTTTGAAGCACACTTTAAAACAACTCTTTTTTGGAGGAAAAAGGAAAAGAAAATGTGCTCTTATTAACAACAGCCATCGTTGCTCCAACTCTTAACAGCAGTTGGGGCTATTGTAGCAATTTTCTGAATGGAGGCAGCCATTTTCCTTCTGATAAAACAAAAAACTTGTGATATTATAACAAATAATTTTATATCAGCTGAAAAATAGTTGTTTTAATGTGTGCTTCAAAGCTTACCCAAATCAAGGCACTGCAACCTGATTTACAGCATGTTGAAGTCAATAGGTTGTTTTGTTTTAGCCACTCCATGATATATTTTTTTGTATCCCAACCTGGTCATCCAGGATGAACCCAATTGGATTCAATGCATGACCTTATTGCCCACTATTTGCATTTTCATTCATTAAATACTTATGTAAATGTTGCACAAGGATAGGATCCTTTCTGTTGGACTGGGCTCAAACCAATCTTGTTTTCTACCTGAAGCAATTACTTCATGGCATTTATGTGTTTTGCAGCGAGACAAGCTAGGGCCTTCTACAAAGCATATGCCTCCTCTGTTTGTGACATCTGTGATGGAGGATCCTGCTCTTACTTGGAATGTCGACAAGTTTCTGAACCCGGTGGTATTGAAGATGGTGGACTGGATGGCAGCAGCACATCCTTAGCATCGTGCCATAAGTGTCTGTTTTCTTTCCCTCCAATCCTCTTCATCCTTGGGGCCTTGTTATCATGAGAAGATGATTCATGTGATATTGGACTTATCTGAGATTATCTTTCACTTCTAGCTCCCCTTGGCTCTTGCTCATGATTGTTGACATAACAATGAGCCCATTGCCATCATTGTATCTTAATTTAACAAATCCCTTTCATATATTCTTGCCCACTTGTTGATGGCTGAAGACATTTACATCCATGAGCAACACAATTCCTCAGTTATGAAATTCATGCATATAGTGACTAAGTCAAGATCTTGACTATTTCTTCATAGGTCTTCAATTGATGCAGAGAATCTGGGAAAGAATATGCAGGGCTGTTCTCTTGTAACTTATCTGCATCGTTTGAATGGACATGGTTATAAATCATTTGCAATGGAAATGTTTTTCATGAAATGAGAGAAGTTCAAGTAGTACATTTTGGAATTTCAGTTGCCCAGATTCCTTTCCTATGTGTGTTCTTTACCATTCTATCCTGACGTATACAAGTAACCTGTGATTTTTTTAAATTGCTATATTGCTAATGCTCATGTTTGTGTAGACTGAATGCAAGTTCTTATCTCAAGATCTGCCAACTGGAAATGGTAGTTGTTCATATGAGACAGATAAGGTGCTAGCGCCTACTCTGGTCTGAAGTCATTTCATTCTTTTTTCTTTGGAGTAGCTGTTTCCAACTTCCAAATCCTGCATATGTCATTCATACTCATTTACTCACATATGATTCTCAAGTTTCATAGTTGTTCTCTGTGTCATGTTAAATCGAATTTTCTTCACCACAATGTCAAGTTTAATTCCATTGCCAACATCATTTGGAGTGAAAATGAAAGCACCTATGTTGTATGTCAGTGCTCTTTTCAAATAAGTTTTCAGTTTTTGGAATCAACAGCATAGACCACAGTATTGATTCCGATGGAGTGTATTCAGAACAATAAGAAACATATTTAGTTTTGACTCAATACACTAGCAATTGACGACTATGCATTACATAGTTGTCAATTGCTAGAGGTCTATGCATTGCATTTGACTTTATGACCTGCAGAGATTGACAAGAGAAACAAAGGTTCACATGTTCACTTGTGACTGAGTTTTGGAGTTCTTCCAGTCATAACTTGTGAAAAAGACCTCTTCCAGAGTGAAGTCTTTAGCTTGAATGTGGCATTAAATTATGTACTTTTATCAATGGGTGTGTTCTGACCAGTCTGATATATTTGTGAGTCCTTTTGTGAACTTTAACTTTCTACTCCCCTTAATCCTACTCTTGCTCTCTAAATCTGTCATTTGGATGCAAGTATTCATATTTTTTTACTACAGGATTATTGTTTGTGAAGAATAAAACTACATTTGTTGGCATTCTTGTGTTTCGTCATTGTCATTGGCTGTGGTTGAGAAACAAGAGAGGGACTTGAACTCTGCTGCATTTCATGGTTCCTTTGGTAAGCCTACATCTACCTTAAAGGCTGAAAAATATGAGTAATTCCAACTCTAGTGTCTCCGCTTTGAAAAAGTATTGAGGTTATCTCATTGATTTTTAAGAAATTTGGCATGATATCCTTATTGAGTAGTGAATCTCTGCCAAATTGATCTGTCCTGTCACTCTTGGTTTATAGATATGAGGTCATGAAGTTTGCCCTTTTGTGGTGCCATGATGCCCTTGCAGAAGAAAAGATGTGATCCGTCTGATAAAATATACGTTCCACATATGTAATCGATCCAATGACTTGATGGAAAAGCCCTTTTAACAAGCTGTGAAACTTCGCGGACATTCTCGCGACAGAGTTTCAAAGAAGTGGTGTTCTCTCTCTGACTTGCATTTAGTCAACTGCTTATGCTTTTTTTTCACGTGCGCCAGGAATGAACACAACTTTTGCCTTTTGCGTTGCCACAGGTTCCCCATGAATCGCTCCAGTAGGACACCATATAAGTTTCTAGGCGTCACTCGCTGTTGGGGGGCACCGCACGGGCAGGCACAGCTCTGCGTGCCGGGCGAAAATAGAAGATAGAAAATGCAGATTTTAGGGAGCACAAATGATTAAATTCTGGGCACGATCAGAAAATCCTGGCATAAGTTGCTTGGAATCGTGACTCATAATTATGACAGAAGGTCGGAATTTCGGGCTGTCTGGGAAATGCTGAAGAAATGGTCACCGTAGTCTGCGGTCCGCAAGTTGGGTAGCCCTGACTTAGAGCTTCTTGCGCCCGGTACCTTATTGTATCGTATTGTATTGATGTGCCCCTTTGCCCAGTGGCGTAGCCAGGGTTTCGCTAAAGGGGAGCTAAGAGGAACAGCACGGGGGGGGCGGACGCATTTTGACCAGAGTTGGGGGGGGGGGCTAGAACCAAACCTTCCCCTGGCTACGCCACTGCCTTGGCCCCGTAGATTCGATGCTTATGGTAGGTGGATATGCTTTCACAATAATATTTAAAATAGGTAGTTCTATCTTCTCTTAAATATAGACGTGAGTGAGTGACCGGCGCTATTTTTAACTGTGTGCAAGATACGATAGAAAGCAGGGACTTCATTTCGGGGGGCAAGGGAGGGCAACTGCCCCCTTTGCGTCTTGAAGCGATTTTCAATAGCCTATTCCCTGTATTATTCCTATTATTCCCTGTAAGAGCCTGAATGTCCGCCTTTTGAGCTCTAAAGTGACATGGGCTTTATGGTTCCTGTTTTTTGGTTTTTGTTAAATCATTAACTCAGATATGCGCTCTTGAAAGTTGTGGCTGCGTATGCTGAGATCTTGAGATTAATTGACCTCGTTTTAGCTCAGCCTTTGACAACTGCTCAAGCTGAGAGACAATTGGAAGAGAGTAAAAAATTACCTAAGATCTCGCTGCGGGGATGAGAGGCTGAGTGATCTGCTATTGTTGGTAGCACTAAAAGCGAACATGGCGGAAGTGATTGATGAATTTGCAAAAATTATAATTCGTCGCTACCCGCTGCTTATGTGAATCCCATTGATTCCGTGGGTTTTAAAGCAGTTTGTCTAAATCAGTGGAACCCAGACAGGGCCGGCGCGAGTACCCCTGCGGCCACAGGTCCCCGCAGAATCCAGGGGCCCCAGCCCCAAGAGGAAGAAATAAATAAGTAAAATTGGAAGAACGGAAGAAAAAGAGAAAAAACTTTGTAACGCTGCGAGTTACTTCGAAAGAGATCCAAGCACTGAATGAGACGGAGAATATTCCTAGGTCTTCCTATTCTGGACAGGCGAGAAGGCCGAGCTGGGCAAAATCCGTCACCACCCCAATGCATGGAAAGCATTTTTTAAATGTTTTAATTCCTCCATACTTCCCGTATGAAATCCTCACGCTTGAAGACTCTCGAGGAGGTGAAAAAGACGTCCGCGTGGAAGGGTCTACCTCGTTTTCATCCCTTCCCGCGCTTGTCTTCCTTGATCATGTTGTGAAATATGTCTTGTATATTCATTACCGAGTCATTGACACATTTGAATTCAACAAAACGTATGGAAATATGCACAAATATTCGAAGTATTCTTGTGTATACGACTATGCCGCAAATACCCGGAGCCACCTTAAGCCAAGGCGGCAATCGATACTATGAGAGTGTAGCCTACTGCTTTTGACTTATAGAAAAGAGCCGTTTTAGCTGCTATTAAACTTTATTTAATTTTTAAAATCTCAACTAGTTTATATGGAAAAAAGCAGTGTCCATATTAAGACCAGTTTGCAGTATCTACAGAGCATCTGAAATTGCTGTATGTACTATCAATACTAATTATGAACTGGTGGCGACCCTAATCATCGATGCTACCCATGCAAAGTTTAGACACCTTTTGCCAAAGTTAACCTCAACAGCTCAAAGACCTTGTCGATCACAGCTCCAGTGAGAGTTGCATCTGCAGAAAGAAGCTATTCCAAAGAGGAACAATTTATAACTTATCTCAGATCAAGCATGCCATAAGAACGCCTGACAGGACTAGCCATACTCTCTATCGAGAGGGTCAGCGGGTCATTTAATTACAAGAAAGTGATCGATGTGCTGGTGGCAAAGGTTCCGAGAATACGAACGCTAAATCTTTGGACAACCTACACTAATTCCCCTCATTTCCTTGCTTAATTAAAATGTAGTGATTTTCATCCCCCCCCCCCCCTCCCTAATATTACTTCAATAATCGAAAATGAAGTGAAGGGCAAATCTCCAGAATCCAGAGGTGGCCCAATATATTTGCCGCAGGGGACCTGGCACTCCCCCGCGCCAGGTCTGAACCCAGACTTTTTGAGGAGAGGGCCGCACGTATACTTTAGTTCACCTTGAGTGGGCCACACAAATACGTTGGTTGGCCTTGAGTGGGTCACATTGAAAAAAATGAAACGGTTTTGGAATGATTACTTTTTAACTGGCTGCTCGGCCGGTCAAGCTACTTTAAAAAAAAAACGCCAGAAAATTTCATTTAAGAAATGAGTGGTAATAGAAAACTGCCTATACTTGACCGCATCTGTACGCACATCGTCCATTTTTTTTCGCCGAAAGTGCCTCTACTTGGGAGTCAGGGCTCATGTAAGCGCACCGGTTTTAGGCGCTGCTTTGTTCCATGTTATATTTTTCATAAGCGCCACATTTTTCTCTTACTTTTCATAATTTGTTTGCAAGGTAATTCATAATCTTTGCAATGTATGAACTCTCCACAAAATAGGCTAGTTCAGCAGGAGCGCACTCAAATTTATATTTAAACTTGCAATTATAGGTATCTGAAAATCTTAAAGACTTTGTTAAGAAAAAAAAGTATTTAAGACTTCTAGTTATGAGCAAAAGATTCCAAATCTGCAATTGAAAATGATTAATTTTCTTCAAATGAATCCCGACTCAAGTATTAAATAAATGAATAAAAATCAATTATTAGTATATCTTATAATCGTATCATGCATCGTATTATGGTGGACCGCAGTTTGAACACCGCTGGTCTAAAAAAGAGAACTTCTGTGAATCTGCTTTACGCTTTTTGAACTTTCATTTGAGAGAATTTCTGCTGCTGAGGGCAACCACGAGTGCAATTTCATCTAATTAGATATCGTGTTTCTTGCTGCCAACTTTGCGTTACAACGCAGGAAGGATTTCTGGCGCTGGCTTAATTTCGCAAAATCCTAAAAAAAAAATTTCTCGCGAATTTTGAATTTCACGAACTGGACCACCCCTTTTGCTTTGCCCATTTGGAGGGGAAAAAATTCACAAGTGATTTAATTTCGCCATTGAATGTGCCTTGCAAAATTCGCGAAGTTGAAGCAAGCGATAAAATTTCCCGCCGAACTGAGTTCATTCAAGTTGCATAGCTTCTCTGACCTCCCCCCTTGCAGTTTCACCAAATGACGTCCCTGATAAAAAGCTGAAACCTGAACCACAAATAGGTGTTGGGAGTTCAGGAAAAGTCATACTTTTGGATTAAATCCCCACAGGGCACTCTTTCTGGGGGGGGGGGGGGGCTTTTCCCACTAATTTTTTTTTTTCATCAAGTGTTTACAGTTGTATATCAAAGCAACGATAAGAAGGAAAAATGTCGAGAAGGAATTACACCCCACCACAGAAAAAAACTAAAAATTGGTTGCCAATTTTTTACAAGGGGTTCTGCGTTTAGGAAGAACATTTTTAAATACCAAATTGGGGCAATTGTCCCCAGTTTTTTCTTATGCCGTGGAGTGGGGCTTTTCGGCGATTTTAACCCTTTCAGACCTGGCGTCCATTCCAATGGACATGGCATTTATTATACATTATGTCTATGGCAATTTCTTAGGATTCTCGTGATTTTTTGCTCCATATTACGCTACAATGGGAGCAATTATGCACGGCTCAGTTTCATCAGAGGCCTTCTTTCACCCATTAGCTTTGTAATATTCAGTTATTTAATTAAATGTATAATATATAATATATGGTATGATATGGTAAATTTATACAAAATATGAAAACTACATATAAAGCATGAAAATATCACTAACAATCGCGAAAGAGCTCAAAAATGCAAAAAATATATTATTCCGATAGCAGCCTTAATTCATGTCTGAAAGGGTTAAAGTGCATTAGGGATAGGCGGCTCGTGGGTAAAAAAGTTGGGTAGGCAACAGTGGTGCAAAAAAACGGGGGGGGGGGGGGGGGCAGTTGCCCCCCCAATGATTCCTTTGCACTCATATGATCCCCATTTCTATCCCTATTGACCAATGGAGCGTCCTCCTAATGATAGTAGCAGGCACATTCGCTCCTCCCTCAACCTCGATCAGCATCCCCTCCACACCCACCACTCTCCAGTCTCTTCTGAGGGTCCCCCCCCCCCCTCACCCCTTGGCTACAGGCTTGACAAGATAAGGATTTTGCATTCAAAAATTGTAAATCCAATTCTAACATAATCAGAACTATCCATCAAGAAATTACTTGCATTTAAAAGGAAAAGTTACAATGAATGCAACTATATCATTGGAAGACACCCCAGGGATGCGAAGCACTGTCAGTCTAACAACACATCTATTGGAAACAGTGCCTCATCCAGGAGAGAGCATCAACGAAAGTGGGGTAGGAATAGGGAACTGAGACTGATAGAAGCCTGTTCGGAATGATTCCTTATTCATTCTGCATAATACTGTAGAATAGGTCTGATTAGGTGTGACAACTACAGAGGCTTCCACAAGCACGTGCTTCTGAGCAGAGGGCGTGAGCAAGCCATTCTCAACCTTCCTTCCTGCGCAAGAAGTAACTGCGCCCCGTAGGCAAGCCTACCCTCACTCATTCCAGCGTTATGGTTCTCTTCCCTCTCTCCCTCCTCTCGTTCCTGCATGGACTCGGAATTTGAGCCTAGCCAGCTTTAGCAGGCAGCGCCGTGCCTACTCTGGACGCATAATCTCGTTTTACTTTTACCTCACAACCGAAAAAATAGTATTTTCAGCTGTGCTAATCGAAGAATTAATTGCAAATACTTTTTTATTTAAGGAACTCTAATTTTAAACTGGGTAGGCACTGCCTACCCTGACGAGCCGCCACCAGGGATTGGGTTACCATATGTCCGGTTTTTTCCGGACATGTCCTCATTCTTCGCTTTCCGTCTGAGAGGAAGGCGTCCTACGGGTTACCATACGTCTGAATATTTTCCCTGGACATATCCTCCTTTTCCGCCTTCCGATTTCCGTCCGACTGCTGGGCTTCCTTTTTTTGGCTGCCCGGAATATGGTAATTGGGAAAATGGTGCATTGGGAATATTCACCCAGTGCTCCTCATGCCGGAAGTTACGTGACGTAACAATGAATTCTCAATTCCTTGGCAACTGAAATTGAAACTAGAATGGATTGAACTAGTATGGGAACCTGTGAGGGGAGAAAATTTTACACTGCTGACCCAAAACTTTTCAGCGACTTCATATAATTGGGAGTGAGGTTACGTCAAAATTAAAATTTTCTGTAATCGATGAAGATTTGAAAGCACCATTTGAAAGCTGCAAGCACCGAAGGCACAAGTTTACTACGCATTATTGACATCGGATTTACCTCCACCGGCGTTTCTTTGCTCTCCAGACAAACTCGCAACCCCTTACCTCAACCTCAAACCTTGAACATACTCCTTTATTTAGCCTGCTCCTGTTCTCCAATGCTTACCTTTGCATATGCGATCATAGCACCGCCTATCAATATACCCCCCGCCATCTGACTGGCATCGTAAAAAAAAAAAACCTTTTAGTATCAATATCTACACTGTTTTCTGATTGAATTCGTATTATACCTGGGTAGTGGAGAACAGAGATAAAACTGCTTCCATATCACCACTGTGCAAGGTGTCACTACCTTGAAACTGTCAATCGATGGAGGCGCTCTTATGGGTGGGTACGAATTCAATCCGAAAACAGTGTATGTCAATAATCAGTTGCAACCGTGGCTGACGACATGGCTGCCTCCTGCATACGGAGTATATCTCCACTTCTAACCCACTCTGTCGGCCGTCACTTTCTATCCAACTTCATTGCAATCGTGTCCCAACTTGTACTTGTTGGGCACCTCAAGTGGCCAATGGGGTATCAAAAAAGTCCTTAGGATTATTTAATGCTATCGCGAGGTCTTCATGAGAAATCAACCTTTACGTTAGAATTACCCTATTAAACAGTAATTAGTGCTTGTGCATTGTGTTGGGCTCATTACCACTTAGCTTCAGCAAAAGCCCTGGCCAGGTTCGCGTATTAGGAGTACTCAAGCCTAGAATAACCATCTTAAGCCTACTGCTGATTTCGCTGCATGCATCAGAAAGAACGAGAGGAAGAGTTATGGTTATAGATTAGTGCGTACCCCCTAGGGATATTGTGTTGCCCCTAAGATTAGGTTAGTTTAAGTAAGGTTGGTGTATATTATATTATTATATATGAAAGGAACCCAATGGATATGGCATGTTTCCAGCTGAATTCATCTAGAAACATTGGAGACTGGAGAGGGAGTGCAATTTCCATAACATCACTGGGTATGCACTTGACTGTTAACCGACATGAGTCGTTTGTTCTCCAAGGGAAGACTGTGAATTGATTACTAAAGGCACTGCCTGACATAAGGCTGGTTTTGCAATTATAGACCTTGTTGGCCACCACAATTCATCATTTGCTAGTTCTCTGATGTAGACACTATGCATGAAAAAAGCTTGTAACTATAATTTCTAATTGCCTGTGAAGAAAATCTGAGCATTTTTTAGCAACAAGACCTGATGAGATATGATATTGAATGCTATTTTCGACATAAGAAGATTCAGAGGTAGTTTTTTTTGTACACTTTCTCAAAACTTCTATTTTAGCATTTTTCTCTTGATGGAATTCAAGCTGATCTGCTGAAAGTGTGTTATCAAAGAATACCACATTTCTTTTTCTTACTAACTCCTTTATGGTATGCCAAAGTCAAGGTGATTTACAGAGGAATATTTTTTTTGCAGTTTGGAATCTGGACCTCACCTAAGTCTAACAGTTAATCCTAGACCTTTGTCTACCAGCAAGTCAGGTATATGTACTGGGACCCAGTGCCTAGCTTATTTGGAATTTTTCACAAACCCTTTGTCAAGAAGGAAATTAGACTAGACCTGCAGATATGTTCTAATAACAATAGGACTAAAGGCTTGTGTTTTCTTATAGGTCATATGTGTACAATGCTTGGAGGTAGAAGGGATTGAATGGTGGATGAGCTATGGACATGACTGCCTTCAGAACTGATGGATCCCATTGAGCTTGCTGCCTTCTCTAACATTTGCACTAACATCAGCTCCCCTGGAGAACCAGTGCCTCTGCCAAATTCACTGCAAGATGTCTCGAGTAACATTTGCAGAAGTAAGGTGGATGTTTAATGAATTAAAAAAAGAGGCTTATATATGCTTGAGCATGTAAAGGCCCACTGGCAAATTCATATATGCCTAGCCTGAGTCTTGGTCTTTACCACATCCTTCAGTCTTAAAAAAAAAAACATGTACGAGGGTGATTCAAAAATTTTTGACCAAAAGAAATGGTTTAGAAAAATTAATTTAGTTTGTTTGCATTAATAAACTTTCTAAAACCTTCCAGCAGAAATAGCACATTTTGATTCGTTACCAATAACATTTGAGCATAACACTTTGCATATTCATTGCAGATATGAATAAGTTGGTGATAAAGTTTCTCATGAAAAAGGGGCTGAACAATTACCAAATCCAGCAGAAATTGGAAGCTGTATACTTTGATGAGGCCCCCTCATGGCGCACAGTGGAGAGGTAGCATCATGAATTTCTGCATGGCAGGAGGAATCTCCAAAGTAATGAACGCAGGACAACCTAAAACCAGCACCACAGCAGAATCAGTGGCAGCCATTCAGCACTTGGTGACAGATCATAATACTTATATTTGCAGGGATTCCATGCACCGCAGAAAAGTTATTGTTATCAGCGGTGATTATGTGGAAAAAGTGTAAATTTTTGTTGCTTGCAAATGACTCTTTCTGCTATTTGATCAAAAATTTTTGAACCACCCTTGTATTCATACAGTGTACATGGAATCAATAGTCCTATTACTAGAATTGCAGTGCTTAAATATAGTCCCATTTATGTTGTCTGGGATAGGAGTTATACTAATGTTTATCATGACTTTATTAAACATGATCATGATTTATTCATAATTTATTCAAAGTTACATTGGACCCTCTTCATGAATATTGGCATATTGGATACGAACAAAAGTTCCTCTTTGAGTACATACCTAATCTTTATTTTTGTTTTTGGAGTTCCATTTTGCAGTTATGTTGTAAATTTCTTGCTGCCCTAAAAGTGTGCTGGTGTTAAAGACCATGAGTTATATTCACACCTACCATACTCAAATATTGTTAATGTGCTAATATTGAATTGGATTGGATTATCTGGTTCCCTTAAGTGGTTTCCAACTTTTTTTTGTGCTTTTCAACAAAGTTATTTTCATTTTCTGATGATATGATGGATCTGGTACCAATAGAGGACATAGAATCTACACCTGCAGAATGATGACCTAAGGCATTTGTCTTTTTACAGAAACGGATCCAGAAGGAATTGATGGCCTTGAAAAATGATCCCCCTGTAGGTGTCACCCTAGATGATTCCAGCCTCACCAACATATACAGGTGGGTTTTTACCGCATGAATGTGTTGAGTGGTTATTATCTCCCTGTCTATTTTTGAGTCATTGGATGGAAAGGTAACCTAACCTAGATTCAGGAGTATGATAATTCACCTTTTGAAATTTGATTGCAATTATTGATTTTGTCTATATTCTGTACGTATAGGAGTTTATTGATGCATTGATATTGACACCTCAATTTTGCTGGTAGGCTTATTTATCCAAGACTGACATTTGATTGGGAAATTTATGAATGTCAGCATTGATTCCAATGTAGAATTAATTGACTTGGAACAGATTTCCGATTGCAAATTTATGCTACTGGAATTGGATTTATTTCTTGCAGCTCAATGCATTTTTCTCTGCATTTGCATGCAAAAGTAATTTGATTGTGAGAAAGGTAATTTCACTTCCAGTAGCATTAACCCCTTTCATGGCATATGATCATTACAAGGATCATATCTTTTCAGACTGCTCTTGCATTACTGCATTTGAAACAGTCTCAAATTGTACCATTTAATAGCTCTCGATGAGAGCTATTTGCAGATTCATCGTTTGTTCAAATAGGCTATTACTCAGGCATATTTGATCAAATGCAAGGCTATAGAGAGAAATTTTGACAAAAATTTATTAGGTATTAGTCCTCTTAATTCTAGGGATGCACTGATACCAATCCAAAGTATTGGTATCCCCCAATACCAAGTGGATCGGCCAGGATCAGTATCAGCTGATCCAATCTGATTCTCCCTTGCTGAATGCCATACTTGATGCACAGCACATAAATTTTTGGACCGTCTCGTGAAAAAAGCCACACTCGTAATGGCATTTGGTTCTTTATGTCTGTTATAGTTCTTTTTAATCTCCAACTGATAGACAATGAGCTTGAGGATTGTTAAAGTGGAATGTGAGAGATTTGAAAAGGGCATTGTATGAATGGAATGGGCCAGTGTCATTCGCATATGCCAGTGGTTCCTAACCTTTTTTATTTGCGGCACACATTAGGACACTTGAACTTTCCATGGGACACCCAGCCATTTACTTACTTTCAATGGGAAACTTGTGCTTGCTTCGCTGATTGCAGCAGTTTGATAGGAGGCATGATTGTGCAACTCTCAGCTCATTAACCACTGAGAGATGGTGTTCCCTCTTGTTTTTAAGTTTTTTAGTTTTTTTTGGTCAACTCTCAAATCTTGAGCCTTACTGGTGGCACACTGTCTGGGAAACATTGGCATACGCATTCATTCCTTCACAAGGTTGGACTGCACTTCTCTATGGATGTTTTTGAACTAGTTCAAGGTAGGATGTTCTATATTTCTTTGTTGACTGTTTTCCATTTGCATTCATTCATCCCTTGTTGACTTGATTGAAGGGGAAAGTCAGTCTGGTCTGAGATTTAAGAATTCATTATGAAAAGTTCTAGTCATTAGGTAGTAGTCTACTATCTTTCTCAGTTGATTATAGGAAATCATATGAAATGGATGCAAGTACCTCATTAAGATCTTAACTTGCATGAAGAGTGAGCATAGTCCAACTTGAGGATGTGAATATTTTGTTCAGGTGGCGTGTACATATAGAGGGAGCAGAAAATACCCTATATGAGGGGGAGCATTTCATATTGGACTTCAAGTTCACTGCAAAATATCCATTTGAATCCCCTCAGGTAAGTGAATATCTAACTTATTGAGAAAACTTTGGTATGTTCACATTTTTTAATTTCCTCTATGATTTAATTATGTATATTCTTATCTATACTTTTTGCAATCTGCTTTGAGAGGAACTCATTTTCAGATTTCTGTAAGTATCAATATCAAATGGCAATGGAAAAATAGTTGTAAAATTAATTCAGTTCTGTCATATCAGAATTGGCTTTCATCAATGAGAACTGGATCAGTCAGAGAGACACAGTTTCAACAATAATGTTATTTTTGGCATATCCTATAAAAGCAAAGCTGAAGGTGAAAATTTGCGACTAGAATCTCAAGATTGTCTGATGTGTCTGAAGTCCATTGCCTGTATGCCTGTAAATTTTTACGGGCTGCCATGTAATAGGCATCCATGCTCAGGTCATTGTTGGACAAATAAAGGGTGGGAATCAGCAATATGTATGCCTGGTCACTATGCATACTATCAAACTTCATGTATGAAGTGTGGGAAAATCAGTCCCAGCATAAGGCTATTTTAATTTTCATTCCACTTCTATTAGTGTGTGGTATTGTAAAATGTATTTATTTTTATTATTTTGACCTAGGGGCTTTTGAATGATTTGAAGTATAGATGACCCTTAAAGTGTTTTTAAGCAGTGTACTTCACCTTGTGATTGGTAGATTTCAAGTTCCCTGTAGCTGAAGCATAGGCACATTACTTTACATCACATTAGTATTGTACTGTATACTCCTTCTTACAGGTTGTTTTCCTGGGACCAATTATTCCAGTTCATCCACATGTCTACAGCAATGGTCATATATGCCTGTCTATTCTCACAGAGGATTGGTCCCCTGCAATGTCAGTAGAATCTGTTTGCCTGAGTATTGTCTCCATGCTCAGCAGTTGCAAGGAAAAGGTCAGAATCAGCATTTTATCTCTCCTTTAATTCTTTGTTTTTATTTTCTTCCCATGTATGCCCCCTCCTTAAAGGATGTGATATGTACCACACTGTTACCCTGCAGTATGTTGTATATATACACTATATTTATTGATACATGACATAGTAGGACTTCCCTTTTGTCATTAAAATGCCCTGTTGGATCTTTTTGTTTTCCCTAGCTATGGACTTAGGAGGTATGGATGGTAAGCAAAACCCAACCTTTTCACTGCAATTCTGACTTGCAACAGAAAGCTAAAGCTTGGGTGACACATCATGGTGGTCATGCTAGCTAAATATATGAACTTGGGAAGAAACAAGAAAACATTAACAGTTTGAGATGGGTTCGCTTCAGCATTGCTGAAACAACACATGGCTCCACTTTTCTAAGCATGATACTCATGTATAGGCTTGTACTGTCTCTCACCTGTGAATGACATGGCAGACGATGTGTTAAATCAGGCAAAGGAAAGATTGCATAAAGTGACAAGCAAACTATATCATGGCCTGTATTAAGGTTGAAATAGTTCCTTTTCTTCTCACCAGATGAAACCTTTCACATGCTTTCACAGTATTCATCTGCATGTTACCTTAAATCAGGGATTGGGAACCTTTTTGGCCATGTGAGCCATATTAAAATTGAGCTAAGTGCTTGCAAGCAAAAGATTTTCAGAACAACACAATTTTCCCCAAAGTTGGCAACAGACATATGAATTCTTCTATACATGAGAAAAAGGAGGAACAACCAAGATTTTTAACTTATGACTGAATGAGCCAAACTTTTCAGCTTGTGAGCCAAATTAGGCTCATGAGCCATAGGTTCCCAACCACTGCCTTACATGATTCTCACTTTGTGCCAGAGAGAGCTGGTGGCCTGTTTGTGTGGCTAAGGGAGATCCATTGGTTTCTTTCTTCCTCTTGCTACCATCTACTGAAACCAGATTTAAAGGTCTCATCTTTATCATTTCAGAAGAGACCTCCTGATAACTCTGTTTATGTGCGCACCTGCAGCAAGAATCCCAAGGATACAAATTGGTGGTATCATGGTAAGTGTCATCAATTCTCTTTGTGTGAATACAGTCAAACTCGGTTATAATGTCTTCAAAGGGACCAGGGAAAAATCATTATAATGGAGGTTGCCTTTGTTGACACTCCGTTTTCCTGTTTTCAAAATGGATGCCATATAACATTACAACTCCAGTGTACAGGGTGGTCTGCAATTGTCCCCCCAAAAGTAAAAGCTTATTATTCAGGAAGTATACATCCGATTTCAATGATATTTGACTCAAATGATAGCCAATTCAATATAGTTTTATTGTCGAAAATTTCAGCATTCCATAAGAAACTAGAACAAAGTTACACCATAAAAAATGAAAGTACCCATATCATGCAACTAAAGTCTGTAAATATCACAATCCTTTCTGAATTTCACAATTCCATCTTGAGTTTTGCAATTCATTTCTGGGTTTTTCATGTATCGCGAGGGATTGTCTATGTCATTGGTGACCTTGGTATCCTGCAGAAGACAAATACTGTTATTTAGTTTGATAATTTGAATTTGTGTGGAGAAAATTTGGAAATATCTTCAGTTTGGGTCCCAATGCCTCAGTTCTGGATGAGAAGATCATGAAGGCAATTCATAAAAGGTTTCTGAGCCTGAAGAGATTCATCAGCAGACTTATGAAAACTTAGATATGCAGAAACAGGCCATTTTAGAGATGCCTTCACCACAGTAGGACCAGAGATGATTGAAAGAATTCTGCTATCATTCAAAGAACAACTGCACCAAGTCATTGACAATTGTGGAAGTCACTGGTGATTTGGCAGCTTTCATTTGTAAGGATGTAACATTGTTCTAGTTTTTTATGGAATGCTGAAATTTTCCACAATAAAAATATATTTATATATAATTGAAATTGGATGTATACTTCCTGAGTAATGAGCTTTTACTTTTGGGGAGACAATTTTGGACCACCCTGTACATCAGTCATGCTGCACTAGCTTCAGTTTCAGGATTGACCCAATAATAATGATGTTTGCTCTTCTTTGAACCTTGAGCTACTTTATACTTGTACTTTAGCAAGACCTTGTCAATGTCGTCTCAACAGATCTATGAAGTTTCTTGTTTTGTGACATGCTCTCGTAAGCATGGATGAAGCTGTCATGATTTCCCTAAATTGTGGAAACAGATGAACAGATGCCCATGTTCGCAAGTGACATTAACTTTACTTTTCCCACTTTCTATCAAACTAATTACACTCACTTTCCTTTCAATCGTGAAGGCTTGCCATTTTTGCTTTCCACTGGCCATGTTGTCAATGAGAAATGCAAATTGCAACTGAAGATAAGATTATCTTTTTAGTTATAGGGGATTATCCCTCTCTCACCCTCCTCCTCTCATCCCAGTCACACCCACATGACTCAAGGAATGCCGATTCCAGGAAGGATAAAGTTATGGCTCGCCAATGCTCATTTTTCCAATTATGGAAATCCCAGTTAAGAATGACTAATTACGGACAACAATGTTGATTTTGTCAGTGGGATCTTGAATGGACTTTATTATGACCAAGGTTCTCGTTATACCCAAGCTCACTATAACTGAGGTAAATTTAATGTGCCTTATGGGCTCTACACCAGGACCTGGCACTTTTCATCGTTATTAACGAGTTTGACTGTATATGCAAATCTGAAAGCTTTACTAGAGTCCATCTGTGACAGTATTTACTTCCCTGACCATTCAGAAGTGAGTTATTTGAGGGTAAAATCAGATGATGAGATGGTTTTGGCTACTGGCTATGCACAACTCACTGACAATTACAAGGTCATACCTGCAGCTCCCCTTCTCCATCTTATGAGAAACCGTATAGCCTTGTCTTGACTGCAAAGTTTCCCCAGGAGTCATGATGCTGGGAAAAAGTCCTAATTCAAAAATGTGTCAATCAAGCCCTGGATTTTCTTGGCCTAGCTGAGATTCTAGGAGTCCTGGGATTGAGACTTTTTAGAATTCTCAACAGACTTTTCAAGTAAGCTATTATATTGAATGGGGTACTCAGACAATGGATCACCCAGACATGGGTCAACAGATCCCAAGCTCATTGGTTTGGATGCATCTCTTACATATCTTCCCAGAGACTCCCAAAGAGAGTTTTCCAATCTAAAATGTTTGGCAAAAGACCTGTTGGTAGGCCATGTGATAGGCAGAAGGACTCCATTGTGAATCTTTACCACATGAGGGTCTGTATACCACCCACAGAGCTTGAGTTCATTGTCCAGTATTGCAAACTGTGGAAGATACTCCAGGGCCTACTTAAACCACTACCCCATTGAGTTGAGATAAGCAGTTTCAAAAACGTACAAGGGTAAATCAAAAAGTAAAGGAAAATTATTTTTTATTAAATCTAGAAAAGGAAAGTGTGCAAAGTTTTAGCATTATTTTTCAATGTAGTCAGTCCCCTTGCTTCTCCAAACACTTGTTACATCAGTCCACAAACTTCTTGATGCCATCTGAGAAGAACGTTTTTGGTTGTTCCTGAAGCCAAGTACACACCGCTTCTTTGACCTCATTATCATTTGAAAATCAACGTCCATGTAATGCTTTTTTTCAGAGGGCCATAAAGGTGATAGTCACAAGTAGTGAGGTCTGGACTGTAGGGTGGGTGAGGGAGAAGTTCAAATTTAAGTTTTTGAGTAATTTTGATGGTTGCAGCAGCTGAATGAGCTTGAGCATTGTCATGATGCAAAACAGCACCTTCTGACAGCAATCCTCTGCATTTACTGCGAAATAGCAGGTTTCAGTTTCTGTTCAAGCTTGGCACAAACTCCTTCACATTCTCGAACATTATCAGGAACATGGACAGACTGTCAATAGTACAAAATATTGACCTTGCTCCTTGTGTCTATCACCTTTTTGGCCCTCTGAAAAAAGTGTTAAATGGACATCAATTTTCAGATGATGATGAGGTCAAAGAAGAAGTGCATACTTGGCTTCAGGAACAACCAAAAAACGTTCTTCTCAGACAGCATCAAGAAGTTTGTGGGCTGATGTAACAAGTGTTTGGAGAAGCAAGGGGACTGACTACATTGAAAAATAATGCTAAAACTTTGCACACTTTCCTTTTCTAGATTTAATAAAAAATAATTTGCCTTTACTTTTTGATTTACCCTCGAATGTATGTTGGTGTGCATGTCAAATTGCAAACCATCATATCCATTGGTTTCTTCAAAGAATTAATTGGTCATGCTTTTTTGAGTGCCCCTCATATGATATGCATAACCTCTTTCAATTTATAGTACTGTGGCATAAATACCAAAATCCTGGACATCTAGAATAGACATTTTTTATGTCCAACAATTTTTCTGATAGGATTTGAAGGGTGCAGAAAAAAGCACATGGAAGTGAAAGGTTACTGTGTACAAGCAGCCACTGGGAATCAACTAGAGACTTGTTAGTAATATACATGACATCTATATAGGCAATGCAGTGTATGTAAGTCACAGTAAGGATTAGACCATTAGATCAGTATTGCTCAATATATTAAGACTTGGGCTGATATTTGTGCTGCAGCATAAAGAATGTACTTTTTTTTAATTCTCTGGTCCTATTGTTGGTCAAAAAATGTTATTTGAGGGAATTTTTTTATTTTTCCCTTCCAGATGATTCTGTGTGAGGAACCCATACCAGTATCTCTCAATCAGTGAATTTTGGCTGTTGTGCTCCATTGTGATATTCTGGGAGCATGAAGCAGTCCTGCTTTGCCTCCTGGTTGTGATTCTAAAGGATTGAACACTCTTGTGCAGTGGAGAAGCCAAGGACTTTCATGTCTAGGTGGCATTTTTTAAATGCAATTGTGAATTACTCTTGTGATTTTTTCCCATGCTTTCAGTTTTTTTGTAGCAAGACCATCATAATGCTAGTCATTGTCCTCTGATCAGACACTTCATAAAATCATTCTCTCCCAGGAGTGCTTTGCTCTATATTTTGCTGGGGGGACCACAAGGAACACATTTCAATTTTATCCACTCTCATGTGATGGCTGCTTGCTGGAAAAATAATCAATGTCCAGAGTGGGTTCTACCAGCACATTGGCCATTTTGTGATGACGGGCATCTCAAGTACCAGAGTAATTTGTGCTCCAAGAGTAGAAATCAAAATGTATTCACAGAAAGTTTTTTTGCTTCTTACCTTGCTCTGCTTTGTTGCTCTCAGTAATTTTACGCATCATTTGTGTGCTACCATAATGCTCATGAGACTCTCCTATTGAGAATTGAAAGTTGTTTCCCTGAAAGTTCTACCAAATGTGAGAAAATTAAGTGAAAAGATGGCAGGTTAGCTCAACCTTGCATCAGACTTCAAAATGTTTTTGCAGAAATTCGCTGATTGCAGCATTCAAAAGAAGTGATTCTTATTGAGACCTCACTTTCTCTTCATGTGGTGGTGATCATCTGAACTTATTTAGGAAGCCCAATGTCATAGTAATGTTCATGAACACTGGCCAAAGTTACCATCATATTTTATAAACGTGAGCCCATCAAGTCAGGCTTATGAGTCAATGACATGGAGACAATTTCCACTTTCTACTGGATGCTTTTTACTTCTCTAGTGAGCATTGCATGAGGAAAAGTGAGGTCCAAGTAAGAATCGTTTCTTAGAAATGCCGCAGTTTGCTTTTGGATTCCTCAAAAGGAAAGGAATCTTTTCTTGGCTACATTAGACTATTAGGCTCCATAAGTCTTTCTGCAGGTATGTTTTCACGGGGGGGGGGGGGGAATTGCCCAAAAATCTTGTTTCCTTATTTTTATTTTAGAATTGTGATCTCACACCATTTGTACACTGTTTCGAGCAAAAGATTTTTTCTTCCTTCAATCATTACACCAAGAAGCTTTGGCAGAGCTGTCAAGCTTCAAAGTTGCCATCTATCTTTCAACTCCTAATCAATCCATTCATTTTCTTGAGGGTCTGGAAGAGGATTTCATCACAATCTCTATGTAGCAATAGATGGAGTATACGTCACACTAAAAGGTCTCAAGTCTTCTTGTTCCCCACGGGATTATCCCTCCAATCCCCTCGATTCTGGAGAGCTGAATTCAGCTTAAGAAAAACAGAATCGTCTGCTCGCCCCCGATCCTCATGAACTTGCCAAGCCCTTAGCTCACCTACGGGCACACACTGCAATTCCATCCTTGTCTGGTATGCTTCTGCTGGAGGGTTCATCGAGCCTTGATTACTGCCTCCTCTAACAAAGGGAAGTCATCCTTTTCCTTTCCTTTCGGACCTCCTACGTTGGTCTTTCCTTTGGACAGTAAGATACAGACATTGAGAAGAAACAAACGTTTGTCAAGTTGGAATGAATGTCACGAGCAAAAATAAGTGTAAAGGATCAGTCGAGCATTCAATCGCGGGATTCATTGAAGCCAACGTTAGAGACCAACGACCTTCCAGGGCCAAGCCGGTTGTAAGTCCTCTTCACAAAGTTACCCGTTCGGAATCATTTAACGGTATCATCTCTCAGACTTCCTGACTCCCGGATCGGGGCGCTCTGACTAAATCTCTGACTTTCTCTCAGGTTTCAGAGGTTTTCACACAGCTAAACAAGTGTGATCTTCACGATGTGAACCTGTTTGTCCCCAGGTTCAACACAGCTTCCATTGTACTTTCTCTGGTTACAGACAATAAAGCGGTTGCACAAGATGCCTTGATTGGGACGTGGTTGACCTTTCCTGGGAGGCAGCAATTAAGTGACAAAATGAGGGTCCTCTCAACTGAAAGGAGACCCAACTAATTGACTGGGCTTGCCCAGCTTAATAATACTGTCCACGCCGTAGTAGTCTTTACCAGGCTATCCATCACAAAGGAAAATCAACTCGCATAGTGAAGTCCGGGCTGATCCACGAAAACACTTCCTCGTAGGCTGACTAGTAGTAGATCAATTGATCGAATATTTTTCTTTAATTCTTGGTTATTTTTTACCTCAGATCTCTTCCCCGAAGTCGTGGAATCCTTCTCAAGGATCCCATGCTTCATTTTCCGGTTCCTGGTCTTCTTTCACCCCTTTGTTCTTACCGGTTGGTTTTGTACCGAGATGCAAGTCTCAATTGGCCTTGTGAAGGTCTTCCTATCATCTTATTTCTCAGCCAGCCGAAGGAGGGAATTCCTGTTACTGTTTGTTGGCCGCACTAAGATGAATGCGCCTCGTCCTCAGTGGGGAGGGGAACTCTCTTATTTCACCCAGTTGAGTTCTTCCCGCTCACCTTATTGTAACCTTTGACCTAACTCACTGAACATGGAAATTCCTTTTGCCATGGATAGCACTGCTTCTTTAAGGGACAGCGTTGAGGGATTTTTGCAGAGTGATAGTATTGCCACCAGAATGCTAAACGATTTCTTTCGTTGTTTTACTGCGTATATGTTTTTAGCAGCAACGTTCTGACTTGAAGAAGGGACCTCTGGGTGATTCATTTTCATTCCCTCAAGCGTGCTAGGTTCTAGCTGACAGCAATGGTCATAATGTTTCATGGATGCTGCATGGGCAATGGATCGGGAATTCCAGCAATTCAAGCATCAAATTTCCTTTGTTTTGTTACCCAACCACAACCACCGGGCTTTCTGTGATCTTTTGCTCCATAAGCCATAAGCTCAGGGCTGTCAGACCGGAACGAAGCCTTCCCATTCAAGCTTTTCCTTCATCAAGCATCTCCTGCGTAGACCTAATAACACTGAGGAGTCCCATAAGGTGATGAAAGTTTACATTTGCCATCTGAATTTCCTAAATCAGCCCGTGTAGGTACATGCTGGATTGATCAGGAGGCGGTAGGAAGAAGCTGAACTTATCAATGTACAAACATATTCTCAACAGGAACAATATCGATCGATATCGTGATGTCACTGCCATCTGTAAAGCGCTAAAATAAAGTTAATAAGATTTATCGTGAATATTTATTTATTTATTTCGTCCTTAGGACATGTACCGAGGTACCGTAAATATCATGCTTGTAAGATTTTGAAATGAATTTTGAAACTGTACTCTTACTCGTGTTTTCCACGTATATGGACACATGGACGGAATTTCTTTTTGGAGATGGTATGACATGCACTGTGGAATCACCCGTTTTTTTATCAATAGAAATCTGAACTTTACATATGGCATGGAGAAAACCTAAATAGGTATATTCCTCATGTGGCACGTGCACAGCGCTCGAAGGTTAGAGAGTACACGCTAATAAGGTTCAGACGGTGTTGAATTGCTCCGCAAAAGCCATATATAATGTCATCACAACTCCCACTACGCGGGCAAGCCCTATAGGATAGATACAACGTCTGCAATAATTGAAATATTGGGTCATCCGGAAAGTTCTGCGGTTTTTCAAACCCACGCGCGCATCGGCTCGAATTTCGAGTTGATGCTTCAAGAGAGGACATTGATTTCTCGCCTGATGAGAAAAGCCGGATTTTCATCTACAATATTTTTCCATTCTGTTAACATATTGCGTCGTAGGTTCGATTCTGTGCTGGGGTGAAGATGAAGAACCAAAAGCAACATTTTCGCAATATAATGCTTTTTTATTTCAAGAAAGGCAAGAATGCATGCAAGACAGCCCGTAAAATTTGTGCAGTATATGAACAAGGTGTTGTTTCTGATGACACAGTTCGGAGGTGGTTTGTGAAGTTCCAACACGGCGATTTCAGTCTCAAAGACGAGGCGCTTTGGTCCATCCCCCATACTCTCCTGACCTTGCTCCTTCGGACTTTCATCTGTTTCGGTCCCTACACGATAGCATTCTGAGAACGGTACAAACCTTTACTGAACAAGGTATGCGCCATTTTGTTCGATGACCTTTTGCCATCTCTTGGGTAGTTGGAAAATCCCCCTCTCGTAGAAGGTCCTGGGTTTGTTGGCGAAGAATTCATCGAGGTGGGTTTTGACAGCCTCCAAAGAATTGAACTCCACGCCGTTCAGGGAATTTTGTAGGGACCGAAACAGATGAAAGTCCGAAGGAGCAAGGTCAGGAGAGTATGGGGGATGGACCAAAACGCCTCGTCTTTGAGACTGAAATCGCCGTGTTGGAACTTCACAAACCACCTCCGAACTGTGTCATCAGAAACAACACCTTGTCCATATACTGCACAAATTTTACGGGCTGTCTTGCATGCATTCTTGCCTTTCTTGAAATAAAAAAGCATTATATTGCGAAAATGTTGCTTTTGGTTCTTCATCTTCACCCCAGCACAGAATCGAACCTACTACGCAATATGTTAACAGAATGGAAAAATATTGTAGATGAAAATCCGGCTTTTCTTATCAGGCGAGAAATCAATGTCCTCTCTTGAAGCATCAACTCGAAATTCGAGCCGATGCGCGCGTGGGTTTGAAAAACCGCAGAACTTTCCGGATGACCCAATATATTAACTGTAAATATCATAATAATAACATTCTACAGATGTTCAATATATTCACTACGTTGCAGTTGACAGTAACATCACAAACCTAACCAGAATGTTATTATACAACAATATTTCAATTATTTCAGACTGTGTCCACCCTGTACATAAGATGGTCAGAAAGTCCAAGAATGATCAACTTTCACGGGCATACTCGACGCGCATTTTTCTTCAAAGCAATGATATTTAGGGCTGGGCGATATGGATTTTTAAAGTATTGATATCGCCCGATATCGCGATATCGCCAGGGTTCAATCGGCGGGGGGGAGGGGTTGGTATTAATGGCACATTTATTTCACCTCTTTATTTTGGTAACGATTCAGACATGATCTTGAATGCATGACATCATGGTAGTTCGCTGTTCAAACCTAGGAGGATATCGACGATCTCTGTCGCAAAGCATGCACGATGCTCGTTTGCGAAGAATCCATATCTCGAAAAGAGTCGCTCACACGAGACGAAAGTTCTGTGAATTCGCAGGTATTTGCGAGCCAGGTCGGCAAGCGACGGGTGTCTCCCTCCGTTATGACTCTGTCGTATCGGTGGATCATCGATCTCCATTTCGCCGCATTATTAATGCAAGATCGAACGAAATCAATGTCATTGATTTCGTCCTGCGGCTCTGCTTCTGCAGGTTCGTAGCTGATGGTTAGATTCGAAATGCAATCGCGAAAGAGTCATGAGCCCGTGAGTAGCTCTCAAGGTATTTTTCTTTCAAGGAAAGGTACGTCAAGCGTTTAAAGCCTGGGAACTGATTTTCCTCGGAACTGGGCTTCCACTTCGTCCCAGACAGGAGAAGTTGCAAAGAATGATGGAGCGATCTTTCTAGCGGCAAGACTCGATTATCGCCACAATCGAATTGAGGTCGCAAGATGCAAGAGATTGGTCGTATTCCCAGAAACTGGAATTTCTCTTCCTTTCAGTGCGGCTACCTTTTCATATTCTGGATGGGTATTGCATTCGTTGCGAGAATAAATTCTAAACGCATTCCGCATTAAAGACTTTCCACGAGCGTGAGGTATGAGTTTCCAGTTCTTTTCCATCCGCAAAAATTGACCGAAGTCAAGCTATTGCTAGATTCGCATCTCCGTTTCCACGTGTCAAGCCATCTCCGGATTCACTTCCTACTGAGGCTAAGGGATAGCAATTTAACCTTGAAACATACAAAAGGAACTGACTGCATTCTTCAGGGTAAGAAAATTCTCGTGGAAGGGCAAAAATCAGAACACTAGAATTAATGAATATCATACGTTATTTTCTCACCAACAGAGGAAAAACACCTCCCTCTCATAAGGATTAATTTTATACAGGTAATTTCAACAAACATCTTTCATTCATGACCTTCGGAAAATTTCAAATCCAAGAATAAAGCAATGAAAACAAACACCGAACACGAAAGCCAATCCCGAACCAACATTCCCTCCCGCTCTCGTTTTTACCAAATATTTTCTGCTTCAAATCGAAAGAACCCACATTTTGCACCTTTCTATTTCTCGCAGATTTCCATCACGAACTCAGCATTCATATTGAATCGGAATCCACACACTTCGATTGACGACACGAACAAGGGAGTCAACACCGCGCCGAAATCCCCTCCCTCTCTAGATTTTTTAAAAGTTATTTTTTCAACTTCAAACCAAATGAACACTCATTTTGCACCTATCGATTTCTCTCAGGCATCCGTCACGAGCAAAGCAATGATACCTAACCCGAAATCTTGGTAACTCCTTTTGAGGCCACTGGATTTTAACGTTAGCATTAATGTATTTTCATTCATGTTAAAATTGATCTTTCAAAACATACAATAATAGATGTTTTCTACTTTCCTTGAATTGTTGCCGACGAATGTTGCGGGAAATATAATCTCTATTCGCTATCGACTATAAGATATGTAATTATTTTTACTCTTTTTAGAGTTTCCATAAAGAAAGCATGGTTGACCGCCTTGGGAACTACCCCCAGAGGCCCTGCCCATGCCCTTTTTAGGCCGTAGCCTGCAGCGATGAGTTAGTTTCCACTGGTTTACGTCGCTCTTTCGTTATGACTTCGGCCCTGGTCAAGTGAACTGTGGTTTCTACATCATTTTTTTGTTCCAATGACCCGATCTTGATTGTCTGGGTTCATATGGGATCATATAGTGCGTATTTTTCGTTTGCATTTCGGTAATTATCTGCTCTTTCAATAAATGTGAGTTGACCAATCCTGACCTGAACCTTTCGCTGAAGAGTACTTCTTTCCCATATATGAATGCTGAGTTCGTGATGAAAATCTGCAAAAATAGAAAGGTGCAAAATGAGGATTCTTTTGATTCGACGTAGAAAAAAGTTTTTAAAAAATTGAGTGGGAGGGAATGTCGGCTCGGTGTTGGCTCCCTTGTTCGTGTCGTCAATCGAAGTGTGTGGATTATGATTCAATATGAATGCTGAGTTCGTGATGGAAATCTGCGAGAAATAGAAAGGTCCAAAATGTGGATTCCTTCGATTCGAAGTCGAAAAACTTTGATAGGGAGGAAACGAGAGCGGGAGGAAATGTCGGTTCGGGATTGGCTCTCGTGTTCGGTTTTTGTTTTCATTGCTTTATTCTTGATTTGAAAATTTCCGAAGGTCATGAATGAAGGTTTATTTGCTGAAATTTCCAGTAGAAAATAAATCCTTAAGAGGGAGGTTTTTTTCATCAGTTGGTGAGAAAATAACGTATGATATTCATTAATGCTAGTGTTATGATTTTCGCCCTTCACGAGAATTTTCTTACTCTGAAGAATGCAGTCAGTTCCTTTTGTATGTTTCAAGGTTAAATTGCTATCCTTTAGCCTCAGTAGGAATTTGGAGGTGAATCCGGAGATGGTTTGACGCATGGAAACGGAGATGCGAATCCAGTGATAGCTTGACTGGTCAAAAATTGGCCGTAGTTTCTTCATACTCGGGGCTGACAGAATCTGAGTGCTGATTTCCATCATTTCGCCTCAAGAAAATTTTCCAGGAAAAGAAACCATTGGGAAGGATTGCAGTTCTCAGATTATCCACTAACTCCTTCCCTCATCTCATCGGTTTTTGTCAAGGCCGACAGTCTCTCCTAACATCGTCCTATGCCGTTATTGTTAATGGCGCAGTTCGTGTGCTCTGTTTCCCCTCTCCCGCGACAATAGAGGAGTAAAAAAAAAATTATTTCCAAAATTAAAATATCGCGATATGCAAACATATCGCCGATAATACAAACATCGAACGATATCGCGATAATCGGCAGAGCCCTAATGATAATTGCGTCCAGTGGATCTATCACCTCATGTTTGCAGGCTCTTCTCATCCTCACTATGCACTAAGTACGCTCGCTATCCAGGTTAGCAGGCTTGATGGTGTCACTTTCTAAGAGCGCTCAAACCATTTTTACGTTGGCTTGCGGCGTCTGGCTAGCTGAAATCTTGAACGCACTTGGTCCACATACCCTCATTGACTTGCATCCAGAATTCACTCATTGACAGATAGGCACTGAGGGAGGATCGTTTAAGGCAGGGGTGTCAAACACACGGCCTGCGAAGGTGTTTCATCCGGCCCACCGTCTGTTCTTGAAATTTCCGCTTGGATTGACTGTTAGCACAAATTTCGGAGAAAAATTGAGTGTGGCCCGCAGGCATCAGCAGGGTAAGGAATGCGGCCCGCCGACCGATTTGAGTTTAACACCCCTGGTTTAAGGAATATGCTTGATCCATTTACAAGTAACCAAAAATTCACCGCGTTCACGTCTTCACGTTTAATATGCCAGATATAATCAAAAAAGGTCAAAATATGCTGTAATACCCTTTACATGACAAGGGAACGAAGCATGAAAAACTTTCCGAACATAAAAATCAGGGGCCGTATTCTTTTAAAATCTTAAACTTAGTTTAAGCAAATTGCTCAACCTCGGCCACGCATTTGAATGGACCAGCTAAGCACCTTGCTAAGAGGAAAATCGCATTTAAGAACGTAATAGAATACGACCCCTCATCTCGTTGAAAGGAACCCAACTTTTCTCTCTTTATCCCTCCTATGTAGACATGATCAACAATGGAATTATAGACAGAGTTGTTCGAATGCACGCATCCCTTATTGGAGAGAACCTACACTACCCGAAACATTCTTCAAAAATTCCAACATGGGAATTTCATGTCGCATCAGTTAGAGACTCTTTTCCATCTTAGAGACTATTCATTACAACGTTCCCTCTTCTCCCGTCGCTGTCATAGCAACAATGAATACAAAGCACTCTTTAGTCTGAAATTTATCATGTCTCAATAATTCTATCTTCATACATAGCATATGACAAATGACAAAAAACATTTTCACGAATAGAAAAACTGAGGCTAGAATCCACTTCATTCATTATGCTCTCAATTTCTCGAGGTATTTCTGGGAAAAGTAAAGGTCAGGAAAAATAAAAATCTCAGCCTGGGCGATCTTAGGATGAATGACAGAACAGTTCGAAGCTCTCACAAACAAATAGCACATCACTTTCTTGAAAATTAGCAAGGACAGGTAGGTAAGAGATCAGCAAGAATCGTTCAAGCAAAAACTGGCAAATCTTACAATGAAGTCAAAAGGATTCTTGTGAGAGGACAAGGGCCAAAATGGCATTATGTAATCATGTTCTAAAAATCACCACCATCCAGCTCCAAGAAGGCTTTGACATTCCCTGAGCTTCATGACTATGCCAATATGTTTTCTATGGTGCACTCCATTTTCTGGAATGACTCAATGGGGTCAAGTAGAGTTCTTAAGATGCACCACCTGCTTCCTTAGCTTGAGGATCCTAATCATGGTTCCAGGCTTCCTGTGGAAACACTTCATGTCCTTTCCTCCTTTGCTTCATTGCGGTCCTTTGCAGGAAGGAAAAGGAGAGGGAACATCCCAAGGAGGCATCCAATCGTCACACCAACAGCACGGCCCTATGGTGAACATATAAATAGCCACCACAAGATTAAAGCAAGTTAGCACACCTACCCGAAGCCAAGGCAATTGTATTATTATGTAGAGTGATCAAAATTTTTGGAAGCAAGACTTTATTTTAAAAAATAGAAAATACAGCAGAAAACATCATTACATCCTCCCAAAGTACTCCCCCTTGACATTTATGCACTGCTGCATCCTCATTTTCCACCTTTGGAAGGTTTCATGGTAGTCTGACACAGGAATACTGAACAGTTGTACAGCCTTTGAGAGCTCATCTGTCTTTGAAAATGACTGTCCAAAATTGCTGGACTTCAGCTAAGAAAATAGCCAGAAGTTATAGGGAGCCAAGTAAGGAAGTAGGGTGGGTGGAAAAGAAGAGAGATGCCCTGCTGGTCTAAGTCCTCAGCTTTGTCTTGTGTGGGTAGGCACTGTCACGGTGAAACAGCACTCATGATGTCCCTGTCTTTGGTTTCAATTTCTCAAGTTTTCTGAAGACCTTCAGCAAAACTTGCTGAGTAAGTAAGTATGCAGCTATGATAGTTCCAGTCTTTGGCAGGATTTCAACAGCCATAGGACATTAGGACATTGAGAATCGAAGAAGATGATGAATATTCTCTTTTGACTTTGAAAACCAGGCTTCAAAACTTGAGGTTAAGGCTCACCTTCTAAAAGCCAGACCATGTTGGACTGTTTTTCTTGCATGGTGAAGAAGGATATCCAACATTTGTTACATGTGACAACATCAGATAGTCTCTTTGGGATTAAAATACTAGGTTAGACTAGGTTAAAAAATCTGAAGCCATAAGTAACAAACTTGAACTCCTAATTTCTGACTGTCAGAATACGAAGAGTCCAACTTGCACATTTCTTGGTCTTCTTCAAACCCTCATGGATAAGGCACTTCTATAATTAATGCCAAGCTCAAGACATGAAAATCTCAGAGTGAAACCATGATTCTGGGGAGTAATGACATCAGCAGAGCAAACAGAAATCCTTGGATGTCCAGATCGAGCCCCATCTTCACAGTTCTTTCCAGCTTTAAATTTCTCATCTACTTTGAATCTGTATCAAAGGAGCAAGTAACTTCATCATAAACTTTGATCAAATCCTGGCTTCTAGCAAGTGAAGACATAGGAGCAAGATCCTTTGTGAAATCCATTGAGAAACTGACCTGCAGAAAATGCATCTTCGTGCATTTTCACACACACCTTTGGTCCCCTACAGGACCAAAGGTGCATGAAATAAAATCATGAGAAGTTGAAATGCTTCTACAGAGCTTATGTGAATCAGAAAAAAGCCCAGGCATAGGATGCTGCCTTTAAGCCCTCAGAATTTTTTCATTGCAAAAAATTTTGTTCAATCCCTGTATACAGTAGCACTCAGTAGTTCTGTATTATATAGGAGGATGGTACATTTTAAAGTTTTATTTTCCAAGAGAGGACATGTGCAAGATGAAGGCTGTCCACTGCATTTTTTTTAGTGTTGCCTGTTTGGGTATATTCATCTTTGCAGCCTTTCTGTAGTGGATCTTGCCAATGAACACACTGTTCTTTGAGGAAAGAATGTGGCTGAGATGCAGGATGGAAACATCTGCTCCAGCCCTAGCTCAGTGCATAAATTCCTTGCCAAGGCAATATCTCCACCAGGGTTTCTAGGCAATGCCAATACCATTTGATTCACATTCATTCCTTATGTGATGATTTTTTCAACTGGATTTCTGTCCCTCTGTGGATAATTTTTTTTTGTGAGTTGTAAATATTTCAAACTTATCTCTTAAGTATTCAGGGTTGAGGTTTCTAAAACCCATGCTAAGTGAATTTGGGTGCAGTATCAGTTCATTCTAACTAACTTTGGATCCTAAAACTTATTAAACCATCAAGTTTGGGTTTTGATTAAGCTCATGTTTGGTTTGGTTCCAGCTTGCCACAATTCGATTTGGGTGACAAAAGGTGAAGGACAGTAAGGACAAGGGATCTCAAAGTTTCAAGGCTTGTTTCTTGCTCAGCAATGTTTTGCACAAATTTCGAGGACTTCAAAGCTGGACAGTCCACAGCTACAATTCCAAATATGAAAACCAAGCCATTCACTCTCATGGTTCTCACTAATCAGCCAATTGAGGAGCCATTGCTCTCCTAAACTGTGGGACAAGAGAGGCTTTTCAATCTCACCTGATGCAGGTGTGAACATGGTTGAATTGTCTGTTCTCCTGTGACATTCTTGTCTTACAGTATACATCTTCCCTAAATAAGAATTTTGAATGCATAAAATCTGATGGCAAAGGAGAAAGGTGGAAAGACTCACAGCATTTGCACTCCAACGAGAGGAAGGCATTTCCAGTTGAACAAGAGTGAGATCAGGGGGTTTGACACCAATCTTGGAGGAAAAACTCTCAACATAGAAAGCTGAACCAATGCCAGCGATGTCAGACACAGTGTTCCCAAGTGCTGCTGCTGCCAACGTTGAGATCCCAAGCACAGTTCCAATGGTCAAATCAATGTAATCTCCCTATAATCATACCAGAGGGTATGAATGACAATTGAGACCAAAAGAAGCCATGAAACAAACATTAAATGGACATCAAATGCATAGCACAGTGGCATCCATGTAGAAAGTTGAGGATGAAAAAACATGGCATAATGGAAGCTTATGTGTGTGCGTTATGATGTCCTTAAGCAGATATATGATAGATGTGAAATTGCTTAGTTTCTCACAATCCTCTTCATTTTCCCCCATTCTTCCTTGAATTTGAGCAGAGACTGTACAAAAAGGTCATAAAGTAATTTTTTAAAGCTAAAAATTGCAATGGAACAATGGTAGAATGAAAAAGGAACATGAAAGAGGTGAGGCCTAGTATTCAAATTCTTTTTGTTTTTTTTTTCCCCCCCTCAAGGCTTCAGAATTTTCCAGCTTCTTTCCAACTACTTTGGGTGTCTAATAAGTCTTGAGACTGGTTCAATAAAACAAAAGAATTGATTAAAATGAATGAATTAATGGTTTTCATGAGTAATGTAGTCCCCACGAATCTATGACTTCTTGGCAGTGGTCCAATAGCCACCTGACCTCCTCTTCAGCACCCTAGCCCACTGAAATGTAGCCTCCTTCACCTCAAGATGGTCATTGAAAACTCTTTCCTCAAAGTCATTCTTCATCCAGTTAAAAAGGAACCTGTTGCACAGATTGGTACAAGCATTGGGCTGGTACAGGCTTTGGAAGAGTGTTGTGATATTACACTGGGTCACAAAGTCCTTCACAGTGGTGGATGTGTGGGGTTGCACATTGTCCCACTGCCAAATAACCTCATTCAGGTGGATCAGCTTTGAACACAAGCATCTCCACAGATCACCTGAGTGATGAACAGAGTCCAGAATGCACTGGGAGTCAACAGACTCCTTTGGGGCAGTGGTGTCAACAGAAAAACACTTGTTCGAAGTGAGGGCAAGAAGGGTTTCTTGTCAGCCACATTTCGCTTGATCACTTGGAGCCAGTCCTGATCTGCTTGAAGCCAGCACTTGTTGCACTGTTTGCACAGTTGGACAACATGTAACCCCACACGTCTGCTGCTGTGAAGGATTTCAAGACCCAGTGTAACATTATGATGCTCTCCCGAAGCCCAAACAGCTTGGACTTTAATCTGAGCAACAGGTTCCCCTTTAACTGGATAAAGAACAACTTCCAAAAAAGAGTTTTCAACAACCATCTTGAGGTGAAGGAGGCCACATTGCAGTGGGCTAGGAAGCTTGATGAGGGAGCGTTCAAAGAGGAGGTTGGGTAGCTATTGGAACACTGCCAAGATGTCAAAGGCTCAGGAGGGGACTACATTGCACATTAAAGCCATTTATTCATTAATTCTAATCAAATATTTTGTTTTATTGAACCAGTCTCAAGATTTATTGGAAACCTGAAGCAGTTTGTTGGAAGAACTTATCCAAGAATCATAACTGAAGACTGATTTTCCTACCTATCAGCTCTACTGCAACTTGTAAGGTCACATGAGGAGAAACCAGACAGCAATTCATCATTCTCAAATCAAGAAGCAAAGCTTTCCTGGTGATGGAAGCAAGCCTCATATAAAAAAAAAGGAATTTCCATGTCCTAGCAGCAATGGGATAGGTAGGTTCCCATCAAGGAATGGGGCTCCTGACAAGGGCTGGTACTAAAGGAATTGGAAAATGGTCTTTGGATGCCATGGCCTTGAGCACTGGCCCACTGAACATACATACATATTGCAGTGGAGTTCCTGTGAGAAACTGGGGAAATCAGAGGGAAAAAAAAAATTTTTTGTTGATGGCACCTTATTGGTTCTGTTCAAAATGAACAAGTGACTTGAAAATAAAAACTTTCCTACTATCATCCTGCAAAGTTTGAATTTCATGGTTTTGGTAGTTAAATTACCAGAATTTTTTCTTTTGGTAACTTTGTGTCCACCAAATAGCTGAAATCACCAAATGAACTAATTGCAAAGGAATGAGATGACTCACCGCTACTATCATGATGGTATTGTCCAAAAATCCAAACCCAATGAATGGGAGGGCATTGTAAATGGTAACTAGAAGGGGAGAAAAACAGATAATGACATTCAAATGCAGTAATTTTTATTGTGCTAAAAAATCCCTTGAATGTCCCTTGGTCACCAAGGAAGTTATGACAAAAGGGTTCCACTATCCAAAACTGTTACATTTTTGCCCCATAAAATGAGTTTTATAAGTATTATTAGCCTAGCAAATTCTGGTAAGGAATTAAGGTAAGCTTTAAGCCTCACTTTGGCAGATGTTAAGACACATGTATGGTCTGACTTCACATCTGGAGTGCAGTATGTATTCTTTAGGCTGTTTCTCCATTTGTGCCATATGATGATGCTATTAAGCTAGGCATACTATCCTTTTGGGCCAAGTGATTTCCAGGAATGAAGCAAACTGGGTTACTGCTGAGGCATGTCCAAAGCAGACAGATCATTATCAGTGAGAAAGGATTGCAGCATTCTCCTGTTATGGTTTTTTCCAGCAGCAAGGCAATGTTTTTGGCGATATAGTGTACATGACAGCAGCATTGAACATGAAATTGAACATGTGTATGTGCATGAATAGCAGTCAGAGCACCTTTTTTATGCTTATATGCAAGGGCAGTAAAAACAGTCAAGCATATTTTTCCATTTTTAGTATTGCCTATGGATGCAAAACCTTAGGGCAAACAGAGTCATTGGCCAATGAAAGATATGGGTTATATGTCTTCAGGGATGATGCCCAAGAAAGCTAGAAAGGGTGTAGGGCATCATGCCTAGGTTACTGTATAGAAGCCCCATGACATAATGGAAATATTCAATAGCTTTCTCCTATTCATCAAGAGACTTAATTGCTCTGAGTAGCCTACTGCTATTGATGATTACTCATACACAATGGCAATTTTTGCATTTCAGCCTGATCTCAATGTCCATCAAGAATGCCATTTAAATAACCCCTATTCCATGTATCAGCTGAACTTCCCACGAATTGAAATTTAATAGGGGGTTTATGAAATTTATGATGAAGCAGAGGTACAAATGATAGGAAGACATTAATCAACAATGGCCAACCATTACAAAGTGAATGTCCCACATTGCCAGCTTCTTCAAATCAGGCAAGAAGTTTCCATATTACCTGTTGATAACATGGTCCTATGATGTTTTCTGTGAGATAGGCATTGAGGGCTCTGGCTCGAGGTTTCCATGCCAAAACTAGTGGCCTGTTCAATTGGGATCAATCCATCCAAATGCATTATAGCCTATACATATTTTTAAAAAAGAAGCCCTTACCATCCCAAAGCTGTGATGCAGTTGGCTTGGGGACCTTCTCCGCTAGAAACAAAATAAAGGACAATAAAAACCAAAGAATATAGTGCCTTCACTATTTAAGCTAAATGATACATTTCCTCAACTGGAAAAATACTGAAATAGATTTTTTTAAATTTATCTTATGATTTATGATACTTTCAAGAATCAAGAGACGACATTAGATGAAAAGATATGATTGAATCAGTATGATGCTTTGAAGCTCATGAAATAACCAACAGTCAAAATTTAAAGATGGTGCAAGTTGTGTGTAATGTGTGTCTCTATGACCTCCTCCTGTCCTACTTATGCTCTCTTAACCCTTTGATGAGTATGCTCATATATATATGGGCTGACATCCTACTGCCCTCCATGTATTCACTACGGGTGATCTGGATGTTAAAAATACCCACTCCTCAAAGGGTTAATGAGCCCACTTAGGTGTACCTATTGATGCCAAAAGAGGAATATACAGGATATGGCAAGAAAAGACCTTCAAAGTATGTCTTTCTGTTTCTACTGAAGCTTTTCTTACAAAACAAGCACAGTGCATATGGATTAATATGGCATATGGATATAATGTTTCCACTAGATTCTTAAAATTCCACCAAATTTAATCACCTTGAAGCAAGGCTATGCACAATTGCTTAAAAGAAGTTAAACATAGGAACTGGACAAGAACTTGTATAGGTAATCAAGTCTAAGAAATGTCCTCATTAAGGATGGGTTATTGACTGGTCAATTAAAAACATGTCAATTGACTGGTCAATATTGTTAACCTTCTTGACAAAAGTTATCCATGGTCCATGAACCATGGTCAATTATGGTCAATAAGGCCAACTTTTATTTTGTTTTTTACTGCACAGTTTGAGCTCCATTTGTATGTCATGATTCACAAGTGATAGGCTAGGCAAGGGAAGCTGACAGGTCAACATGGTCATTTATGACCATTTACAGACAATAATGGTAAACAAGCCCAACAAGAGGTTAGCCCTTATGACTGTATATGATATAAATGACCATGTTGAACAGTCAAAATCTCATCGCTAAGATAGACTGTACTATACAGATTGCATGAGTTGGAACATTCCACAACTATCAGTCATGTTTCAGAGATAAATTCTGTGACTAGTAAAACTCCATAAGTACTCTGAATAATGAGGAATGTAACAGTGTCCAGAACTGGAGTTTCTTGGTTTCTGGTCTAGGTATTTATTCCTGTTCCTGTCAGAAAAAAAAACCTCCACCTTGCTCAACTTAGTTCTTCATAGCTAGATTAATTTTTTTAAGCCACAGACCAAGGAATAATCCAAGTAAGTTTACTTGTCCCTTGATCACAGACTCTGGGAGTAATTTGATGCTCTAATGCAGACTATTGACCAACACTATGATAGCCCTTCCATTAAACTAAAGTTCTAAAGCCAAACTTAGATCTTGAACCTTAACATTCAAAGTCATTAAGGCTATAAGACCTTGAACAGCAGGCTATGCCTGTACACACACTCTACACCACTCAGGTGAGAGGTCATGGCAGTTTGAGCATTAGCCATAATATTTTCATACCCAATGGGTACCACAGTCCAGATGCTTGGCAGGCTGCATGAATATAACTTAAAATGGAACTGACTCTTCAGTTTTAGTGCTGGATAAAAAAAAATAACCACAGTTACGAGCTCTATAATAATTTACTAATTCATTAAAAAAAAAAAGACTGGTCAATAAAAGTTACTTAAAAGGTGGTCAATGGACTGCCCCATCTCAAGCCCTCACACTATGGCTGCATATTAACCAGGACATATTAAACAATTCATTCTTTGGGCTGGCCTTTTTGTATGATTTTGATTATTTTCTTCCAATTAATGACTCTTGACTCAATAAACATTCATACAGCACTATCTTGATATTGAAGATTTCCTTTTTGTTAATGTCAGTGAACATGGCAGGCAGAATCTAGAAAGTAGAAAGTAGTCCCTGTCTGCTTGCAATACCCAATTTCTTTTGAGATACTGCTCATGGTCTTGTAGAACCAATTTGGAGAAAATGTGTGTCTGTTAGGAAAATATCAATATCTGTGGCAAGTGTTATGAAAATGGCTCCCATGAGAGCAGACATACATGAAGTCAATGATGTTTTTTTTGTCAATACCAAGGAAACTCATTTCTTACTCTTCTAAAACCTGTGTATTGAATATCACTTAAATGCAGAAAATTCATACAAAGCCTGGCTCACACCAATAAGCCACAAAAACCAGATTACATGTACAAGGATATGGATATGACAAATATTTCAACCTATTGACATTTAAGACATAACTATTTCCTAATGCATCAGAGATTATCAATCCATTTGCATCTATAAGCATAGGGTAACTTGGAGAAATATGGCCCTTCATTATGAATCTCCTAACAAACTGCAGAAATAGTTTGGGCGAATTTTAAAATATTTCTATCAAAGAGTGCATGCAATTGTCAAAATGTTAAAACCTATTCATTAATCCAATTCTCACAGGAATCCAGGATACATTGATATCTTGAAAGTCATATGCCTGTAATTGTTCCACTCATGACCTGAAACTAATATGAGCCTTGAACAACTTAAGCATATATTTTCAAATAGCAGCATGAATACAGAAACCATTTGTTTGACGTTACTGTAAGTCCCTCCAGAATGTTTGTGGAAAGTGCTAGCCCTTTCACTTGCGGTTTGCAGGCAGTGTTGTCAATTGTGTCATGCAAGCCAATATGGGGAATATGGCCATCTTGATTTGGGGTAATATGGACACATCCTTGATTTCATGGTAGCACACCACTGACCTATGGGTAATGTCAGCTTCCTTTCATGTGGGACCTCAGGCAGCAAAAGATCATCCTATGCACATCCTCTGGATATATGGATCAATGTAATGAAAATCTGGATGAAATATGCAGTACATAAGGAGGTGGTGTGTGAGGATATCCTCATTCACTGCTTTCTGGGTATCCACTTGACATACTCCAGAAATTTGAATGAAGGTAAATATCCCTCATACAAAAAGTTAATTTGTCATTCTCAGATTTGTTGGTGCTATTAATGCATACATGCAAAACTACGCAATGTTTTTCATGGAATGTAAAACCTCTCAGTTCACATTTATAGCGCATGTTCAATTTGATCTATGGTTGATCACTCTTATACACTCAGTCTCTAGATACAGTCTCCCAATCATGTGCAATGCTACTCAAAGCCAAAAGTGTTGCAATCCTGCTTTTCAAAACAGCTCTTCAAGTTGCAAAATGTCGACTTCTTTGCTCGTTCTCAATGCAGTTAAGGTGTTTCTTTTTCAAATGCTGAGCCTCCTTTGCTGTGTTTCAAGGTACTCCGCATATTCCAGCATATTTCCCACATAACTCAAAAACGTTGTGTTCTTTTTTTATGAGTGGTCATATTCCCCCAACAATAGGGGTAATATGGCCTCTTGGGACCAGCTTGGAAAGGATCCAAAAGTGCAATATCCCAATATCCCCAATATAAAATATGCACATGCAACTTTCGCATATGTCTGGCTGGGATTAAGTAAAGACAATATCAATCAATACTTTAAAAACATTGTAAAAATCGAATTCAACCTTGATGGGCCATTAAGACCAGGTTTCCTTTTTTTGGGCCATATTCCCCCAAACAAACCCTACTGGTAGGAATTTGAAACCTGCATGTGAAATATTTCAAGGCATGATGAAAAATTACTGAATGGAACTAATGAGCACCATCATAGTGTACCTGAGAGTTTTCTGAAGAATTAGATACAAAATGTGTCAGACACGCAAAGACTAGAAAGGAAAAGTCACTGTATTTGAATGGGTGAAAAATGTTTAAATATGCTAGGAAAAATCAAGCACAAAGGGTTATAATAGAAATCAATATTCCAGTGGTCCACCTATGCTCTCCATAGTAAAGCAGAACCCCCACAAATTAATATATACCAAAATATATTATTTAATTAATGACATGAATGGTACCAACATGGAATGATGTTGACAGCCAAATGAGACCGAACTTATGAGGGCAGGAATAATGAAGAAATAGGACTTCACTGACATGGAAAACTACAAACCCAGAATAATGCAGACAAGAAAGAATGACACCAATGTAGAACAATAAAACCAAAAAAGCACTTGATACATCCTTAGTCTTGTGCTTGTTCTTGCTCTTACATGAACACGAAAGAGCAAGAATGAGAGAAGACAAATTACAAGTGTTGATAGAATAAAGACAAGAAACCATATGTGGAAACACTGGTTCAATTAGCAGTGCATATATGGCAAATGCACCTCTCTGAAAGTAAGGGTCTCAGCAAATATAATATGTAAGTCATGTGGAATCTTCATACCTACTTCTTCATAGACTGTAGGTTAATAGTCAATACCCAGTCAAATGACTGAGCATGAAAATACTGATGAATGAAGTAACTCAACTGGGGAATACAATATTATTTCAATTGAAATCCAGTTAAATGAAAATTGTTTCATAAAAACAAATAATAGAGTAAAAATACCAAAACAAATAACAATGATAGTTTCCTAACTATAACCAAAACAAATTCATGATCCCTGTGATCTCTATCTACAGGGTATGATGAAAAAAAGACCAATGACTTTTAACCTAAAGATGTTTACTCACAATAGAGCCATTTTTGAAAAACTTTCTAAATGCATATGAATATGTTTCTGAGTGATTTTCAAAATTTCATCTGAATATTTTTTTTACTCAAAGCAATACTATCAGCAACTATAGAAAAGAAGTTAGACATTGAGAATAGACAAGAGCTCCTTCTGGTTGAGAAATGAAGGACACACTCAAGAACTGTCCCTCCAGGTCATCAAGACCATGTCAAACTCTTCTTGCATTTAAATTCATTCTTTGGGCTGGTTGTCTCATGCAGATGGTGTCCATTCCAAAGGAATAACAGATGAATAAATGGGCCTCAATATTCAGAGACTTTTCACATTTCATTCAAAATTTCCTTTGGTTTACATCAACCTGAGTCTACAAGGTATGACAAAGAAGACCAAGAACTTCGAGTATCTTATGATTGCTTAAGTCATATCTCACAAAATTTGCTGCAGATGAAGCATGCCTTCAGTTATTTAAAAGTCATGAAGGCTGCTAAAATATGTTACTTCAAATCAAAGTTATAAATGAAATTCTATGACAAATCTGACATTTGAAGACAGTTCCTTCATGAAATCAAGGAAAATTTTGAATAACTTCAAGGAAACTCTATGGATTGATACTCATCATTGCTTCATCTACTATTCATTGAGAATAAGCTCATGAAAACCATCTACAAGAGACAATCAGCCCAAATAATGAATTTAAATGCAAGAGTTTGACATGGTCTTGATGACCAGGAGGAGCAGCACTTAAGTGTATCCTCCATTCCACAACCAGGAGCTCTTGTCTAATCTCAATGCATAACTTCTTTTTAATGAATTGCTGATAGTATTGCTTCTAAACAAAAAACTTAAATGAAATTTTGAGAATCAGTTGGAAACATGCTCACATATGCATAGTGAAAGTTTAAAAAAAAATAGCTCCCTTGGAAGCTGAGATATTAAGTTTAAAAGTCATTGGCCTTTTTCTTTTGAATATCCTGTATTCTTGCCTGCATGCATCTCTGTTAGTGTGAGTTTTTTTTATTTATTGTGCTAAAGCTAATTTTCCAACTTTCCTTAGAGGTTTTCCACTTTGTGATATAACAACAATGATGCAATGATATGTAACCAGATACAGGAGCTTAAGAGCCATGAATGTACCAAAGCCAGTTTCTTTCCTCTGGAACTGGAAGGGTAACTGTCCTTTATGGACAGTTACCCTTGGTTTCAACTCCTTAACCCTTTGACGAGCATGCCCATATATATACGGGCTGACACCCTCCTGCCCTCCATGTATTCACTACGGGTGATCTTCTAGGCGTTAAAAAACCCACTCCTCAAAGGGTTAATTTTGACTCAAAAAGAGTGAGTCTGTGGTAAACTTTATGAATTCCACTCTTGCACCTCTGATCTTTCTTTAAATCCATGATAGGGTATATTTGGGGTTCTGTGTTTCAAGACTTGTTTTTCATGGTATTTGAGAGAGATTTCTTGAGACTCTAAACCCTCAGTAGGTGCTAACTGATCTACTTTTGCGATAGTGCTATTACTAAGCCTTGTCTCATCAAAAATAGATCTCAATAACACAGAGCCCTTGGTATGTTTCAACAGTAGCATAGAAACAGCCTCAGATTCTGAGTTCACCTAGTGAATCTAGTGTAAAATGAACTGAAACAGGAAAACATATCTAAGTATACTACATGCAAATCCTTCACAGTTCTATGCCTACAAGAATGGAAGATACAAGATTAAACCTGATACATCAAAAACACACCTTGTATATTCTGTGTACCGTATGTGTGCCAGCTAACTGACTGCCAGGTTAGCTGGTCTCTTGCTTGCACCAATTTAGCTCCTCAGCCAGTTAAAAAGATGTTTAGGGCAACTCAAGCATCCTATCTGGTTATGGTCAAGGCAAGCTATCTTCAGCAGTTGGCCCAAGTCTGGTGAGTCTATCAATCTTCAATGGAGTTCCTGCTCACTTTGGGATGTCTTAGCAAGTCTCATCTCTGCTCTCCTGCATCCTCACATGGTCTGCTTTCTCGATCCAGCTGAACAGTTAACGCCCAGATTAATGGGTTGGCAATGCTGAGACAGACCAAAATGGCTGACAGCATCAGCTCCATTCTTGACCAGATTGAGGAAAGAAATTTGGATCTCATATAAATGATGGACAAAGTCAATCCAATTTCAGTCAGCTTTCCAATGTGCTGTTTTGGAATATTTCCTGACTTTGGGTTACTGTTGAGGCAATAAGCCTACAACCAAACAAATGCACAAACAATGTTAGGCCTGGCAGGCAATCATTACTGACTGAGTTTCTTTTGAAGCCAGTTGGATGGCACCTCGCAGAACTGCCCAGTAGGATCTTCTTCTGGACCTAAATCTGGTACTTTTGTTGGGCGACCAAAAGATGACCTGAGCTGCTGCCTCCCCAACTTCCCTGTAATACAATCAATAACCATCATTAAGCACTAGACTATTATGAGTATATTTAGAATAGTCAGAGCATAATTAAATCTATAGACATACCAATGCATTGGCAGAGTACTGGCAATCCCAATCACTGATCACTCTTACAATTATGCCTGTCAGTTTGATCAATACTTGGTTTAACAGTTATTGTTCTCAGCTGGTAAGTGATCAATCTGGCAGAAGCATTCTTTTTTTGCTAAAAAAAAAATTGACAGAAAAAAAAAATTGCAGACATCCCAGCTATTTCTTCATATCAACAATATCTTTCTGATTCAGGATAGGTGCCAGCAGTCAAACCCAACAACTCAAGTTTCCAGGATAGCATTTATGATGTTGACTTGCAAGCCACTTTATCATGAAAGAGACACACTTCATAGGTCATGTTAAGGCTTACTTTCATACACAACTCTCACAATGCAAGCAAAATTACACTGACTGATGCTTTTATTGCATCAGCATCAGTTGGCAGAAGTAATAATTATTAAAAAGACTAGATAATACATAATTTAAAAGAGCTACTGGTACACAGGATAAGAAAAGAAAGCACCAGAGTCTGCTAGAATAGATTGCCTCACTTTTGTAAGGTCCTCTGTCCCCCCACCCTCTTGATTCCCTTTATTTTTTTCTTCTATTAGAAATGTCAGGTCTCCCTTTCTGAACTCCAAATCCCTATCCATATTCATATAATTAAAAAATCTTTGATCCCTCATCAGCATGCTTTTCTCTCACAGAGACCCAAAGGTAAAAATAGAGCATGTAAGGAGATTCAGCAAACATTAGTTACAAGAGCTACTGAGGCTGGCTGCACAGATGCCAAGTGTGAGGCAGAAATTAGACATCTAAGTCATAGTGCACATCTGTCTGACTCTGCCAAACCATTTGAGTCAAGTTTAAATGCACACAATTCAGAATGATACATCTTTGGGAATGTAATTACCTGCTTTCTGCTATTGTGGATATATTCCTACCATGACCTAGCTTTGATAACAGTTCCAGCAAGAGGCAAAACAACATTGTTGTCCCTTGGGCTGGCCTTTAAGGGCTCTGAGAAATGCTAGATGTTTCCTAGAAAAATAGGAGTTTCATTACTCTTGCCTTATGTCCAGGGTAACAAAGTTATATTCTTTTTTCATCTCTATTACTTACCCCTCTTTTGGGAGTGAGAACTGGCAATCTAATGGCTAATGCCTTTTTTTCCCCATTCACTCCAACTGAGCTTTGAGCAGTTAGGAAGGACCAATGTTTGCTTGTAGTGGTGGTGTGATTTTGGCTGAAGAGTCAAGGGCAGCAGAGCAGGGCCACCAAGCTTTGTCCCATCAGCATCAAGGAGGGCAGCTACCCCCCAGCAAAATACATCACTGGTTGGCTGCTATGTAAAAAGGACCCTGCATTCTCCAAAAAAGCAGAGCTAAGGGGGTTTGTTCTGGATATAGCCTGTAGCAAATCACTACAGATAGAGCATACTGTTACCAGTCTGGCAAACCCAAAGTAGGCCTTGTACAATTTCTTGGAGAATATAAAAAACAAGAGATGTCGATCTGTTCAACTTCGACTGCTTTGTCCATTGCTCTTGGCCCAGCTTACACTACATGGCACTAGATGCAATCATATTCTGCATGGCAGGGCTGGGATAGGCTTAGGCCTAGTGAAGCACTTAGGCTTTCAGAGGAAACTTGAGTTAGGCCTATTTCAAAATCATTGAGTCTGTGTCTATTTTTGATGAGAGCAAGGAATTCACTAAGAGACCTTGATGGAGGGACATCCTCTCTCCAGAGTGGATGGATTGCAGTTCACCAATTAGACGCTCACGCTCCTCATAAGGTAGATGCAAAGCCAACCGACGAACCTCAGCCGGCGACACGTTAGGTTTCCTTTCGTGTTGGGGGTGAGAGGTATCACCACTCAATTGGGAGAGGAAGAGAGTCGTCTGAGATAACGATGTTGGTAGTGCGGTTCTTCGTCCTAGGTGGCCAGTGGCTGCAGAAACATATGAATATTTGGTCGTGGAAGGCTTCCATCGGAATCTTCGGGAAAGAAGGTATATGGAGGACGCCATGTTTATAATTGCTTATTACTAGGTTGAAGACATAGAGGGCGTCTTTTATCCCGAATCCCGTCAAAATGTCGAAAACACACATGTCGACTGTCCGATTGTCGATTACCTACAATGTCGAATTCCTGAATGTCGAAGGAACGAAATGTTGAAAGTCAAAATGTCGAAAGAGAGAAAAGTCGAAATGGACATTTATTTATTTTGTCAATGAAGTCATAAAAACTCGTCACTGCACTTGGTCGAGAAAGAAAAGCAAACTAATTGGCGGTTATAGATGTGACAACCTCTGACATTCGGCATTCAAAACTGAACATTATGTGCCACTGCACGTCTAAGTAATCACGCACTTCGCGGTCGGAATAGGAAGAAACAATTTGATGAATGCGTTTTTCCCTTGATTCTTCTTTTTTCTTCAGCTTTCGCAGGGGGTACCCTGACAAGATTCTTTCCATCTCTCGCGCTTGAAAACATTCCTCTTTCTGCAAAACTCCTAGAAATTCGTATATATTGGGACTGGCCTTGCCTACAATGCGATTGAATCGGTGGTGCCATCCCTCTAGAGCATTGGCCGTACGTGGTTCTCCCCTGAGGACTCGTTCCCTCACATTCCACCCTTTAAGATGGAAAACAGGGCCGCTACGAGGTCGACCTCTGCTTCTGCGGCCATCGACATAATATTCTCTAAAATATGCAATGATTGGGGCTGCTGCTGTTGGCATGCAGGTCAAGAGATCTTCGAATGCAGCTTGTACCTCACCTCCTGGCACGAACGCCAAAGCCGTGAACATACGCATAGCTAAAACAAACTCTACGTTATCTGCATATTCAGAGACTAACCCTGTACTTTGAATTTTTCTCCAAATGCTTTGTGCAAAATGGAAGAAGCAAGTGTTGTGTTTCACATGAGGAAGTACTTGAGATACTGCTGACAAAATTCCGCTCTCAAAGTCGGTTGTGATGAACTGCAGCTTCGGAACAAAGTGGAATCTCTGAAATGCGTCAAGTATGCCCTGCAACATGATGGAGTGACACTGCGCATCTTTCGCATTCAACAAGCCATACACAAGAGGAAAAATAACGCCGTTCACTTCAGCGTGCAACGTGTACAATTGCATGGCCGAATCCTGTTGCACCCTAGGGGCAACGAAGAATGTTCCGTCCCCATACCACCTCTCTGCACTCGCAAGATGTCGGGTGCTGTCACGAGATCCGACCATACGAATGTGGTATCACTGTGATCGAGAAGAACCCAGTCATTCTCTCGTCCACAGTTCGTGAGAAGATTTGCGGCAAATCGAATTCTGCAAACTTCTCAGGAAGAGGTGGAAGCTTCTTCCTTCTTTCCCTTTGGATCATGCGTTGCAAGGAAACTGTTGAGGGCATGCTTTGTCGAATTTGAACTGGAATATTTGGCATCTAAGGTATAATAGAAGGAGAAAATGATCATTTCTCTCGATAGACTAGCCTCATTACAGAGTTTAAGGAATCTCTTCCGAGCGCTGGTAAGCAAAAATGGACAGGAAGACCTATTCAGCACACTCTTAGTTATATAAGTGATGAAATTGAGGACTAGCGAGAGAACAGCTCTATGCACTTTAGCACGCGATCGCGTTCATATTCTCATCCTGATTCCCCTAACTTTTTTTTCGCGCTTAGGAAGGAGCTTGTTGTCTCACCTCTGTACTAATGATGGCGGAGGTCGCCTCAGATGAAACGTCTGCTCGCCGCTTTACCGCTGTGACGAATTTTCTCTTCAGAATGTCGGATCGATTAGGTGCATGAGTATCGTGCACTTCTGGAGGTTCCTTTATAAGTTCGTCTTTCATGATCACAATGGCACGGGCAGGACAACTCCGGTTTTGGCACCTCCAATACACTTTCTCCTTTGTACACTTTTCATGTGTGAATAAGTACCCATGAACAACTAATAATCTGCCACCTTTCTGAGAATTCACGTATTCCATGGTGGTCTTGGTTACGGTTCCAATTCGAGTGACACGTTTATGTGAAAGTGCGCTTTTTACTGATGTAATCAACTCCGCCAACGCTTACTGATGCAGACAGATTGACAAAGTTGACAAAGCGGTCTTCGCTGCCTCAAGGGAGCAGAGAGGAAAGAAGTAATCTCCTCTCCTTGATTATATCAAGACCCAAGGAACGGAAAAGAATAACCGGATTTCGACATTTTGAGGATTCTACGTTTTTCCACATTTTGACGCTTTCGGTATTGTAACAATCAACATTATGCCCATTCGACATTGTGTGACATTCGACATTTTTGCTAGTCGACAAAAAATCTGATGACATTGTGGCTTTCGACATTATGTTATAGAACCCTTTTTTCCAGCCTCTTGCAGCTGCTGGCAAATAAGACCTTTCCGCCAGCGCTTGACTCAACCACGCCATAAACCCTTATTGGGGCAAGGTATTTTCGTAACGTAAGCAGGCAAGGGGAGTCCAATGGGCTCTTTTTTTCTTTTTCAATTATCAACCAGTATTTATTTGGCTGTCAAATGAATACAATCGTCTCACATTAACATAAGAACAATACCAGAGTATTCACATGTAAAAAAATGAAGCTTCTGGGATTTTTACGTCCAAATTTCATTTCAGATTGCATTTCTGGCACACTCTTTTGACGGCAGCTTATGTCTCATCCTTTGTCTGTACATCACTCCTTCGTTGCTTCGCTCTCGTGGTTATCTTCACTGCTCATTACATTGCCTGTTGCCACGTAATCATTATTGTGATCCAATTTTTCATTGTCTACGATGTTTTTTTTTTAAATCATTTCCTGCGACATTCAAGCTCTCCCCGCAATCTCTAAGGAAACGGTAACAGAAATAAGATAGTTATAAATGAGTTGCAAATGATACTCATTTTGAAATCAATTTTGAAAGCAGTATTTTACCGGCTCCTTCGCGACAGGATTTTTAACGGGAATACTCAGAGTTGGGTGTCGGCGGTGGTGAAAAACAACTGGAAAACGACGTAACAATTGGGTACAATTTCCAATAATTTTTAATGCGTATATCTTACCAATATTACCTTAGGTTGTATGAAGCAAGAAAACCACGTACGTTTGCGAGGTTTACTCGAACTGGTACTCAATCAGGCATTGCATGCAGGCTTCACCACAAAGTAGCGATATTAGTCAATACAGATGGACGACAGCAGATTTGTCCGAGTAGTCCAAAACTGAGCGGTCTTACCAGTGTAGCTTCGTTGTGCCTTGCTAAATGGTGCAACTAAACAGCTGAGTGGGAGCCGGGAAGAGCGGAGTGGCGTTGCAAAACGTACATGTAAAATGTAATGAGAGTCCCTCGGACTCCCTTTGTCAGGAAAGTGTTTACGAATTTTTGCACTTGCAAAAAAATCCCCAAAAATTCAGACATGGTAACATATTGTCAACTAAAAGACACGTATTAAAATAAACTTGTTTCCCTCGTAAATATAAATCGAAATGGGATTCTTTTTTTAATTTGAGTCAGTTAGTCTAATGGACATTTCCTGGATAAGGGTTAAATGAAGTCACTCTCGGACAACCAGCTGCCAGCCGAACATAGTTTACTGCGAGAGCGCTGAACAGGTCAGCCCTAATCAAGAGATGCTGGAGGACTCAGTGGAGCATCTTAAAAAAAGACGCACCCTGTGTTTCCGAACTCTGACTTTTACCCAACTACAGTGCTTTCGCGCCGAGTTCACACACCTCTCTAATGAAAACCATTGCTTTCTACGAATATACCGACTGCAGCGGAACTAACGTTTCTTCCGGTCTTACGTCTGACGTGAACTCGTTCAAGATTCTGATAGGGGCGTCGAGAGGCGCGTTTGCCGATTATGACGTCCCGTGTTAAGGTCGAGGGTTCATGTGTTGTAAGTAGGGCTGTACCGCTAGCCACTTTTGACCGATGGGTAGATGGCAGATAATGATCTCATACCCATCGGCCGGTGCCGCTGCCGATTGTGACATTTAGATAAGGAGCTGAAATTCATATCAAGTACTAATTCAAATAGGCCTGTTATGAAGCCATGTTCAAATTTGTTTAATACTGTCACGATGGCTTCTTATAAGCATAGATGAATCGACATGAACTATCGATGGTGCATCAATGCATCACGCTTGGAAGAATCAGTCATCTCACGTCGCAATCTGGCGGTGGTTTCACATTCGTCGTTTCTTGCCTCGATCGTAGACCGCTTACCGTTTTCCCTCATCTCTTGTCCGTGATTGGGATGGGAGCAGGAGAGGGGGGATGGGTAAGGAACGTGACCATCGCGATAGGAAATTAAGCCATCGATGTCTCCAACTATTGATAGTGACTTAATGCATCGTGACAGACCTAAACTCCTATTGTTGTTAAGAATCATTTACCGTGGCGCGTTCACATGTCTTTAATTTTTCTTCATTTGGGGGTTCTTCTTCGGGCATCGGCATCGGCTGCTTTCAAACCTACCGATGGGCGATGAAACCAACGGTGCCATTTCGACGGCCCATACCAGTTGTTGCTGATACATCGGTACAGCTCTAGATATAATACAGGTCTACCCCTCTTAGAGATATTTGTTTTTGCGAGAGCAGGTCCACCTACTGCTAAGTCGCTTACAGCTACATTGCTCCCATTTTTCGCTTTGTACATGAAGGCATCAAGCTTCTTCGTAAAGCAATCCGGGACAGAGCAGCCCCTTCATCACTAATTAACGCATTCCAAGCATTAACTACTCTACAAGTAAAGGAGTCATTTCCCAACCTGAGCCTCGCTTGGGATCAGTGGCGGCTAGAAATATTTAGCGCTAGTGGTTCGTCTATGGAGAGGGAGTAGGCAATGTCCTCCCCTGCCTCCATAGACGAACCACTAGTGCTAAATATCACGAGCCGCTACTGCTTGGGAGTTACTCACCTAATACCTTTTTCCTCTCGTTCTGCTGCTACCATTGAGCAGGCCCGCCCCGAGGGGGAGGGGGGAGCGGACATTGGGGACAATCTGCCCCGGTCTCGCATATCAAAGGGGCCTCCAATTTAGTTTTGCCCCGGGCCTCTGGAAACCTCTGGGCGGGCCTGCCGTCGAGTAGGAAGAACCTACCACGCTTCACGTTATCGATTCCGTTAACGATCTTAAACGCCTGAATGAGATGAGGTCTTCCCTCGTTAGCCTTCTCTCGAGCGAGAAGAGTCCCAACGTTTCTAAACGCTTTTCGTACCTCTTTTATCATTTTCGTATATCGCCTCTGAACTCTTTCGAGCGCTGTTAGATCACATTCATTTGCAGGTCTCCAATATGGAACGAATTGCTCTAAATGGGGCCTAATCAGAGCTGCACACTTTGGAAGAATAACGTGAGAACTCTTACTGACGATGGAATGCTGGATGAAGCCTAAGATCCTAATACGTTTGGCTGTTGTCGCCTGCACGTGAGAGAAAAAAGAGTTTCTCGTCTGTCGTGATCCCAGCGTCTCCCTCTCCGTTTGCCTTCTTCAGCTTTTCCTCATAGAACTCTTTCAGAGATCTAGCATTATTTTACGACCAAAAAAAAAATCATACCTCCCTTCCGTACTCTGCAAACATGAAACAGTGGTGGAACAAATTTTGCGTTAGTGTGAAAATATTCGAAAAATTTTCGATCTCTAATTATGAGGTAGAAAAAGCAGCAACTAACGAACTCTCCGTGGGAGACCCAACGGATTCTGACGAAAATGACGACATGAATCCATTCCTTTTCAAGGAAGCATGCAACCAAGGTGTAATACAGCGGTTCCCAAACTGTGGGTCGCAAGAGGTATCAAAGTGGGTCGCATACATTTTCCCAGTATAAAAAATCACTATATCCGTATCCACTCGGGATAAAACATGCCCTGCAGAAAAGGGATTACTTGATTGACTTCACTTCATCCATCAAAATGTCGACAAAGGACAAGCTGCAAAAGCAGTCTTCATCGATTACAGCGAAGCCTTCGGCCGTATTGGCCATACCTGCCCTGTCCAGAAGTTATAGTCTTATGACGTTCATTCCTCCAGGATGTCATGGCTTACTTCGTTTCTCACCGGAAGGACGCAGCCCACAAGAGTCGCCGATGCGCACCACGACCTTAGAGCGCATCGGCGCTCCCTCTCTAAAGTCGCCGCTCGTAAACGTTTACCCCAGGATTCTTCCAAGCGCCAAGAAGTCATGCCACACGCAAGTGTTTCAAATCACATGCGGGGTTCCCCGAGGCACAGTTTTGAGTCCGTCTCTTTTCGACGTCATAGTGCATGATAACCTGGAAAAAGGTGTGATGATTTACAAATTTGTTGATGACAAGACTATGGCAGTAGCTCACCCCAAATCCTCTGCTCCTTCCCTCCGGCATGCCCTCGAGAAACTGCAAGATTGGTCGATAAAAGAAATACAATGAAACTCTATCCTAAAAATGCAGTTCAACTTCTCGAAAGCCCTCCCCATCGACCCCATCCGTGGCAATGCCCCTTCCAATGTACCATGAGACCCAGACATTAAGCCTACTTTTGTGTACCTCACTGACATGGAAAAGCCACGTCCTCATGATTCTCTGAAAAGCCTCAAAACGAATGTTCGTGATTTATACCGTGACACAAATCTCGAAGATTGACTATAACCTATTGTCCCAGTTCCTGGTTGTACACACGTTGGGTCAATGTAGGGACTGTTGGAATCCTACATATACTGTACAATGTGAACTTGTCTTTCGGCCCCGCGTTGGGGCAAATGTAGAAGCTCACATGCGATATTGTGTCCATAGTTGGTTCTCATCGCGGGAGCTTGGCCAACAATAAACACTCACGTGTGGCATGACTTTTTGGCGCTTGGAAGAATCCTGGGATAAACGTCTACGAGCAGCGGCTTAAAAGTTCTCGGATTCTCACGGTTAAAACAAGTAAAATATCAATAAACACTCAGGTTTCTCGACTTTTAAATGAGAAAGTTTCATTGTCACGTAAAGTGACAATGAAACTTTGAAACAAGTGTCACGTAAAGGTTTCTCTCTCTAAATGAAACAAGTGTCACGTAAAGGTTTCTCTCTCTAAATGAAACAAGTGTCACGTAAAGGTTTCTCTCTCACCATGCCATTTTGAATAGTTCCTTCTGGAACTTTTGGTGCACAAAAAGTTCGGGAATCTTCTATCGCCCCTCGTACATTTCCACATGCCTATTCTGCTCCGCTACAGTGGTATGGTTGGAGGTTCTCCAACGAGTTTTACAGGGTGTGCCAAATAAAACTGGACAATTTTCAACGATACATTATCATTATCAGCTTCAGTTCGAACTTCGGTCTGACTGAAGTTCTACGTGCTCATATTGACTACTCTCTCAATGAAATTCCAACAGAAATTGAACTGGAACCGAACTGCAGTTTTGGAATAATTCCTCCAGACGAGCCATGAAACCGCCTCCGCATTGAGAAGCAAAAATGTATTCTTACACAGCAAAGCAGAAACGTACAGTGAGGTACATATGTTGTACGTTATGAGGTACAAACGCATGTCGTAAAATACGTTCGTTGAAAAGGTACCCGTGGCAATGAAGGTACACATGTGTACCTTTCTTATCTCTATTCATTTCGGGCTTAGGGGCGTTTAAAAACCTGCTTATGAGCCTCAATTATCAGCTTTGAAGAGAGCTTTAATGGCACCATCATCCGGCACCCCGTCTCTGACAGGCAGCGAGCATACAAACACATGTGTACCTTTCTTATCTCTATTCATTTCGGGCTTAGGGGCGTTTAAAAACCTGCTTATGAACCTCAATTATCAGCTTTGAAGAGAGAGCTTTAATGGCACCATCATCCGGCACCCCGTCTCTGACAGGCAGCGAGCTGTCACTGATAATACGCGGACAGCGTCTCCATTCGCACTGGACGTGCCGGCTGTCTCATGAGCAGTGTCTTTTCCAGTTATCATGGGGCCAGTAGGTAACACGACCACCCTGTTTTACAGGGACAATCTTTCAAGCTTAATGTAAAGTTGGCCGCTTATTCTTCAGAGAGAAAAAAAAAACTCGTAACCTGTTGGTTCATACTTCTCTGTTCCCGTACAAAACCCCAGCGTTTAAAATTTTCCAGAATCATTGATTGCCATTGAAATATGATAACTATTCTTTTACCAAATACTGCTTTACAAGTATCAGGATAAGATGAATACAGGGAAAGGAAGAAAACTCTTCTCCTAAGGTCCGGTGCGTCCCGACTCGACTTCGAAAGTTTTGGGGAACATAAACGCCATCTTATGCCGATTTTGAGTATTGCATTGAGATCTGGACATCTGCGTTTGCAACGTACACATGTGTACGTCAGGACCACACAAGAGGACCCGAGGGACACAATATGTACCTCTCGCATTTGTACCTCTTCTTGTACGTTTCTACTTTGCTGTGTGGAAGTAACTTCAGCAGGGAAATCAGAGCCTGGAACAGTGCTGATCTCGTATATAAAATGTGTAAAATCACGTATATAAAATATGACATGATGAAACTCATGATGGACATGGGCGAATCATGCAGCAAATCTTTGAGCTAAGGTTTCAAATCTGTTCTTCAATCGATTACATTTGAAGGTCAGCTCGAATCCGAATCAAATCTTAATAACTTAGTATGGAATTCGAGTCATTTTCAAAATTGCATGAATCACGCTCAATACTCTTTCGCTTTCATATATTTAAAAAGGAAAAAAATAATTATTAATCCCACTACGCAAACAGTGTGCACTATAACCCCAAAGTCTGTCTAATAGACTCTCCTACCGCAGAAATTGCTGCCCCTCGCTCACCAGCTCATTGCAGCGCCATCTCTCACGATACAACGAGTTACGTCAAGGTCACACGAGTTCAAGAGCTGTTACATGATCGATTCAACACGGCCTTGTGACCGCCAGATATCTTTGGAAGCTTTGAACCCTTTGAAGCTTTGGAAGTGAAATGGTTAAAATCCAGAAGACCATTGGCATCGTGGATGGCGTATCATAGAATTGGTTTTTTTTTTCAGCACGAGCGGTTCTGAAATTCACGAAATTATGGGTCCACAACACACTTGCATACACATTCGGAGGGTTCGGGAGAATATGGGACAGAATTTGCCCTGGGAAGAGTAACGAATCCAAAGAACAAAATCGAAAATGGGATTCAATCCAATTCGCGATTTGACCGAATCGCGAATCGTGTATTCCCACCACTGACAAGGGGTAAAGGAGACAATCCTGAAGAAAATCTCGAAATAGCGTTCTTTGTGTGAAATTTTGAATTACATACTCACAGAACAGCAATTATGTATGCGCTTGCTCTGGAAATAGTCGGCCACGAGCGAGCAGAGCGACAGAGGGGATAGGACGCCCTGATGCAATTTTGCACAGGCGGTTCCAACTAAATCACTGCATACATTGAGCACACATAGACTCTACTTCTCTTTCCTCGCGACGGGAAGAGACTCAGCTGGCCACTGGGAATTAATTTCCGGCACTCGACAAGGGACACAGAAGCCTCACAAACTGTAAAGTTTTTTTCTCTCCCTGGCTGCCGTAAAAAGAGCTGAAGTTCTAAGGGGGGGGGGGGGGGGAAGGTTTTGGTAGCAGTATAATTTATCGCGCGTCATGAATCCGTTCTCCAGTGACACTCTAGTAAGGGCATACTTTGCCAGAGGAAAATTAATCGCTACTCCTCTTATTTTTATTTATGAACAGTTCTGTACAAGGGACAAGTGACGACGAAGTACTACCGGTTCCTGGCAAAAGGAGGTGGATGGGTTTGGTTGCAGAGCTATGCAACCATCGTCCACAACAGCCGCTCCTCCCGCCCTCATTGCGTTGTCTCTGTCAATTACGTCCTCACGTGAGTCCTCATTTTCCCCCTTTCATCGAAATCAAAGACATTTTGCGGCATTTGCCTGTCCCTTCCGCCATCTGTTTGGGACTCCGTCCGTAGGTGACGCCCTAGTGTCCTCTTGGATGACACCTCCAGGTACATTTTAAAATGCAAATTATAAGTAATGTATCATGTTCCCTGGCTTATGAAATTTCGATAGTTTGTCACCAGTATCAACATTGAATGTCAAATTCAGGTTGAAGTGATTCCAGTTCTAAAAGCATATCGCTGAATGAAAACCTGTTGTATGTTCACGCAAGACTGCAGCTTACTCTCAAAAATGCACAAAGAATTGGTTCTCCATTGTTTGACGGTCTTTAGGAGCAGACCTGAGGTGCCCCGAAGATAAACGTATTAATAACATGGTGGACCCTGGCGGGCTGAAACCTGAAATGTCATTGTAAAAATGTTGATAGGGTCGCTGTACAAACAAATGTGAGAAATTACATTTTATATGACACATGAAGAGCATTAGTTCCATCCTATTATTATTAAAAGGTTTAGAAAGGCGAGAGCCACCAACATGCGTATTACCATCTTTACCTTCAGGGTCTACCGATAATTGATATTTACGGTTGGGGTGAAACCTGCTGATACGGACGGATAACCAAAACCTACTCTTCGTCCTCTCGATCCCTCAATAACTGAACTCTTGACCGAATACAAAACAACAGGTTCTAAGCAGCTGCGTTGGTACTAGATAGAGAAAAATTCCTTAGTTGAATTAGTGACTCAACCTCTATAGACTATAGGGGGTGTGTCATTGGCACACCCCCTATAGTCTATGGTTGGTCATGGTCACTTAGTCAACCATGGAAAGAATATTTACATGCAGCAAGCTTGTGAAAATGAATGCCAACGTACTACCGAATTTTTCCAATCTAGAAAATTCGTATCCCGTCCAGTATGACTGAAGTCGTCTTTCCTTTAAAGCTGCCGAATTTCAAGGATAATACCGAGCCTATTTTGGGAAATCTGATGTAGATTTATTTATTGGGATGGCACATTCTAGGATAAATTAGATGATTAAGCTTTGCAATTTTAATAAAAGTTTTTTTTTTTTCAGCAATGACTTAACCTGAAGTAACTAGTGATAGTAACTTGTCAAGATGACTTAGCTACCTTTTACCCTGAATTAGTGAAACTAATTCAGAATGTTGTAAGATTGGATTGGTTCCAATGGTAATAGATCCAACTTTTTCTTAATCACGTTTCCTTGTCGTCCAGCACTACATCGACCATTCCATCTTTCGACGAGTCTAATGCGAAATGCAACTGTTTGGGACCAATTGTAACGCCCGGCGTTCAGTTATAAGCGAAGAATAATGAATATGGCAAAACAAAAACAAAACATTTGCTTCTGGCGTCTTAGACGCCAGGCGCCTCAAGCCTCAAACCAAAACCCTACATTGGACTTTGGGAATTGCTGAGGTACTCTTCCAAGGAACGATATCTAAAACCACTGCCTGTATTTTTGTCTTCACTGCGGTTCCTGCATGAATTGGCTTTTGCCCCTGACAGTCTGGTTTACTCTCTTCTTCAGAGAGACGGAGATGAAGGATCTGTTGCTGAATTCCGAACAAATACATCGAGAAGACGTATCTCATCAGTATATTTCCAATGCACCTGGGGAATCATCGCCAGGCTCTAAGAAAGTAAAATACCCGAGAGGGAAGTACCGATCTGCACCTTACAGCCCCGTGACTGCCATCACTCCAAAGGAGGAGGACCCAGCTCCGCCTGTTCTCTTGCAAACCCAACAACAGCAAGGAGAACAGCAACAACAACAACGGCAACAGCCCCCAGGCCTTGGGGAGGACCATTTGCCACACATGGGATATTCGAATCTGTGTCATGTGGCATCCTCGTATACTCCAGTGGAAGGTTACGTGGATCCCCTTTATCCTGCAGCGTATCTCATGGGTCCAGCTGATGGTGTGGGTTATGATGAGGGTGAAGAGACGGGCTATCACGGAGACATGAATTATCCTGCCGACAGACCCTTCAGCACGGAGTCCTCTAGTTCCTCCAGTCTCCACAGCTGTACCAGTGACTCCGAAACCTGCAACGTCGTCTTCTCCACGAAAGACGTCGTCTTGAGTGACGTGTATAACACGGATCCTTCGGGAGGATCCCCAGTGCCTCATTCTCATCCAAACCCACATCTGCATCCACATCCCCATCCAAACCCACATCCCCATCCCCATCCGCATCCACATCCACACCCACACCCACACCCACACCCACACCCACACCCACACCCACACCCACATACCCACCCCCATCCCCATCCCCATACCCATACCCATACAACAGAACTCTCAGTGACCTTGAAGGAGCAAAATCCGGACCCCGAGCGAGGGTTTTATCCTAGCGTCATTGTCGATCCTCAGCAATTTCCCATGGTCAACGAGTTCGTTCATTGACCAGCGAATTAACCTTCTGCAATCCGCATCATATCAACCTATTCTTATTCATTCCAGTTTTAATCATTTTCTGTTCTTGATAATATCGAGTTGTCGATCCGTGTTCAGTCAGTTACCAAGCTTATTTTTTTATCCCCTTCCATAGACCCATGTAAAAGAATGACTTGTGATATTCCCCTTTCCCCTAGGATAAAGTCACGACATGGATATCATGCTTCATTCATTGCTAGTCTAACTCTTTCGTGTGCGATGAAAGGCGAGATATTTTTTAGTTTCGCATCTTCCCTTTTATATTTTGTTGCTTTCCTCTCGATCCAACCAGGTTCTTTTGAGAATAAACCATCCTCATACGAGATGTGCGTCATATGTCCGTGTAGAAGATGGAGAGAGAAAGAAAGAACGTAAGGGGAAAGTGGTGGGAGACGGAGGCAAAGAGAGGTTTCCTTGGAGGTGTACGAGGGTATATGCCTATTCCTGTTGTGGAGGGGAAATTGGACGTAAGCGTTTTGAGGCAATTAATGCGTGGGGAGATTTATGGGCTTTGGGGGTGATCGTTAGTTGCGGACCATGGCCATGGAGAGAAGGGTTTCATGTTCCCTCCACGCCCTTTGTTCCCCGGGGCTATCCCTCTTTGTCCCCCCCCCCCCATTTCCCCTACTCCCTCTTTCTTTCTCCCATCCTTTTCACCACATCACTGATCCAAGAGGTAACTGCAGCACCATAGATGGGTCAGAAAACCAGAAAAATTTTAAATTAACAGCATTGCTCCTGGTGAAGCATGAATATGGAGAAGTTATTAAAACATTAAGTTCCTCAGGCAATAGAAAGGTATAAACCAGGAAAATCTATTGCAGAGGAGCCGAAATTTCGGGTGCATGCGAGGGACGGTCATGGGAATCTGAAAACTGAAGCCTCCTCTTCCCTGTGCAAGTGAAATCGAAAATACTACACAAACATGTTGGTCCTATCAATTCTGCTTTTCTTTATTCATTCTCAATTGATATACTGCCTTTTTGGGTGCTGCATAATAATACGAAGTAATAATAAGATGGTTTCAAACGGTGATGTCCCAGCAGGCAAAGAGATGTTAGTGATTTGGGATTGCATGGAGTTTTCCCGGTTCTTAATTTTTTCAGTCCCATAACGACCTCCTCATGAGCCGCACAAGAGTTAAAAACAACAGTATGAATACCTGAGTGATATACATTGATGTGAAATTGAACATGGAATTCAGAAATCATTGTGCTACTGCGCCTTGTTGTAGAGGAAAAGAGAGGAGGAGATCGTAAGGACGAACAGATCGTACCTAATTAATGAGCTGTTCAAGTGATTTGATTTGCCATAAGTATGAAGAGATTCAAACTTCCATGATCTATGTTTCCCTTCCGCTCACGTGAAAGGTGACCAACAGACGGAATAGTTCCGTTTCTCTTCCTTCCTTCCTAGAAACACAGACTACTTCCCCTTCAACTAGACGGTAGAGCGAAGAATGGGGCGGAAGGAGATGTGCCGTTTCCATGGAAACGGGAGGTGGGAATTGGGTTAATTGAAGAGCCATCAACAAGGCTTAGGGGCTTTATGATGAGTTCTTGATAACACCATGCCTCCCTCCCAGTCTCTCTCCCTCCCATTCGTATTGACACATTGAGATGCACACATTCTCCGTCCATGATTATACTCGTCACCTTGTTAGAAATTCGGCCTATCTCCTTGGGATGACCTTCAAGGTAAGGCAGCGGTACTCAAATTTTAGAGCAGGGGACCGCATCAAGAAGTGACCTACCTTAATGCGAGCTGCTCTGAAATAAAACGGCTTGCCAATACCTAAATCTATTCCACTTCATAGGAAAGTACATTTTGCCTTCACGGGCCGCGGTTCAAGTACCACTGGGCCAAGGTGACGTTCGTTTGAAAGCACATGTGTGACGTGAAGAACTGAAGGTAGGGAGGATGGATGGACGAGAGAGGACGATAGAAAGCCAGGTGAGGGCCGGGAATTGATCCCGGGCCTCTTGATTGCGGGTCAGGTGTGCAACCATTACACCACCGAACCCGGGACATTCAATCGTGCCTCTCAACAGGGCCTTCATCACACATGTCATCGACATGGGCATCGCAAATATCAGAAGCTAGGGAACCTGGATATCAGGCGGAAAATGCATTTTGGGAACTTTCTCCCCTACCTGGAGAGATACGCATCGGAATGACCCTAAAGCATATGGTTGGCGTATCGTAACTCTCTGTATCATCATAGAGCTGCGTTTTGGTTCAAGAGTACTTAGTTTAATTTTCTAGAAATTACGTACTACAATCTGTAGAAAGACAATGATTTCCCAAAATGTCTGGTATTCCCAGGTTCCGAGGGTATCCTGGAATCAGAACTCATTTTTGCGTTTGTTGGAGCTATTATACATTACATATACGTTTCTAATGGCCAGACGTATCCAATATAGGCCTAGTTCAGAGGACGGAAACTATCGCACTCGCAAGTGCCATTGGGTCCATCGAGGTCCTTCATTTTTATCGGTTCATATCACAAGGTAAAAGTAACGATGGATTTTCGTTATGAATATGAAGCTATACATATAGAATACTCGACGCTCCTTATTATTATATTTTCAAAGCGTGACCACCCTCTTTTCTATCACTATTATTTTTATTTATTTATTTTTCAAATTCGATCTAAAACGGTTTCCAACCCTTGGTCTAGACTCTTATGTGTGTTTTCCCGTGGGTCCTTCTGAAACTTCAGGTTTCCTCGGCCCTCAGGATGCGAAAACACAATTTCTATTACCTCCGATCATCAAAATTAGTCCATTCAACGATTAAGGATTCAGTGATTCCGTGATCCTGACTCGCACGATACCCTGAGTCGCAGTGTTTCATCTTCTATTGCCACTCGTCTTAGTTTTTAGAAACGATGAATTGTGATCGTAACCTTAAACAGGTAGACCTCCTGTTAGAACATGGAAGCCCATATCCCTAGATTCACCAAGTACCAGAATAGGTGTTATCAACTCAATGTTTTCACATCTGCTTTTAATCGAATCATGAAGCGAGTTGAACGACAGTTAAGTTTGGTTTGGCCTGGTGTTCTGGGTGTGCCTCAGAAGCGGAAAAAAATGTCACATGGACCACTTCGAAACTATTTTCGCCATGCTAGTCGATGGCAAATTGTGGTTTAGGATCTACTTGTCTCAAGAAACCTGAGGTTCCTAACTGCTTTTATTTGCATTTTTCCTTCATTTCCCGAGAGGGCGCCATTATAAAATGTGTCTAAAGTGAGGAAATTGTACATGATTGACCTTTAGAGTACTGTAAATAGGGAGAATAAATATAAATGGATCTTATTCAAGGCATTAAAACAGTATAATTTTTCACCACAGTAATCGGGAATAGTAAGCAAATATGGGAATGGCAATGGTTTTTCTGAGGGAAGCCTGCGGAGATGTACGAGATTTGTAACGATGTGCGAACAAAGATTTGAAGCATTAACCTGAGGTGATTATTAATGTTAGCGAGAGTTGGGGCCTTAGTCTGGGAGACAGAATCCACTTGGGTCTGAACTTGTTTTGTAGAAGTGGTGGTGGAATAACACCATCAGTGACTTAACGACTCTTTTAATCCTTTCAAGGGCAGGTTTTCTCACAGGCTACGAGAGTAGCCCGAGAATTTCTCGGGCATACTGCTGAAGGAGTTGACACATTTTCACAAAATATTGACCTGATCTCTGCGAAAATTGACAAGTACGAGTATATGGACAAGATACAGACTGAGCTCGTTTTGAGGCGAATTTGTCACAAAAATTGGCATTTGTATTGCTAATTTTATATTTGACATTTGTTTAACGGGGGGGGGGGGGGGAGGCATAAGCACCTGCGAGCCCTGAAGGATCTGGACCATAACACGCATGCGCATACGACCCAGCCCTAGGACGTGGAGCCTTGTATAATCAGGGCTGCCTGTTCTCTACCAACCTTCGTGGTGGATGGATGCAACTACGCACAACCCTCTGTCCTCCTATCATCATTTCATGGGCACCGTTTGTCTTTGTTTACCAAATCTAACAGAAGTGAGGTTTGTGATAGTCGAGGACCGGAAAAAGATGGCATTTTGTTCTCGATATAACGAACGTCTATATGACGAATTTTCCTTATGATGAATATTTTTGCCTGTCCCTTCGAGTTCGTCACATCGAGCGTCGACTAGGTGACGAAATGAGGGTCTCCTCAACCGAAAGAAGGTCCACTACTAGACTGGGCTTGCCCAGCTTGTCATTTTGTGCAGGAGTGAGGGAGAAACACTCAAACTCACCAGAACTGATAAATGGACAGAGCTGTGGAAGATATAGAGAAGTTGCATGATGTGACTTAGGGTACACACTATTTGCAAGTCACGGTTCAGTGGTGCGTCCTGAATTATACCTTGACTGGTCCCTTCTCACACGCCTGCTACCCCCAATTTTGAAGCTATTTATCCCCGCATTGATGCATAGTCTCGATGCAGTGAAAACTGCACGTGATGTGCTTGATCCGTTTTCTTGTATATTGTCGCTGTGAAGGTAAATAAGATCGAGTTTGTTGAGACTCAGGGTCAATGTACCTTATAAAATCAAATATAAAGAGAGGAAGATGGGCAGGGCAAAATAAATGGTCATTAACTTTTTATTACAATGATGAAACAATAGAAAGATACAAATGATACAACCAAGAAGAAGCCAAGAAACAGGCTTCAGATGATGGTGGGAAGATGTGAACCTAAATCGAGAGAGGAAACTCATTCCGGGGGTGCACGGCCAGAACAGCTTGTCGGTGCTCTCTGGGCAAGGATGCCAGAGAAAATCTCTCAAGAGGATGGTCAGAAATATCTACTGATGCGAGCAGAAACGCTTTATTAGGGTGGACCGGTAAAATAAAGGACTATGTCCAAAACGGACTGGTAGGCAAAGTGTGCGTATGGAACAAGAAACCATAGCTCACGATAGCCCACATAAGGCCCAT